AAGTAAATTTATTATTATATTATTGGAAAATATATTTAATATAATTTATAAATTTAATATTATAAAATTAAAAAATTATAAATTTATTTACGTTACGCAAGTAAAAAATAAAAAATGTAAAAAATAAAAGTGGTTAAATTTTATTTAATTTAAATATAAAAATAAATTAAATATTAAATAAATTAAATAAAATATTAAATTTATTAATAAAATTTTATATAATATTAAATTATAATTACAAAATAATTAAATTAAAAATAATAAAAGTATTATATTTGTTTATAAAAATAATAAAATTATTATTTAAAATATTATTATTAATATTTTTATTACCGTTATTTAATTAATATAACGGTAATTATAATAATGTATTACCGTTTTTTAACAATTAAAAAAGTTGGTTTTTATTTATTAAAATATTTTAATAATTAAAATGGTTTTTTTGTAAAAAGTAAAATTATTACATAATATGTTTTTAATAAATACGGAAATTTTAAAAAATTTATTATTATAACCGAAAATTAATTAATTATAATATAATAATATTAAACTTTTTAAATAATTTTAATAATTATTAATATAATAAATTAATATTTTGGAAAAAGTGGTAAATATAACTTTTATAATAATATTATAAACTTTAAATTTAATAAATTTTAACAAAATAATAAAGTTAAAATATAACCATTTTTTTTGTTTATGTTAATACCGGAAAAAACTTAAATATAATATTAAAATTAAAGTTATTTTTAATTAAAAAAAAGTATATATTATTTAATTTTAAATTTGTGTTATAAAATTTATAATTATAATATATACCATTTTTAAACTATATATTAAACTACCGTTTTTTATAATAAATATAAAATTTTTAAATATTTTAAATTAAATTATTATAAAAAACTTAAAATAAAGTTAAATTTATATTATTTATAACCGGTGATTTAAATATATTTAACATTAATTATATAAATAATTATATAAAAAGTTATGTTAATAACGGAAAGTTATTAACGTTAAAATCTTTTCGTAAATTAATTCGGATAACGTGGAAAAAAAGTGTAAAAAAAAAAAGTAACGTATTAATATTTTAACGTTAATTTTAATGGGCATATTACGTGGTTATATATATTTAACGCGTTTTTTAAATATTATTAAAGTTTTAATTGTTAAAATTTTAAAACTGGTAATTTAAAGTTAATATGTTTATTGTATTATTAAATTATTTACGTTAATTATTTGTTAATATAACTTGTAAACGGGTTAACATTAAACCGTATGTAACGTTAATAAACGAATTTAATTTTATTAATATAAAATATATATAATGGTATTTTATTTTAATAAATCGGGTTATACGGATTTAAATTTAATAAAAAACAAATTTTAACGATATTAAATATATCGTTAATAATTAACGAAAAGTAACGGACGGTAAAATTAACCGGGGTGTTTTTAAATTAATATAATATTTATATTAAACATTTTAAAACTTAAATAATAAAAGTTTAAATATAAATTATTATTAATTAATAAATGTATTAATTTAAAAAAAGTAAATAAATTAATATATATTTAAATATAAAGTTAACGGTTATAATTAAAAATAAAACTTATAATATTATAATATTAATAAATAAAAAATATATAAATGGTATTAAATTTTTTTTTAAAAAAAATGTAAAAAATAAAAAAGGTTAAATTTTAAATAAAAGAAAAATATTATATATATAAATTAATTTAAAAGATTAAATTAACAAATAAATTAATTAAAACAAAAAAATTAATATATATATATTTAAAAATAAAATTAGTAATAATTATTAAAAGTAAAATTTATAATATTATAACATTAATAAATATAAAATTTATATATAATGTTAAAAAAATATAAAAAAAAAATATAAAAAATAAACAATATTAAATTTTAACGTAAAAAAAATATTATACATATAAACAATTTAAAAAAATTAAATTAAATAAAATAATATATATTATAAAATAAAATTAATAATAATAAATAAAGATAAAATTTATAATATTATAATATTAATAAATAAATAATATATATATAATATTAAAAAAAGTTAAATAAAAAAGTATAAAAAATAAAAAATAAAATTTTTTTTTTAAAAAAAACAATATATATAATAAAATTATTTCGAAAAATTATATTATATTTATTTTTTATTTTAATAAAACTTTTATTTATTTAAATAATTTATTTTAATTATTAATTAATTAAATGTAATAAAATAAATTAAAATTAAATAATAAATTATATATTTATTCGTTATAAAATTACATAAACATTTTAAAATAACATTAAATTAAAATTATAATTAATTTAATTAATTTATTTATTAAATTATAAATTTAAAACTTTTAATAAAATACATACATTTTATTTAATTAATTCGTTTATTATAATATTAATAATTAAAATTATTTTATTTTTATAATTAAAATTATAAATCATTTTATTTTTTATTAATTAATTAAATTTTTACAGTTAATTTTCCCTCGTTTTTTTAATATATTTTAACATATTTTTTCGAAATTTAACCTTATTACCATTTTATTTTTTTATTACAAATAAACATTTATTAATTATAAACTTTATTTTATTAATTTTATTACACATTAATTTAAACGTTTTATTTTATTAGTTTTTTTATATAATAACTTATATTTATATTATAATAATTTAATTAAATATATTTTTTAAACTTTAATAATATAAATAATTTAATTAATTAAAAGCTTTATTTTATTAATTTTATTACATATTAATTTATGTTTTTAAATTTTAAACTTTCCTTTTCGGTTTAAATTTAAAAGCGAAAACTTTTCTCCGAAAAAAATTATATAAATAAATAAAAAAGGTTTTTGTAATAATAATTAAAATTTAATTTATAAATAAAAAAAAGTTACGAAAATAATTAAAATAATATATATTTTTTAAAATAATATGCGTTAAATTATCGTGTTATTAAAAAAATAAAAATTATAAATTTAATAAAATCGTTAATTAAAATAAAAAAAATAACGTTTTAATAAAAAGTTAATAAAATATAATTAATAATATAAATAATTATTAAATATAAAAAATAATATTATAATTATTATATAATAATTATATTTTATATATATTATATAAAAATTAAAAAATATAATTTATTTAATAATTTAATTAAAACGGTTAAAATAATTAAAACGGTATAATATTTTTTAATATAAACTTTATAAAAATTATTATTAATGTAATGTTTTTTATTAAATTAAATAAAATTTAATATTAATAAAATATTAAAATTAAAATTATTATAAATAATTATTATATTAATTATTTAAAAAATAAAAATTTTAAAAATTAAATTAAAAATTAAATAAAAAATAACAAAAATAACAAAAATAAAAAAATTTAACTTTAAATAAAAGTTAATAAAACGTGTATAATAAACGTTAATAACGTTAAAAAAATAAATTTATTAAATTTTATTATAATAAAATATATTAAATAAATACGTTAATAAATAAAATTATAAAAAAATAAAAATAAATTTAAAATAAAAAAGTAAATTTAAAAAACTTTTTATTTATATAAACCTTTTTTATTAAATTATTTTAAAGTTATTATTATAATAATATAAATAATAATTATAATAAAAAATAATTTAATATATTATTAAAATATTAACATAAATTTTAAATAATATATATAAATTTATTTATTAAATTCGTTTTTTTATTATATATTGTAATAATTACCATTTAACCCGTTTTTAAAATAAATTATTACTTATATACGTAATTTTTAATAATATTAATAAATTTAAAAATATAATATATTATTTTTATTTAAAAAATATATTATATAAAATAAATAACCGTAATTATAATATAATTATTATAATAATTATAAAAAGTTATAATATTAATTATAATTATTATATAATTAATTAATTATATAAAAATTACGTTATATATAATTATATTTTAAATAATTTAAACTTTTATATATTATTTATAATTATTATATATTATTTATAATAATATTATAACTTTTAATATAAATTTATATAAATATATATATTTAAACTTTTTAAAAAACGTTTAATTGGTTAAACTTAACTTTTAATATAAAAATAACCCGGATATTAATGTTTTTATATAAATATTACCTTAATTATTATTTAAATTATGCGTATCAACTGTTTGACAAATAACAAAACCTAGCCTTCCCGACTTAACAAACCATATCGAGGCAATCCCATGGCATCTTAAAGTTAACAGCAGTGATCTTATTGGCACAGTGGTTTTTAAACGGGAGATGTTTAGCCGCCCGTATAGATATCCTACTATAATGATGAGAAACGCCTAACGAAGGTGTCAAAAAGGGTTATCCTCTTGTTCAGACCCCCCTCCACTACCATAACAGTGAAGTATGACAGAACGTATTGAGAGATAACCGTTTGAATATTTCTCCTCCCAATATACGATTCTAGCGAAGCCGCCACAATTGCATCAGCTATCTCTCCACCTCCGACAGGAGACCTATGTCAACACCAGTGAAGTACCTGTCCGTCACTTCCTCTCCCATCTGTGCGGTCCCAAATATAAGAGAGAGAAAACGCCCGCCTCTACCCCAGATGCTGCTCTCGACTCATCAACAACTCTTTGGAAATCTGCTGGCAATGTTCCCTCTGCCTTCTGAACGGGAACCCTCGTCTCAAGCTTCCACTCTCCCTAGTGAATCCGCGTCATGCGCTCATTCAAAAACTCCACTTCCGGGAACTGTCTCTCATACCGAGCTAAAACAGACTTCAGATTTACCTAACTTGACCACTTGCTAGCCCCCTGCCAGATTCAACCTGTCTGAAGGGTGTATCTTTGTCGTGAACACCCCCGCATCTGGATTTTGTACAACTAGTGGTGGGAAGTGTAAACGTAACCAAAGGAGCCCAAAGTGTCTTATTCCTAAGCTTCACATAGCCAGGAATTAAAAGAGTTTTTAACAGCTTATAAATATTATTAAAATTGTTAAAATTATTTTTATTAAATTACATATATTTTTTATTTTATATATATTTAATATAATTTTATACATATGTTACATATATGATCGATGTGCCATATTTTATATTACACGTTAAACTCATTCATTATTAACCTTTTACTGCTGCTTTCTTTTCGTAGTTCGTCAAGGGTTTTCGACATGGTTTGCAAAGCTAACTTGACATCTCGAAGGCATGCGTCTCCGTCCTCTTCAAGACGCTGTAATCGTTTTTCGATTTGTTCCTCCGTATGCTCCTCTTGTAAATTCTGCAAATCTCCCCTCTCGTCTATATCTTTGGCCTTGGCTACGCCGAGCATCTTCTCGACCAGCCTGGATATCTCCTCTTCTCTGGCTAGCTTTGCCTTCTCTAATCGTTCCTTTGTTGATGCAACCCGCCACGCTTTGTCATTAACCTTTTCTTGGTCGGGCTCATGGTATATAACTGGTTCCGACTTGAGCATCGGCTTTCTAGCTGCGCGGGATTGGATTCGCCGCGTGGTTTGCGTAGGATGACTATTTCGCTTTGGCGAGGCGCTGCTAGGCGATGTCGGTGGTGTTGGCACACCTGTTAAAGTATGACGGCTGAATTTATCTATAGCTAATTTGGCGTGATCGCTATGGCTGGTTATAACGCTCTTATGAACCATTATTGGCATAGGCTTTTGACGCGGTTGCGATATAACCTTCAGCTTATTGAATGGAGGCCATGAAGATGAAACGCCAGTGTTTGAAGATGGAACTGATGCTGTCGGTGCTGGTTGAGGGTTTAAATTAGCCACAACCATAATTGGCGTCATGGTAATGTCATTAGTAGTCATTTGTACAATCAAATGATTAGTAGGGGCTATCTCCGTTGTCATTATACAAGAAAGGTTCCAGTTGTTTTCTGGAACTACTGTCGTTAATGTAGGCGAAACATTTTCCATGGTCCCTCTGGGGGTAATTTGTGCCACTCCGATCTCTATAGAGACTGATTGATCCTCACGTGTCCGGGATGACGACCTCGATGGTAATCTCCGTGTAGCAGGAGAATTACCGAGGAACCGCCCGAGGACAGGAGAATCTTTCGAATCGTCGTCGTGGGGGATCGTTGGTATAGTAGAGTCAAAAATAGTCGCATCATGACTGGTAGAGGTTGACGTTGGCTTGCTCGGAACAGTCTTGTTGCCTGAACCTTGTTGGAAGCATTTCGGTGCCAGATCTCGTCTATTATGATCCTTCTCTTCGTACGGTGATGGTAAAGTAAGACTGATAGTTGGAACTGTATGAGTAGGGTGTTGACTAGTTGCTCCTTCCGACGCCGAGAATGATTTATTTACACCAGGTACAATATCTCTGGGGCTGCTGATGGCGATCCCTATTGGGAGATCATATGGCTCATTCATGCTAAGCAACCCCTGGGGCAAATTCGACACTACTTTTATATTGTTTCGAAGGAATTGCCTCCCATTGTCATCCGTTGCAACAGTCTGTGAATCGTGACCAACCCGTGTGGAAGATGCAGCTGAGGAAGCCCTGGGTCTGAGGCTACCCATTGCTAGCGGCCTGCCCGTTTCGCTCACGGTTGCCGACCTTGAGCTTCTAGTCATGGTGGTATTTATCATAAGTCTTTCTGGCTTGGAAGAGATATGAAAAGTTTCACTGGGGTCACTACGTCGATGGGGCGGTGGAGTGCGCTGCATTATTAGCTCATCTAATGAAGCCGTAAGTACTCCGTTGGAGCTCGTTGCGCGCTTACTCGACGAACGAGGTCGTACTATCGGCGGAGCGGTAATACTCGACTGATAGCGTGTCATAGAGCCAACACATGCATCTGCAGTAGACGGTCTTGAGGTTGTAGGCGGGATGGGGAAGTTCATCGCTGCTAACATATTGGGAAATCCTGGTGATTCGGGCAGCGACTGATCTTGCGAGGCTGCTAAACTTGGCTGAGTGAGATCCTTCGTATTGATCTCCAAACGCCGCTTCGCGCCAGGCAAGGTTCCGTGGCCCATCGTAAGTGGTCGTGTCCCAGCTATTCTTGACGAGGCTGTCTCTGATCGCTCAGATTGGCAGCTGGGCGCTTGTCGTAGAGGCGCGCTGGGTGAGGAGTGCGATCTTAGCCGCGAAGAGTGACCATGCTGCGCCGATTCTTCTGAAAGTAGGTGGCGGGGAATATATGAGAGCGAATGTCCCTGTAGCTTTGCTTTCGGCTCATTCCTTGGAGAGCTCTCAACAGCTTGGAACATGCTCGAAGTTGATCGAGAGCGAGATAATATTGAAAACTTCAATTCCCGATCCCCTAGCATAGTAGGCGCGTTCATCTTTACGAGTTGAGTCTGGAGAGAGCCGGTTATGCCAATTAAAACCCACGCGTGGTCATCTCGATCGTGCGATTCACGATCCACCAAGAACACGATACCTGCACCTGTGTGTAAGCAAAAATGAAGGACCTAGATACTTGGTGCAGGCTTAGAGGAGGCCGTCCCTTAATAAATAAATGGCAGAGGTGGCATCGTCCGTCGACGGAGCCAACAAAGTTTGGAATATCATCAAAGAACGGAAGGTGGAAATAACTAAGTCGTCTCGGAACTTCCTACAGGATCCCAGACGCGCATCGGCTTGTACTGATTGGGATGCAGACTCTATTTACGGTATACTTAGCTAAGTCATATGTATATTAGATAATCATCCTCGGGTCATACATGTACGCAGGAATGTACCCAAGGTACATTGTACTCGGACTTTTACGGCAGTGATAACACGAGAATGCATTTAAAAGATAAAATTCTAAAAAACGGTATGCAAATCTTACAGGGATAGTGCCTATGCTTTTTCCCCCCTTGGGTCCTGGGATGCAACTTGTCCATATCGAAAGTAGGTACATAAGGTACTTATTATTGTACACAATAGGACGACATCAATATTGGTCTTGGCTCCTACCCCACAGAGCCAGTCTGTCCTTAAGCTTTTGCGGTTGACATACTGATCCATACTAGAAATATCATTGATAACACACACCGAACACACACCGCGACTCTAGTAAAGGAAATTCCTTCTTAATCTCGAAGCCCGTCTTGGCTTTGCAAATTGCACTGCACTTAGGACATCACACACACATTCCACTATCAGCAATTGCTGCAGGTGTATTGATACTCGACGTCCGACGAGCTTGGCGGGCTATCGCGAGCGCACCGACGATATGGATTACGAAGCTTTAAAAGAACAATGGAGCGAGGTGGAAGACCGTGACGGTGTTCGACTGAGTTGGAATGTTTTCCCTAGCTCTCGAATGGTAACTTGGCCCTCAGCTGTTCTGGCTGCATCTTCGTGAGCGCATGTATTCTGAAGCTTTGCATAGGAAGCGTCTCGCCTCGTCGTTCCCATCGGTGCTCTCTACACCCCCCTGAAAGAGAAGCCAGATACACCCTTACTACAATTCGAGCCCGTGACGTGTAAACAACCGTGTCGCTCTGTCTTGAACCCCTTCTGGTTAGTGGTCCTCGAAATCCCGCCACAGTTTCGAATCGCATAGCTAATGATACCCAGTCAAGTCGATGTTAGGGCACGTCTATGGATCTGCCCATTCTGCCTTTCGAGGAACCCTCTTCCTCCTCATTACAAGGACATCACGCCCAATGCCATCCCCCCCGAGCTGCACCCGTCGAACACAACGATCGAGTATCGACTCTCACGACCAGCACCCAGCCCGCCTATTTTTCTCTATGTTGTCGATACGTGTCAAGAGGATGATAGTCTGTCGGCTTTGAAGGAGTCTCTCATCATGAGTTTGAGCCTCCTCCCCGAGAATGCCTTGGTTGGCCTGATTACTTATGGAACAATGGTGCGCCTATCCCACCCCTAATCTTGGGGCAATTTTTATTGCTGACACCAGAGTTCCCAGGCCCAAGTTCACGAGATCGGGTATACCGAGTGCGCCAAGTCATACGTTTTTCGTGGTAGCAAAGATTATTCTGCCAAACAAGTTCAGGAGATGTTAGGTCTGCTTGCCCCGAGTCTCCGCCCTGGCATGCCACAGCAGCAGCCTGGTCGACCTATGTTGCCCATGGGGCCGGCCACCAGATTCTTGTTACCCGTTCAACAATGTGAGTTTCAGCTTACTAAGATTCTCGAACAATTGCAGAAGGACCCTTGGCCTGTCGCCAGTGACAGGAGAAATCTTCGATGCTCTGGTGTTGCGCTTAGCGTTGCTGTTGGCCTTCTTGAGTCTTCATTCCAAAACGCTGGTGGCAGGATCATGCTCTTCGCCGGCGGTCCTGCAACTGAAGGCCCGGGAATGGTCGTTGGCCCCGAATTGAGAGAACCAATTCGCTCACACCACGACATTGATCGTGACAATATCAAATATTATAAGAAAGCACTTAAGGTTGGTTTTATTCTCATTTTGTATACGCTTGGGCTCGCTTGGTGGCTAACGCCTTTAGTTCTACGACAATCTTGCGAAGCGGACTGCCCACAATGGCCACATAATAGATATATTCGCCGGCTGCTTAGATCAAGTAGGATTGCTTGAGATGAAAGGCTTGTGTAACTCGACAGGCGGACATATGATCCTCACTGATAGCTTCACATCATCTATGTTTAAGCAGTCATTTATTCGAGTCTTCGAGAAGGACGGGGATGATAATCTATTAATGGGCTTTAATGCTGTCCTCGAAGTTTTGACAACTAAGGAGTTGAAGGTTACCGGCTTGATTGGACATGCCGTGTCATTGAACAAGAAGTCAACTTCGGTTGGAGAGACCGAGTGTGGTATTGGCAACACGTGCTCGTGGAAGATGTGTGGCATCGACCCCAATGCTAGCTATGGCGTCTACTTCGAAATTGCAAGCCAGGGAGGCCCCACGCAACATCAGCAGGGCCAGCAGAAGGGTATGATGCAGTTCTTGACGTATTACCAGCATTCTTCTGGGCAGTTCCACCTACGCGTAACTACTATTGCTAGGAACTTGAGCGGCCCAGCCGGAGATCCCGCCATCGCACAGTCCTTCGACCAGGAAGCGGCCGCGGTACTCATGTCGAGAATTGCCGTTTTCAAGGCAGAGGTTGATGATGGTCCCGATGTTCTCCGATGGGTGGACCGGATGCTTATTCGGTTATGTTCACGCTTTGCCGACTACAGGAAAGACGATCCTTCCTCGTTTAGGCTGGAGAAGAACTTCACTCTTTACCCCCAGTTTATGTTTCACCTCCGGCGAAGCCAGTTCCTACAGGTCTTCAATAACTCCCCCGATGAGACAGCCTTTTATCGCCATGTGCTGAATCACGAAGATGTGAGCAATTCTCTCATCATGATACAACCAACTCTCGATTCGTATACCTTCGACCAGGATGGAGGACAGCCTGTCTTGTTAGACTCGACTTCTATTCAGCCTACACATATTTTATTGCTGGATACGTTTTTCCACATCCTCATCTTTCACGGAGAAACTATTGCAGAATGGAAGAAAGCGGGGTATCAGGATCAAGAAGGTTATGAGAATTTCGCCACACTCCTGGAACAGCCAAAAGAAGACGCAAGAGTAAGTGCGAAGATGATTGCTTTGATGATGGAGCATGACATTGATATTAATTCCCTGAACAGGACCTTATTGCAGACCGCTTCCCGCTTCCTCGGTTTATTGTATGCGATGCTGGTGGCTCGCAAGCGCGATTTTTACTGTCAAAGCTTAACCCGTCGACGACACACACCACAGGGGCATACGGTGGTGTTGGTGCACAGACTGCGCAGACAATATTTACTGATGATGTATCACTGCAAACCTTCATGGATCACTTGATGAAGTTAGTAATCCGGTACTCTCAACCCAACTTTGAAGACTAACAATATAACAGGTTGGCCGTGAGCGGGACGAATTAATTGCGTAGTAAAACCCAACCCCCTTAGACGAGGAGTTTATGATGCTTGTGCTACATAGCTTATTGGGCCTTACAGCTGCTTCATCATGATTGTCTCTCCAATCTCCGTTCATGATGAATTTGGCGAGCTCGCTGTCTTAAGTGTTAGTCTTATAGTATACTAATTCTTAAAAAAAAAATAACGAAGTTGGCTCGGAGCGGCTCATGTACTCAGTATTATTGTAGACAGCAGTCAGTTCATGCGTCAATAAACCGTATGTCCTCGTTGATATAGTATGTGTCGTTTTTCTCTTAACCCTTCTTGTCTTTAAAGCTCCCACCTTGTTGGTACCCGGGTAGGCGATTACATGGTCTTCCCCGTATCGGCTTAATGCAACAACAGGGCAGCAAATGTTTGACCTTATGTAATCGGAATCTTTTCAGAGTTAACTAATTATAAGGTTGAATCCATGGTTTTCAGCCCCTTGGTTTTGAATCGACGAAGCGAAGGCGCATGCTGCACCTTAAACTTTTAACCCAATCAATTCTCAATTTGCTCACCTGGACCCATTTATTTCCTCTAGGGCTGCTGCGTATCTAGCTTATCGCGAGTACGAAATACAAACCCCACTGTCTAGGGCTTCTCTAGCCCACAACTGAATTTCCTCAAGACCACTTTCTCAACTTCCACCCTCCTATTTGCAAGCGCTGCTCACGAGGCTCACAACATCTTACGCAAAAAGTCTCCCCAGGATTTTTATTGGCAAACTCGTGAGACTTCATATTTGAGCGAAGATGCGTAAGTCAATGAATCCGATCGCGTTCAGTTTTTGAACGCAAGCTAACTTACAGAATATAGCTCCCAAGATTGATCCCAATGAGGTGAAGGTCATGTACGTTTTATTTTTAAAAAAAATCCGATTTCAATCTCGCTAGGGACAGGAAATTGCGATTGCTCCGAATTCGAGGCTGACAGATAGTTCTATAGCCACCTTCGAGCGACCGGTGGAGAGGTCGGTGCCTCATCGGCGCTTGCCCCCAAGATTGGTCCTCTTGGTCTGTCGCCCAAGAAGGTCGGAGAAGACATTGCCAAGGCTACTGGCGACTGGGTATGTGTTTGATTCATGTGGCGCGAAGTCAATGTGCTAGGCTGACAGTGTTTTGATTAATAGAAAGGCCTACGAGTCACCGTGAAGCTCACAATCCAGAACCGACAAGCCGCCGTCTCCGTCGTTCCCACAGCATCCTCCCTCATCATCAAGGCATTGAAGGAGCCGCCCCGTGACAGGAAGAAGGAGAAGAATATCAAGCACTCGAAGAGCGTACCTCTCGACGACATCATCGAGATCGCCCGAACAATGCGATTCAAGTCTTTCTCCAAGGACCTGAAGGGATCCGTCAAAGAGATCCTAGGAACAGCGTTCAGTGTAGGCTGCCAAGTGGATGGACGAAGCCCCAAGGATATCAGCGACGACATCGAGAGTGGCGAGATCGACAGTAAGTTATAACCAGTGCACTCCCTCTACTATATAGGTTTCTGACGCTGGCCGACATAGTTCCGGAAGAATAAATATGGACTGGGTGGGCTGAAAATGGGCTTCTTTTTTTTCGATGCATATTTCGACAGGAGTTCAGGAATGGCTTGCGATAGTCGTCGCCGACACACTCTGAATTGAGACGAATGAAATAAACCTCGCTGTTTCCGTGACATGCATCCCACACCCCCCCGAATACCCTCGTTACACCCTTGCCTACACTCTGAGATAAACCTAGCTCCCCGTGGTCTATTTCTATTTCGTGTCAAGGAATATTGAAATCCGACCAACTACTCACCGCGGCTTTCTTGCTACCAAAGCGTGGAGGCGGAGGTCCATCTTGCTCGGTCGACATTTGAATACCTAATTATACGGTTTTTTTTTTAATTCTCTTTTTCTTCTTCTATTTCCTGGTCAGGATGCGGCATGGATATGGTTCGTAAGAGGATGTCACTGCGAGTCCACGAGGAATTGTGACTTAGCCTCGTATAATAAGGGTACATTGTTCGGTAAGTACATTACAGGGTATCATGGTATATTCTTTCTAAGTCTTTCCGCCTGCTGGCATCAGGTCATACCACTACTAAATAATAATCTTGCAACCATCTGCCTGCTGATCTAATGTTTTGATAGCCTTGTGTAGCCTAATATTCGTATTGCTTACCTTTGCATTTGGTACTGCATCTCTCTTTTAAAGTCTGATGCGGCTTATCATGTAGTGGCACTTTATAATAAGCTATTTTCGGTGTTGTAACTTGTAAGGGCTTGATAAGGCACATATCATATCATGTTGCTACAATTTTTAATGGACTTTATACTAATATAAAAAATGGGTAGGTTTACTTTTTTCTCCTTACTCTCTTTGCTTCATGGTGCGGTATGTATTGTGCATAAGCACTTAGCATTTAGGTCACAATTTGTAACCTCGCATTTTCAGGACTGAGTGGCTTACTATGTGGCGGTTTCTTATGCATTCCAGATGTAGCTGATCATCATACCTAAGAGATTGTACGGTGCAAGATGCCCTCTGTTGAGGCCAAGTCTCTATATTTTGATATATATATATCTCTCTCCTTCTTCTCCCTTCTGATTTTACTTATTTACTATTGTCGCTTTTCACTATGTAGAGTTAAAGGCATAGTATGTTTAATGTGTAGATTTTTGATATGTCAGCAGCCTGCATAAGTTTTAATACACGCCTGTGCAGCGTACGTAATGCACTACGCATGTACCTAATAAACGTGCATGGTACATGTACTTGGGGCAAATAAGCCATGGATTTTTTCATTGAGGCAGGTACCTAAAACGTCCTTATTCTAAGGCCCCACTAAGCCGAAGAAATGTGACAGGAGCTGATGGAGACCAACGTGAACCAAAAATCGATTTAGACTCAGCCCCCCCACGTACAAGCAAGCACCGTCCTTTTCAACACTCATAGCCTTTCCCTCTACTAGGATCTACATGCCTACAACATACCTACTTCTAACATACTTCTAACCTAGATATGAACACGGGAAACTTATCAACGACGCCAACTTTTAACGGGACCTTCCTTGTTCCATACCAACCATCTTTCAGGCTGTCTATAGACATCTGCATCTAACTTATACTAAGGTGTTCTATCCATAAGTATTTATTGGAATCCACTTCGCTTCCGCTTTGACCTCGAAAACCGCGTCTCTTGCATCTCGATTATTTCCCCTCCGCATATCTCTCTCTTCCCTGCCTCGCCTCCGTCCTTGCGCCTGACTGGCTCCGGAGCTTTCGCGTCGTGCGAGGCAGAGCAGAGGGTGAGGGGCTGGTTTACTCTGAATTGAAGATTAGAGATCAGGTCAAAAAGGAAGACTGGATTTGGCCTAAGGTATACATTGGACGATAGTTCTGGCTCAGTCCCCCTTGGCTAAGATATTTCTACTTGGGTTTTCAGCGCCGGAATTGAATACGTACTTCCCAATGCATATCAACCAGCTTCCTTCAGCCGTGCTCTAACCAGCAGGCTATAATGAGACCTCCCTTCGACCCTAGGCCTCGACACTTCCCTTTCCAGGCCTACACTGTCCTTGAAAGATGTTACCCTCTGTTCAGATGCACCAGATGGTGCATCCATCCCATCACCTCGACTCTTCGTCGCCCTTTCAGCTAGATCGCAAGCAGGATCGCCATTCCTTTCAATATTACACCCGCACTGCTTCGAGAGCGTCTGAACCGTCACTGGGTTTTGGCTTTACCTCTGGGCACAGCGCTTTTCCCATTCGTTCCTCGCAGCCGCCATCGCTGCCGATGCATCCGAGATCGAATGCTTTCAGGATCCCATCTCACCTATCCGATCACGACGAACATCAGCTTAGACGCAAAACGCCGAATGGCACGATAGATGCTGGATATGATGGCAACCCTGCCCAGCTAGCCTCGGGCCCCCCGCCTTTGAAGCATATGATCTTGCCTACCGCGGCTTATCCCCATCAAGACCATCATACAATGAAACATCATCTTAAGCCCTCAGTCGACGACTGGTCACTCCAGCCATCTCCAATCTTCAATGTTCCGGATCATGGTGGTCTCGCTCTTGACTCTAACTCATTAGCGTTCGCAGGCGGTTGGCGACGGGGGCTCATCAATGATTCTCGTGTCCCCATGGCCGTCGATGCTACTCCCAATGGACTACCAACGGCCGCTTACCCTTATAATAATGGTGTCAATATACCAACAGCTCTACAGCCTATATACCAGCACTCTCCGTGTCCCACTGTATTTGATAATGGAGGATTGCTTCCGCCTTCGGCTTGGCCTGAGACGAACGTCCCTAGTTATCACCCCAGTGCACACCCGGGTAGCTTGAACTATCATACCTTAAATCATGCGCCAATGCCCCATATTCGTTCACCTAATACCTTCATGCCGGCTAGGACACCGTATAATACCATGACCCATTATGGGGAGAGCCCAATAGGTCTACGCACGTCGTCCCAGGGGTTAGAGTCTCTTACACTCGAACCTACCCAATATGGCAGACTTAGATCCGAGTTGAATGAGAATTCTGCACCTGCGATGTTTAGGGAAAAGGCTCTTGCAAACGCTCATCGATCATATATTGAGCTTCTAGCGTACTTGCATTATAGCAAGAAATCTCAAGGTCGTTCTGCTCAGGACGCTAGGTCTTCCAAAATGGTTATATTCCCAAAACTACCAAGGCCTCCAAATCATCCTAGTTGTGTCCTCGCCCCACGGCGTTCCCGAGACACACATAGCTACAGAGACTTGAACAATGGCAGCAACCATGTACTCAGCCCTCAACTTGACGGATCGTCGAGTTTGTACGGGCAGCATGCTATTAAATATCAATTACGAGACGATGAAGCCCCCCGCTCGGCCTTCTACTACCCATTCAATGGTGATAGTTCAGGATACCCTGCTACAGACTCTGAACGAGGGAGATTACCGGTAAAGCCTCTCTCCAGTGCTAAGGCCGCTGTTGAGATGTTAACTCATTTGTGCGAACAAAGCGGTTGGAAATGGGTCGATGGTATGGTACTTGGAGGCTGCTTACATTACGGTCTTGAGCGTTACGAGCAATCATTGGAGTGGTTTCAGAGGATCATCTCTCTAGATGAGACGTAGGTTCTTGCTTTAAGCCTATCTCCTTCCCATAGTTGGTTTTACTAAGCTAACCGTGCTTAAAGCCATGTTGAGGCGATTTCAAATGTTGCGGCGACTCTTTATTGCCTAAATAGACACGAAGAGGCCGAACAGCATTGGCTGCGGGCTGTCCACTTGCGACCCAGCTATTTAGAAGCTGTCGAGCATCTCGTCGGGCTTTTGTGTTCCAGTCATAGAAGTAAGGAAGCTGTTGATATAATTAATTTTGTTCAACAATCTCTTCGTCTCCCTGATCGGTCCAGCTGCGATATCAGTCCCGATAGAGGTGGCGAAATCAGCAACTCTGTGTACGGCGAAGCCAAACTGCACCTACATCAACGTTGCGGGCCAATACACAATAGCGATAGTGTTGAAGAGTCGAGATTGCCTGGCTTTGGTTCAAGTGGTTATTGCGTGAGTGGCAACGAGAATGGCCGCATTATAGCTCTGATTCACGCCAAAGGAAACATGCTATATGCGTTGAAAGATATCGACCAGGCTTCTGAGGCCTTCGAAGAGGCCGTGCTTATCAGTGCCGGGAAGAAGCTCAAATGTATCAATTCATTGATACGCAGAATACAGTCTGTCTTATCTCCCACGGATATATGCGGACCCTCGAGACGGGGTAGCCTTCGTACTCCATCTACTGGACCGCTGCTGCTCCCTCCTGAGAAGGCAAGGCATACTGCCCAATTAGTTTTTGCGGCCCATGGCGAGCTTCCTGGATTACGTTTCGTGCCGGACGGTGCGCCGAAAAGGTCGGCAATCTCCACCACCAGTAACTCGTTGTTGTCATTAGCAAAGATATTCCAAGATGCCATGTCGAATGGTGGTTCCTTTCCAAGGCTATTACGCCAGCCCTCTGGAATTGGCGACATTTTAGCGCTCTATTATTTATCCCTGTCGCTCTCCGAGAGCCCTTCGACGGCTAACAATGTAGGGATTCTACTAGCCAGCGTTCAGCACACTAGTCCTGCCTCGCAGTTACAGATCCTAGAAAGCCCGAACATACCACCGATACCCGGAATTGCTCCCGGAAGTGGTCTCGCCTTGGCTCTCGCCTATTATAACTATGGCTTGAGTTTAGACTCCAAGCACGTTCATCTCCATACGAACCTCGGAAGCCTACTAAAAGATATTGGTCAACTTGATCTAGCAATACAAATGTATGAGCAGGCCGTTGCTTGTGACGGCAACTTTGATATCGCTCTTACGAACCTTGCCAATGCTGTCAAGGACCGTGGCCGCATTAGTGATGCTATCATGTATTATAGGCGCGCTGTCAACTCTAACCCCGACTTTGCGGAAGCGGTGTGTGGTCTTTCTACGGCTCTTAACTCCGTCTGTGATTGGAGTGGTCGAGGTGGTGTACTGCTATATGGTGGAACATACGACCGCTGGCATGTTGATGACAAGGGGATGCTTCGGGACGCCAAGATGGAAAAGACTGGCAGTGGCTTGATAAAGAAAGTCGTTGATATTGTCTCAAAGCAGCTTGCAGAGTCTTGCCATTGGGGCGCGGGCATTTTGCGAAATGGAACCCTCGAACTCCTAGTTTCGCAGGTCAATTTTCTAGCGGCGGAGGGAACACGAAAGGGGGTGAATATTGAGGATGCTCTGCGTAGATGGGCAGGCCAACCATGGGAAGGCTCGAAGATCCTCCGTCTCGTGGAGCGTTCAATGAAAGTAACGATGCGCCGTTGGTATTTAGATACATACGTTCACAACCGCGCATCGCAGTCGGGATACCCACGACTCAAGCTGCCAGCCTCTCTAGCTGTGCCAGCAGCACCGACTGTTCTTCCTTTCCATACCTTCACCTGTCCATTGACGGCTAAGGACATACGTAAGATTTCTCAGCGGAATGCCGCGAGGATATCATGCTCAACTCTCAAGTCGCCGTGGCTTCCCAATTCCGTGTATGCACCGCCCCCTCCACCTAGCCCACACCTCAATATTGGATATGTATCATCGGACTTCAATAATCATCCACTCGCGCACCTGTAAGTCCTATGCCCATCCATAACGCGTCAATAGTTCCCGTTTCGTTAATTAATCACATACAGAATGCAATCCGTATTCGGATTTCACGATCCATCACGAGCGAAAGCTTTCTGTTACGCTACTACAGCGAGCGACAAATCGGTTCATCGGTTGCAAATAGAGCGTGAAGCCCCCGTATTTCGCGACGTGAGCAATTGGCCTTCAGAGAAGCTCGTGGAACAGATAGTCGAAGATGGGATCCATATTCTTGTTAACCTGAACGGCTATACCCGAGGCGCCAGGAACGAGATATTCGCAGCCCGACCGGCGCCAATCCAAATGTCTTTCATGGGATTCGCAGGTACCCTTGGTGCTGAATGGTGTGATTACATCTTAGCCGATAGAACCGCCATTCCTCCATCTACACTACGACCTATGAGAAGCAACACAGACTTAGAGGACGTCTTTCGAGATGACGAGTTTGGCGAAGAGGGTGAATGGATGTATTCCGAAAATATCGTCTTCTGCCGTGATACGTTCTTCTGCTGCGACCACGCGCAATCGTGCGACCCGGCTGAAAGGCGTTTGACTTGGGTAGACGAACAACGACGACGATGGAAGATGCGCAAGGAACTTTTTCCGAATCTCCCAGATGACACCATTATACTTGGCAATTTTAACCAGTTATATAAGGTATTTTCTTCATCCTAAAGACATATATTAGCCACGACTAACTGTACCATTCAGATTGACCCTTCCACGTTTCGCACGTGGTTGCGTATCCTCTCCAACGTCCCCAAAGCCATACTGTGGCTTCTCAGATTCCCCGAGCTCGGCGAAAACAACCTGAAGAAAACAGCTAGGGCCTGGGCGGGTGAGGAGGTAGCAAGCCGGATTGTCTTTACAGACGTGGCGCCGAAGCAGCATCACATTTCGCGGGCGCGTATCTGTGACCTCTTTCTAGACACGCCAGAGTGTAACGCGCACACAACGGCTGCAGATGTCTTATGGTCAAGCACCCCATTACTAACTCTACCGAGATATCCATATAAGATGTGCTCTCGCATGGCAGCGTCGATTCTCAAAGGAGCATTACCAAAGACACCTGCTGGGGATGAAGTTGCCCGGGAGCTTATCGCTTCCGGCGACTCTGACTACGAAGCACTCGCAACTAGACTTGCGGGAAGCTTGACTTATCGGTACGTGGATGGAGAGTATTGCGAAGGGAACGGACGACTGGCCGAGATGCGAAAGATTTTCTTCGAAGCGAAGTGGAAATGCGCACTCTTCAATACACGGAGATGGGTGTCTGATTTAGAGTGGGCATATGAAGAAGCATGGCGGCGTTGGGTGGCCGGGCAAGGCGGCGACATCTATCTACCTATAGAAGAATAGTGAGATATTTCCGGGTTGGGGGTTAGTTTTAATTCCCTTGTGTCTCGCATTTGACGTGTGCAGGAAACGAGCTCAGGGATATTCGGTATCGGCCAAGGATATTCATGGCATTGGATGTGGCACATGACATTAATATGTTGCCCATCTATGAGGGAGCATGGGAGTTCCGGTTAACATGAGAGGGGCACCTGAATGAACCATGTTGGGATTTCAAAAGGCTTCTGATTGCATTTTGAACCTGATTAGGCTGGCTTTGGACGAAGAACTCGAAGTTTCTATGATAGAGCAGGTAGCGGACTCGGACCAAGTGCTGGTAGGGTTACATTACCTTTGGGACAGAAATATGCAGTCGTTTCAGCAGCGACGGGCAGGGGCGTTTGGTATTATGGCAGCGTGAATTTATTAGGCTATGCCGTCGATGGAATCATGTAAATATACCCAGAGCTGACTCCCTACGGATGGGTAAAGCCAATTATGTTGCTCGGTTATGAATTTCTTTTCTTATTTTTTTTATTTTTTTTTTTTACTTTTATATTATTTTATCTTCTCCCTTCTTATCATTCATCTTGACCAGAAAGAAACAAAAAAAACACAGTCATTTTCGCTCTTCATACGTAGAATACCCCTAGACTACCCGCAACCTTTTCAATAATTTGTAGTCTGTTGTTCTACTCACTGTTAAGACAGCGGGTGCAGTAAAGTCCGCGACAGGTGGCTTGATAAATCAAGGTTGAGGTTACGCAAGAGTAAGTCAGATGTACGTTGGCTAGTTGGATATTTGGGATGAGATACCTACATACTACATAAGATAGGTAGGTAGGTATATAGGTACTAGGTATGTACCACTGTACCAGTCGATGGAAATGTGCCGACTCGTCCTAGCTCGTTACCCTTTTCCCTTGGTCTTGTGGTGGGGGTGGGATGGTTTCAGCCGGCGAAGAGAGAAGACGGGGTGCGGCTGAGGTATCTGTGGGTAAGTTTTTTTCAACGGTCACGACGTCTTAAGCACTATCGACCAAATAGTCAAGGGAGGTCCCCGCAAGCCAGAGATATTAGGTTCACTCGGCTTCACCGTTTTAAGGCGACGAATGGGTCCTAGAGAATATATAAATAAAAATAATGAATAAATAAATAAGACAGGGCATAGCAAGGTACGGTCTCATTAAGAATTAAAATATTATACATATATTATACATACCTAGGTTAGTTAACCTTACACGCAGTAAGCCTACCAAAGCCTCCCAACGGGCTGAAGAACCCTAGTAAATGTTTAACTGTAAGTAAATATAATTTTTTCAGTTTCAGCCGGTGAAAGGTGAAGATGAGATCCCAAGTCGATGGGTCGCTGAAGAAGTAAAGAAGCCACATGTGCAGATCATCACCCTAACGAACTTTAAACGGCCGGGCCATGTTGATCGTTTTATTATGTACCTATACTCGAGCTATATACAAATGATTTACGTACTACTTACGTGTATAAGTATGGTACCAAGCAGGGGTTATAATACACTGGGAGACCTGTCCGGGACCCTTGTCGGATCTGGGGTTCGCACATACATACAGGAGTACATCATACAAAGTATACTATAATAATTGAGCCGTGTGGATTGGTCGTTCGAATATACTGGGGGGCGGTTCTTCGCGAAACAAATCATCTTGGGTCTAAACCTTACTCGGCAGCTGCCACCTCAGATCGGAAATACCTGAGCCTCGTGGTTCTCCATTAGCCAGGAACTAAGTTGTCTATCTAACTTGAAGCTTCATCTAGCCTGAACCTACAAACCGGTACGGCCCAGGCCTAAGCTTATTTATCGGATGGTAGTGTACGTGGGCACCTTTATGACAACCTCTGCTACTCATAGCATTGATCTATACTGGTACTAGCCTACATGATGCTCGCAGGCGAATGTATATAGTGGGATTAAAGAAAAATTAAGAAACCAAGAAAAATACAATACAAGAATAAAAGCAAAAAGGGATGAAGGAAGCGAAGGTGTTGAACATGTACGCAATTCCCCCATCCCCCACTACGTTGGCCGCGGATATGGGGCAGCAGCCCCTTATCCACGTATTGCGCTTATTTTTCTAGCCTTGCCTTGCCTGCCTCACCTACGGTACCTTTACCTGACGCCAGAGGCGGTGGCTGGACGTTTTCCTTTTTTTTTTTGTTAGTCTTTCTAGACTTGCTTTTTTTTTCCCTCATCCTACCTCCTATACTCAAGCTAGAAAAAAAGGCTAGGAGCTAAAGAATGCAGGTGGTACGAACCTTGAACCTTGGAAAGCAACGAATCAGCTAGATCAGCAACTACGGTACACATACACATATCCTACATATATGTGGACCACATACGTACCTAGGTAGGTACATTGGTAATCAATATGTATCTATCTTAGAGAAGGACCAGACCGGGGGGGAGGAACACTGCTACGTACCTGACGAATACTTACCTACATAGCTGATGAGAGGGCTGCTGAGAAGGTAGGAAGGATGTGGGTCTCTTAGAACTTACAGATCTACACCCGCCTGCAGCATGCTACTACCGTTTGTTAGATATACTGCTCCTGCTACTGCTGCCATTTGCTACTATTGGTGTTGCTACTACTATGTATTGTTTCTACAGCTGCTAACGCTCATACTCGTACTCGTTCATGCTTACCTTCTTTCCTTAACGTAACTTGATCTTGTGCCATCTCCGTCCCCATCCCGACCCCTAATTTACATCTAAACCTACAGCCAATACACATCCACCATTCTATGTTCTGTACTCCTATAATTTGTCTACCTTGTCTATACCTAGCACATATGCCTTATCTTGGTCTACGTCGGTTCCCTGCCCGATCTTACTCTACATGTTACCATTCTCCGTAGCCTAAACAAGCTCTTCAACAACTCAAAACTACATCGAAATTTCGACTATGTAGGCTACCTCTACGAGTAGTCGAAACCTAAATTTCCACGGAATCTGTGGCTGTAAATGAAGAACTAGAGTTTGAAGCTCTCAAGCCGCTTGGCCAGCCAGAACCATAAAAGTTTGACCGGGCTTAACCATCACATTAGTTCTGTTATAAATTTGACGATATATAGCCGAGATCGATGGCAAACCCCCTTACGATTTGGTTATCACTTATACTTAGATATCCTCACTCTATATCGTACATATATTTATCTAGACCTGGTCTGTCGCATCACGATCTTGTCCCCTCTATCCCTCGCTCTTATATTGCTTTTATTACCACTACACATACCTGCCACTAAACAATACCGTCACGATGTCGAGACGTGGCCCCTGGACTAATCGCGAAGATGAGACGTTGAAGGAGATCGTCGAACAGCAAGGTGCCTTGAACTGGGTCAAAATTGCACAGCGCGTTCAAACAAGGTCGCCAAAGCAGTGTAGGGAGCGCTATCATCAGAACCTAAAGCCTGGTCTCAATCACAGCCCTATCACACCTGAAGAGGGGATTTTAATAGAGGATTTGGTCCGCTCCAAGGGGAAACGTTGGGCTGAGATTGCCAGAGCTCTTAACAACCGAAGCGACAATGCGGTCAAGAATTGGTGGAACGGCAGTATGAACCGCCGACAGCGTCTAATGCGTAGAGCAGCTGAAAACCACTACGCCAGGGTTCATAGCCAAAATACTCACGACGAGTTTACACCGGAACTATCGCAGGCTCCAGCATCATACCACTGCCATGACCCACGTCACTTCCACTCACGCTCAGGCTACTCAAGCTGCTCACTCTACGGGCACCACGAACATCATGAACATCATGAACATCATGAACATCATGAACATCATGAACATCATGAACATCATGAACATCATGAACACCACAGACATCACAGGCACCATGACTATGAACAGAATGTACTTATCAATGAGGCCACTAGCCTATCGCGCCCAGCCTCTACTTCTCCCTATCCTCCTGCTTATCGTTCTGTCGAACCTTCTATATACGGTTCAACCTCACCATATAATTACCGAAGTCGTCGTGCTAGTTCGTGGGAAAACTACTCAGAGTTCTCGGGGCTCCCATCGCCTTCTGCTTCTTCGACATCCCCTATTGAGCTTCTAGAGTCACCTACTCCTTTTCCTTGGAAGCCGGATTATAGCTTGCCGTACCGCGATATACACGCTTCTAGCCACTCCCGAGACCCTCTCCACGTACTACCTCCATTACGGGTTAGGGGTTCGTCCTCACCGTCGCATGAGATTCAAGCACTGAATCCCAGTCACGGTTCACAGCCAGCAAGGGAGGTTGTTCGTCTAAACCGGGTACAGCTACCGCATATTGATGAATACTTCCCGGGAAGCTATGACTTACATCGTCGACCGCGCACGGCACCTGATACACCGCCACGTCATCCGGCGCGACGCCCGGAACAACGTAATTCGGGATCGGGATCTCCATCCTCACAGCGCGTATCACCATACCTACAGTGCCGATCTCCACACCTACAGCGTCGATCCCCGTCATCACGGTTCGGAGACAAGCATTGCGCTGTGGACCCTAGGATGGATTTAAAATTCCTGACTCATTAAGTATACAAGGATCTATCAAAGGGTCGTTGGATTCATGAACTACGAAACAAAATCTCCCAAAGGGGACTCCCAAAGGGAGTCATCAAGAGGTCGTTGCACTGGAAAACAAGAGAAATAACCTACTTGGTGTCTATTTCGTGTTGATATTTGAGGATATATATTTGCTGATGCAAATTGACGAAGACCTCCCGTCACCGAGATAGCTGGGATGTCTGTAGTTAGGAAGCGATGGGATTCAAATATGTTTTCTTGTATATTGTAATTTATCACGAAAACTGAGTATCTACCCGATAGATAGAGTAGGGATTGCTGGGGACTACTTGGAATGTGTTGGCGCTCAATGTATGAGCCTGACATACGGATTAAGAAAACGGAAAACGCTTCATGTTTTCTCTCAATTCAAATCCTTTGATAAATCTAGCCTAGCACTACTACGAGATGAATTAATACAACTTAGAGTTGTGTGAATAGGACTAACCGCGTACCAACGGCTGGATATGATGGACTAGGTGGAACGGCGGCCCCCCTTCGCGAGGAGCAAGATTATTCTTCAACGGCGGCAGATATGGCGTGGTCTCTAATCCTCCTGGTTCGCGAGTAGAAAGTGGCCGACAGGACTCGACGATGCTGTGGAACGCACCAAGTCTAGAAAAAGAGAGGCCACTGTGACTCCAACGACGGAAGTTATTGTTCCATCTCGATGTCTCTCCGAGATCAACAGCGAAGCGGACGTTATAGAACGGTTTCAGGGTTTACCCCTATTCGAGAGCACCCGCCGGGGAAAGTGTCACAAGGGAAGAGCAGGTATTGGTAGACCAAGGATGATAATGTATTAAACGTTGCCGAACGAGCCGGTACAACAAGGGAGGGAGGGAACACACACCCCTGGTCTAGTCCGGGCAGTGCAGATCTCTGATCCTGCTGCATAGGCTGCTGCGCTTTGCTACGCTATCTCCTGTTGGCTTTTGGTGTAGCATGAGCTGGGTTTGAACCCCGAGGTTGGGATGGTATGGGGCTGGTATCGAGCATTGCAATGACGGGAAAAAGAAAAGAATGGAAAGGCTACGATCAGGGTCCGGAATACGGTAAGTATGCATGCCTACACGTATATTGAGCGTGGTATACTCGTGGACGTCTATTCAGCCACATATTGGTTCTCAAGTATTCACGAAATACCCTTGCATTACCAAACGCACACACACAGACACACACAGACACACACTTTGCAAGTACCTTATACAGCAATACCGTTCGCCAATATGTGGTTGTTTCTGTACCCTACCCACGCGCCCATTACCACCCCCCCTTAACACTCGTCGTTGGCGTTTGTCGGCACATCACCTACTTGGCGGGCAACGGCCGCCACGCGCCCCTGGGGGCTGCGAGAGAAATGTGTTTATATTTATTAAGGGGCTTTCTTTTTAACGGCGGAGGAATATATATATGTACGCCCCTGATCTTGCTTCTGCTTGATTCTTGTCCGATGGCAATAAGGACCTACATGTCTTCCTGCGCACATGTAAGGCTAGCTCTACATGTATGTATGCATGTAAGTGGTGTATTATACACGTATGATAAGCCCCATGCAGCCAGCCGCTCCCTTGCAGACCGCTCTAGTTTTAGCTCCAGAGCGGGATGATCGAGGGTCCCGTTCATATATTTCTCTTCTTTTTTATTAATTATTCTTCTCAAAGGCAAGAGAAGGCGAGGCAAGTTTAAACTCACGTACTTGGCCGGGATGGGCTCTGTATCACAGGGTACTGGTTAATAGAATAGCCATGTGTGTACACCGCAAATTAACCGCGCGACAAGGACATGGGGATGAAATAAGTGGTGCTATCTATTCAATAATGGGGATTGGAGATCGCGGAAAGATCCTTTGTGTTTGTGCGTCTTTCTTCGGTTACCTCCCGGCTCAGTAGAATCCCGACCGTTTGACTGTTGGGAGGGAGTGTTACCGGCAGCTTGGTACTGGTGAGTTGGTGCAGGGATCTTTTTTTAATTTTTTTTTTAAATTTTTTTAATTCGTTTTACTGCATGCATACGTGTACAGATCATCCATCGTACGTACGTGATGAGACAGCTATGCAAGGTCGAGATAAAGTGGCGACCAGGGTTTGGTTGGGTTTGGCTGGGCGTGATCCGCGGTGCTGCTGTCGGTACTTCGGTATATATATATATATATTTATTTCTTATATTTGTGTTGTTATTATTATTATTCCCACTATTTACAATTCATATATACCTAACTCTATAGGTACATATAATCAGGTATACATGTATACTTATACCTATGTACCTTACCATAATACGTAGGACAATCTCCAGCATGCGGATCTTGCATCTCATCGGCGACCTGGAAGTATTTATGCCGCCGGGGGCGCGATATATTGGATTTGTGCTATTACGGCCTGGTTTACCGCTTGCTTTCTCTCTCTCTTGTCTGCGAAGCACGTTGGCCTAGCTCCGTGCGGACATACCGTTCCGAGACAGGGAATCCGCTGAAGAGACCAATTACTAATTCATGATAATAAAAATAACAGTAATACAAAAACGGGAGGAACGAGAAGATATCCAAAAACAAATTATTATTTCTATTATTTTTATTGTTTCTATTATTTTGTCTATAATAAAGAGTACTTTTCTCCGATCTCCGCAGGGTACACAGGCCCGGAGATCTGGGTCAGCAAGCTCGGTTATCGAGAACCGAACCCCCCCGTCCAAAGCATCCATCCAATACCCCACGCCCACTTAGGTACTATGTACATCCACCATCCGCACCCTAACTAATCCTTGGTACCTTTCACCGCGGGAACGCCTACCGGCATTGTCATCATTCATCATCGTCATCATTCATCATCATCATCATCATCATTGTTAGTTTCCAACGACCGAGGCGTTGGCTCGGACACAGACTCGAATTTGAGCCCCGAAAGAAAAAAGTAAAAATGTTAGTTTTTTATTATTATCAAATTTTTAATTTTTAATATTTCAAATTGCACACTTATGGAACGATGAATAACTAATAATAAAACCCAACGCTTAAAAATAAGCTTAAACCCGTACATACATATGACATAACACAACTCAACCACTAACACCATACCAGAGCACAAAACTCGGGAAAAACCGGCCGACGTTGACAATCTCTGCATCTTCTAAAGTCTGTATCTCTATCTGTGCCGTCCCTGTCCCTGCACATACAACACATCATCTTCGGAAGCTACTCCGTCCAATAATACATATGCTCGGATCCCTCTTGACCCTGAAGATCTAAGATCTACTTTCCACCTAATGACATGCATACAGTGCATTACCATTTCTCCCTGCTCGCCGACTCTCCAGCTTTTCGGCCAAAATCTCGTAGAAAGACTTCAAGCCTAGCACACGTAGAAGCCCATGCGGTTTATGCCAGTGATTACTCATAGAAGGCGTTTAATCTAGACGCTGTAGGATTTCGGGAAGGCTTTTATGGAATTACATGTGTAAAACACCCGGACTACATAGATCAAGTTTTTTTTCTTCACTTGTATAGGATTAGCCTAGAACCTTGTGAGCACGAGCTCGATAGGTATCGCGAACAGATGGATCCCTCGAAGATTAAATCCACCGTCCAAGAATCACCGCATAAACGTTACTTACTCCATCCTTTCTACATGTATTGGTGATACACTACCCAACGCCTCATACATTATTATGACATTGGTTCCCGGCCTTGTCCGTGCCCTTAGTTACCGGGCCCGTTGCCTTGATATACTCACTGCCTTCACCCCCCGGCGTTGGCGAGAGTGTTGTACGCCTACTAGTTAACTCAAATGCTGAGCTAGGACTCCGGACCCTGTTGCTATCGAGTGACATTGGTAATGCTATTGGTACTCTTGGAGAATCCAAGTAAGCAGCCACCGACGGGCTCCCTGTAGCTGCTTGAATTACTGTGTCTAGACTGCTCGTACACGAATCTTGTGAGCAGATCTTTTCCGCGGCTGATGACCACCGGTCTTCCCAAGACTCCGGGCAGCTAGACAAGTCACCCACCGGTCCTTCGCTTATCTCCTCGGTTGAGTTCTCTTTCATGTTTTTAAATCTGGGTTTCCATAGCTCAGCATCTCTATCCTCGTTTCTCCTAGGAGAAGCCCCCGCTAGAGTTTTACTGCCAGAGCCGCCGCTCGTGAGAACAGGAGATACGTCGTCTCCAGGCACAAACGAGAACCCAGACAGGCATCGTAGGCGTCTTTCGTCGAGGTGGAGACCTATGTCCTTTGGCGCCTCATCGAGCCTACAGCCGCTTAGATGCTGGTGAACGTTCTCTGAGTGTAAAGAGGCGTCATCGCTGCTGCCAATGAGAGGTTCCTCGCAGTCTAGTAAGTTTTCCAATATCTGCCGCCTAGCTTGCTTTCTACGCCACCCAGACGTTTTTATCCCTGTTCCTCTTCTTCTGTCTATCTCAGACGCATCGGATACATCATCCGAGAATAGTGGCTTTGGCGTTATTTGACCGGTAGAAACTGTGGGTTCCACTGTTTTTTTCTCTGGCCCAGACGAATCTTCACTCGCTCCTGGGGTCACTGCTGTCTCATAGCGTCGACGCCTACCTTTAGGGTGAGTCATACTAGCATTTATGACAGTATCATGTCGCCGTATCCTCTCGCTCATGAGGAAGTCGCTGTTACTGTCGAGTACTTTGGGTACCGGCTTGGTTCCGTATTTGTCCATGTCTCCAGGTACGTCAAGAGACGCATCTACAAATGTACACGTAAGATACTCCTGTCGATCAGAGAGGTACTAGGTGGATAGCAGATGTACTTACCTTGCACAGTTTGCGTGCTGAGGCGCTTCAATTTAGAGACGAACTGCTTAGCCTGAGGACCATTCCTATCAACGACACTATTCGTCCTGGCAAGCGCCACTGCTTCTAGACCATCACTGGACGTTCTCGACAGTAGTACTTCAAGCCGTTTGATCTCGGCTTTATACTGACTCTCGCGTTCCAGCCACTCGTCGGCTACAGCCTTGAAATGCTCCAGGTGATACTCAAGCGAGTGCCTAGCTTCGGTGTAAGCAGCATCGATGGTCTGAATCCTCTCTTGGGCGTTGGCGAATCCTTCGATTAGGTGTAGGATATACGAATTGTACTCGATGGGGATGGGTCGTAGTGCCCCCTGGGTCATGAGAACGACCTGGAGCGCCTCGACCATCTGGTCTAGCGAGGGGTTATACCATATCTTATCCTGTTCGCGGATAAACAAACTAGCACTACTGCTACCGGTTAATGGCTCGTGCGAAGAGTGGCTGGCTAGACTCAAGTTGCTGGCGGCCCGTCTCGGCGCGCGTTCAGGGGACGTTGGCGTTCGGGGGATGCTAGGGGTACGAGAACGCTGCCCGAGCCGAAGCCAGCTGAAGTCGGTCATGTTGCAGACGTGTCTTTAGGTCCAATATGAAATATAAAACGTAAAGTATATGGATTGACTAAGGGGTACTGACTTGAATTATATGCTATGGCAGGAAGAGTTAGGTGTAGCTCTTGGGGGGACAGGAATGGATACCTGAGAACAACATGCGGGTGCTCGGGAACGATGCAAAAGGGATAAAGTGAATTGGTTGGAAAGGGGTCAAACCTTTGACGGTTTGGTTGGTTAGATTTGTTCCTTCAATTGGGGGAAGTCACAGTTGACTGTGACAATCAACCATTCCTGGCAGCTACGTGACTTCCCATCATACATGTACCTATGACGCGCCTGAAGTGCAAGTACATACATAGGTATGTATACGCGTATCTATGCATGCATACGTTAAAGGAGGCAACATACGCGGATTCCAAAATATCAGACTACTATCCTCTTAATGCATTCGCCGAACGATACTATATAACTATGTTACAAGGTCAACGTTTTTCTCATATACGCCTGTCACCGTAGTGCCCATTCCCAGAATCCATGTCGCATATGTGCTTCTATCAGTCAAATAAGTCTCCTGCTCTCTGCCGCTGTCTTGACCTTCCTTCAAGTCTATCAGCGAAGAGCTCTTTTCCGGAATTGGCCCCTAGTTTTTCGGGGAATAGTTCTTTTGCTGACTTGCCCGCACTGCCCTTAATTGCAAACCCTTGATTGGCGCTCCTCTGGCTTGCTGTCCCACGAATATTGAAGCCAGAATCCCTAATCTCCTCTACAGTCGTAATCCTGTCTGCCAGTTTACTCTTCCCCGGAACGGTAATCCTATCCTCGAGCCTACGCCCTGACGTTGCCCGTGTATCGTTTCTCTCGTCCATCAGAGGTAGCATGATCCCTTTGGCTAGCAAAGTAGTCGTATCTTCTACTTCATCCCCGAGCCGCCCGGATCCCTCCCCTGACTTGTCCGGGAAAAGCTCCCTAGCCCTATTGCTACGCGACATGCGGCTCTTGATTGCACGTGCTTTGTCACGATTTCGAGCTGCTAACCCGTCACTCGCAATGTCGTCCATTGCTTGGTCGCTATCTCGACCGCGGGGTGAAGCTGACCGCCTCCGCCGAGGCTCGTTCTGACCGCTTGAACTACTAGGAAATAGCTCTTTGCCGCGATTGTCAGGACGATACGAATCCCTTCCATATCCCTCTTCGCTCGTATTTGGTGTATATGACCGCCTGCGCTGAGGTCGCGAGTACGACGCGCGACGAGATAAGGCGGCTTCATCATCGTCGTATAGGTTGACATCGAATTGTTCCTCAGCCTCCCGGTTTCGGGCTTCCCTTGTTCGCCTACGGTTATACCCATCACCATCCCGGTCACGATACTTCCGGGCCTCGTTGCGCCGCCGCCGTTCTTCTGGGTCATATTCGGGGTTTAGAAGATAGAAGCGGCTCCTCGAAGCAGCGCCGACTTGCTTCTTATCGGATGCGACAGCTAACCGGACTTGTAACATGACCTCTGGCCTCTTTGAGAAAGGCTTGGCGGATAAGAGTTGCCGTAAAGGAAGTTGAGAAACGTCATATATGTCTTGAGCTGCTAAGGAGCTGAGCGCGCGTGACGCGGCCGATTCGGAACCAAATAACAGGTTGGCTGAGGAATCGTCTATCCACTCTATTCTCTCCATTGGTTCCTCTGGGAAGTGTTCGGCGACATAAGTCTTTACCTCTTCGGGATTCATGACATCGAGACCTCTGATATAGACTTTGACAGGTATAGGAGTATCGTCGTCTACTATTTCCCCGGGTGAGCGATTGCCCTAGAAAGACATTTGTTAGCATCTTATCTTGTCTCGCCTAGCGTAGGTTACGGTAGTTGAGCATACAGGCGCGTCTTCAAACTCTGGTTCGGGAATTATAGGCTCGTCAGGCACGAGGTCAACATCCACATCCATCTCCATGTCGAGATCCATAGTGTCCATCGTGTCTAGTATCTACCTGCCAAGGCGCGTTTTTGATGGCAGGGGCTGAGTTGTAAGGAGACTGATCGAGTGGAAACGTTGAATCCAAAGGTGTAAGGCGCGCCGAAAAGAAGGAGTGATCAAAAAAAGTTGAGGAAACACCCAGGAACTTCAAGCTATATCTTTTATATTAGTTGGTGGGTATATTGGTGCGACGAGATCGTGACTAATGGGATAATGGATATTGCATGCAATTGGGTGAATATTGTAGACTGAAGCTTCGAATCGTGGAATGAAGTAAATATAATATGGGAGGGGAATAGGAAGGAGGTATGTAGATGCGCGGCATATGCAAAGGGAAATATATCTGCACTGCTTTCGCTCTATTTGGTCTTTTCAAGTATCCAATGTAATTTGTGATGAAGTTGAAGCTTTGAAGGAGGTAGCTTGGTACTTAGGTACCTTAACCATTTTAGACATTGCAGAAGCCTCTGCCTAGGGTACCTTAGCTGACTAACCCCCACATTCAGGTGGGTCTTTTCTCTATTACCCCTAGTACCTTTGTATCTACTCTTTGTCTTCTTGTCTGCTTGTCTCACCTGTCTCTCATTTGCAGCAAAGGCTACCTAGGCACGTTAGAAATATGCAGCTCACCTACCTATAACTACGTAGTAACTATGTGTTTAGCTGGATTGCCGCCTACACGTAACATTTCAGATATATGAAGTATATGAGTTGGAGAAACTGAAATTCAATAATATAACGAATGATGAGTATTACCCTCTCTCCCTTTCTTCTTCAACTCCAAATAAATCCCCAAGGCTTGCTTACCCAAGGACCATCGTTCGGATACGTTCCAAATTATTGAATACATATCTGTGCATACAACGTGTTGACTAACACTGTGTATGTAAGCCGGTGGTAAGAACTAAGCAGGCTGTCCGGTTTCATGTGGCTTGGGCCATACCGGTTGAGCCACTGGACTTTTTCTTTCCCTTTCTTCTTTCTCCTTCCTGTCGACAATCTTGACCGCTGCTTGTTGACAATTCCGCCCTGTCCGGTTGTATAATTCGTACCTCTGTCTTACACTTACTATTTAAAAATTTGTAGATATTTGAGACTCCCAATTTGCTGCTGCTTGAAACTTTCTACTAGACCATCATGTCCTCTCTCCGTCTCCAAAAATATTCATCGTCATCATCATCACCACCCTCTTTCATATCCTTCTTGTGGATATACAAATTATCCGATCAGAATGATAGGGGACATTCATCAGCCTAGAGCACATATGCCCCCTTCAGTTATTTGTAGGCGAATAGGTGAATAGAGGCGACAGGAGTGAGAATAATTAAACTTGTAGGAATCCATTAGTATTCCTTTCCTGTCGTCTGTTTGCGCCCCGTCTCCTAGGGAAAAGGGAAAAAGAGAAACGCCCTCCCATGTCTATATGCACTTCGTCGTGCTTCTATATGGTATATCCAACTTTCAAGTCTAAACCGTCTCCACACCCTGTCTACGAACTTCCATAGGTGTTTGCATACATGTTCGTGGTAATTTTTGCCGCGAACTGTCGTTTACTTCGTTTGCCGACATTGAACCCAGACTCGGTGTCCGAGACATCTCTGATGCTGTCCTTTTTAAAGAGGGTAGAGGTGGTACAATCTCCCCTGCCGACCTCCCATCTTCCACCTCGCCGTTGAAATCTTCGAAGTTATCGTTCGGGTCAAGTAGCGGATCGTAGGCCCAGCATTCCTCGAGACCATCTAGATAGCACGGTGATCGCCTTAGGAAATGCCACGAGAAGGTATCCGACTGCATTGCAATGTACATGGACTCTACCTTACCATTTGGCAAGCAAACGGCGCAATATTTGCGTAGAAAATCGAGATCATAGCTCTCGCCGATTAAATCTGGGTCTAGGGGTTTGAGCATCGGAAGTCCCTGCAATGTTGCGGCGTCACAGAGCCGGGCCTGCAGCGGAACCCACTCTCTACCTCGGAGGAGTCTTCCAAACGCCTTGGACACGGCTTTGGCGAAGGACTCGCCATCTGTCCCTCCGACTGCGATCATTTGGTGAAGTCCACGAGATAGACACCGCTTGTACGCATTTGTGTCCTTCTCGAAAGGGAACGGCTGTGAGGCTGTCGGGAGAAGCGATATGTGCACGGTCCAGGACCCTGTCACCTCTACTGGGCTATCGGCAGACCCGCGGCGAGAGCCCGAGACTGAAGTTGACGTGGATCGCGCTGTATCACGGTTATCCAACGGGCGGGACCGGCGTGCTACTTTGAAGTTCACCGAGTCTTCCGAGCCTGATGTAGATCTTCGTCGACGCCTACGGAATGGGATTCGTTGGCAGTCCTGTTCCTCTAATGCATCTACGCGGTCTTCAAGAACCATGGATGCTTCATCAAACTCCACCAGCCTGTCGCCTAAGCCATGCAGAGTGTCATCATGGCCGTCCAACCGTTCATCAAACATAAGAAGACGGTCTTCGTATCCTGTTTGCCGCTTTTCAAGCTGGGTGACTGACTGCCACATACGATCAACGTTTTTATAGCAGCCTTTCATCTCTTGACTGGTCTCATCTCTGTTCTTCTCGACCTGTTCCTCCAAGTCCCCTAGGCGCCGAACCACACTGCCTAACGCACCGCCAAGCCCTCCCTCGTTCTCTCGGTCAAGCTGGTCCTCGAGTAATTTGATACGCCGGCGAAGTATGTCAACTTCATTTTTATTTTGGGGTGGTTCGGCAGACTGGATGTGGTAACACGAAAGGTGGCCACAGTCGCAGGTGACGCCTGGGAGAGTCCGGTTGATAGTGAAGCCGACACAGGCACAACGCTGCCCCTTGATCTCCGGGTTCAGTAGAATGTACCGGCACTGTCCGCTAGGAAGTTTATTCTCATCGATAAGTTGATTAGAAGCCACAGGTTCCACCCACGGTGATTGCGAAGAAGGTTCAGACATGGTCCTTTATTTCAGCTACAAAGCAACAAATCCAATCCTGGACCGGAGGACGCCTTCAGAATACGAGGCCTCGCCTTGAGGCCACCCAAGCACGGGTACCCAGCGTTATGTTGTGCACGAACGAAAGAGCACACACCCCGAGGCTAGTTAATGTTATCGGACGCAACACGCGAAGTACAGGAGCGAGACGGCGGGGTTTACTTGGTCCATGGAACGACTTGAAATACCCATACACCAGATTCCCGGCGGGTAGGAATGGGTTTGCTCACGATCGTGGGAAACCCGTGTTTTTGGTTTCCTAAATCGGAAGATAATGGGGTGTTGAGAAGGGAGGTAGGAGGAATCCTAAGGTGATATAATAAGGATATGACTTGGTGGTATGCTAATGAATGAGACCGGGTCCCACAGTCCGTTATCAAACTACCCACGGCGCTCGAGGCCAGGAGCCGGCCAGTAACTAGTGGAGGCCGATGTAGGTATGTTCCTAGGGTGTAACGAAAGACGCCGCAGCAAAACACAGACGTACTGGCTGACGGCAGATAACAAGTACAAGATATGTATTTGATCACCAGGGAAGATGATGTGCCTAATGGATAAAAAGAAGTTGACGCAAGAAAGAGACAGAAAGAGTACTTTTGGGGACGAGTGTACAAAATGCGTGGACGGATGTGTTCGAGTGGGATCCGCTGCAGATAAACCGATAGGCTAGAAGGGGTCCGAGTTATCAGATACCGCGCAAGGATTGCGAGGACCCGGCACAGGTCGGATCGCCAGTCCTGATTCTTTTTTTCCACCACTTGTTATAATAATAATTATTGCTAGTATATCAGATGGACTAGGGATGGGGGTGGTGGCCCAACCGCGGGCAGTTGTTATTGGGAGTCTGACATGAATACAGAATTGTTCACGATGATCAGGTCTTTGCCAACTTGCGAAGTTTTTGAGTAGGCCCGAATCGGAAGATGTAAGTAGTGTATTGAGTATTATGCGGGAGAAGATCTGGGGGAGCCTACGTAGTAGGCTAGTAGTGGGCTAGGAGAGAGTCTGGGACAATGTGGGTAGAGTGACTAGGTTAGAGAGGAACGAGAGAAGAGAGCAAGGGATTGGAAGGAGGGAGGAGAATGCATTGCTCTATTGCGACCGGGAAGGCGACACTACATCCTAGGTAGGTACAATGGCCTACCCGCCTACCGCCGACCTTTCCAACCTATATAGGGTAGGTGTATGTAAGTAAGGTACTAACCTACTATGTAGTACTTTGGTACGGCGACGTTGTGAGATTTGACATGTGCAGCGAAAGGGGGGAAGGGGGGGTTTCGCCTTAAGACAACATTCAAAATAAAAAATAAAAAATGGCCCGCAGTTCCTTACTGCAACTTTAATCAATTATTAGAGATTTTTCTGATTATCATCCCTACCGCCCAAGTTCGTTGGTGCTTCAGCGTTTTACTGCAGGAAGAGGAGGCATGTAAAAGCCACAATGCCACATGGATTTGCCGCAGGGCCTTGTTTAGGTTTAGGTAGAGAGAGAACGGGGCCAGTGGAGACTATCTCTTGTGACATCTCGTGTGTGGGGGTTCCTTCTCTAAGCCGATAAGGAGAAGACGGGAGGGCGAGAACGTCTTGGGTACGGGCTATTGGTCCGGTTGTTCCCAGTGTTCCCACTCGGTGTTGTCCCCCCACACTCACACTCTTTTTCCGTGGAATACCGTACCTACATACCTACTATGCCATATACTTATATACATACTGGTAACTAGGTGGTACCATACATGTAGTATGTATATCCAAATGCAACCGCAACCCATGCCTACAACGTCTTGATGCTGTCTTACTAGTGTATAGTACGTATAAGTGGCCTCGGCCGTCCCAGGCCAGCTTATACTTTAGGTATAGTGCTTCTATCTAACCATAGGTATAAGTCAAAAGTAATGAAACCGACCGGTGAGTACGTAATCAGGCTAGTCCTTCTACCGACTTATAAGACGGGTCTATTATACCCTTCGTCGTATGTATACTATATGTGCACATGCTACCGTTTTAGACTACCATGTAGACCATCATGTAAGGGTTTTATTTTCACTTTGGGTCGATCTACAGATTGAAATGCCTATGTATGGGTGTAGGCGTGTAGATACAAAAGGACCGGTCCAATACGGAATGCCCCGTCCGCCTAGTCTTGTGTTGCTTGCGTTTATGGCGTGCATCAGATGCATCAAATCTGCGCAACAAGTGGACGCGATGACCAAAACTAGAGGGTATCTTACCCAAGCGACCGTCACCCTGCGAGCCTCGAAGTAAGAGGGTGAGCGAGATTCGGGAGATATACCAAGGCCGCAATAAACTGCAATACTGCAATACCACAAGACGATGTCAGCAAGTAGCAAGCAACAAAATATTAAAGGTCAGTTGGCAACGTTGAGGCCCACGTTGTACAAGTGGTAATACATACATTACGTGCTTAGGATGATTAGACGAGGTTTACAAGTGGTTATGATTGGATAATAATTGCATCATGAGAATATATGGCGTTACAGACTTCCGTACCTACTAAAGGCTTCGTACTATCGGAGCCCCACCAAAGCCATGGAATCTCGGTACAATGGGGGATGACGGGATGGTGCAATAAATAGACTAATCCGTCGAATCTGTTGCGTAATAATGTCTCAATCCGTTGATTCTATGTATGCGGGCGGTAGATCAAGGTTAAAATTGGAATACGGTACTTGGGCCACAAATCTTTACGGACTGAACAAGTATGTAGATATGATACGTGAGTGCTATACTATACTTATATGGTACCTATCATAGTAGGTTATATCAAAAAAAAAAAAGGGGGGGGTGAAAGGGGTGAAAGGGGGGGCCAGCAAGGTAGGCATATCATAATCGAACGTACATATGAATGTGTGTGTATGTGTGTATTATTGCGCATGTCGGGATATCTGGATATCTGGATGCTTGGATGCTTGGATGCATCGAGCTGTAAGCAACCTTACAATCTGCGCATATATATAACATACATACCGTACATACAATGATATGCGCTCCCCCCACGCCGTAGATATTCCCGCTCGACAAGGGTTACCCTTCAGTGTTTCGTCCTTCTTGGGTATATTTATTTATCTTGCTCACCTCACCTCGAGCAGACAAACCTCTGATACCAACAGGGCCCAATGGGGAACGAATGAAGTGTTGGACAAACTCTCAGCTCTCCTGGATACCTTTGATAAGCTACCATTTCACCTTCCAATCCTAATCCTCAAACCAGCTCGGAGTCGCGTGCCGCATATATTTGTGAGATCTACTCCTCGGACTACATCACTGTGGTTCCTATCTGCACGAAGGTGACAATACGATTGCGTATCCCAGAGCTCGTGCGCTACTTTTGAGTTGACCGCCCCGTCTCATTGCGGCATCGAAGAGAGAATGACATCGTCGTCATACACTATGAGGAAAAGAGTCAATATTCGCTTAGTCGGATTTGAAGCCTTGTGCTGCCGTCTGATACTACTACGTCTATGAGTTCGAAGCAAGGCTAGTGGAACATTCGTCTCGACGGCCGCTTGAAGCGATCCATATCTCATCGTCATTATCAACATTAGAGCTAAGGCAAGCAGAGGCCTAGTAAGTCAAGTTACAACCAATTGCAAGGTAATACGTCGGCTTGCATGAGCTTTAAAAAGGTGGGCGAAGATTAGAAAAGGTAAAGAGAAATCATATCTATGCCCTGTTTAGGTGTGTTTCTGAGCGAGAAGAGAGTTGCACAGCATACAACTAGTAGGTAGGCATATTAAAGTATCCATGTCGTTTATAGCGCTTATTGATACTTGTTGGAAAAAGGGAAGTCTTGGACATTTACCAAGAAATCAGAAGAGGCCTTGGCTGCTTGGTTTGAAGGTTGAAAGGGTTGAACGTTTCGATAAGTCATTTCTTGATAAGATAAGATAAATACCCTAGCGTGTATATTTTCCATCCCACAAATTATAGTTGAGGCCATGTAAGCCAGCTGGAGGAAGTGGGTAGGTTCAATGTTGGGTGAAAGTAGGAAGCTACCCAAGTACTCGTTCACCAAATTTAACGTATAGAGTACATGTACCTGTATCTGAGATAGACGCTTGACGTACCCGCGTTTGAACCCCACTACCTGTCCAGACTTCAACATATCCAAACTACATCCCACTTACATTATACGTACACCACAACGTATGTCGCCGCGCATAGGTAACAATAGGTAATTGTCAATGACTACACACCATTGTAGCTCTTAGATTACCGTTTGCGACCTTATAATCTAGAGGCTAGCTACGGCAGCTTCTTCTTCGGCCATGGCGAGTGCCGCTGCTAACCTCACTTCACTCTTGAGGGCCTCGACCATCCAAGACCACGATGAAATCCTGAAAGCCGCCAATGCAGCTATCAAAGCCTCCAAAAACGATACCGAAGCCCAGAAGACCCGTGTTATCGCCCTCTTAAAGCTAGATCGCTTCGACGATGCCCTCCGAGCCATAGCCGAAGGCGGAGACGAATTAGAGAAGGAATATGTTTTTGAGAAGTCGTACGCTCTCTACAAGTCTGGTCAGCTTGATGACGCCGCGAAAACACTTGAAACGGCTTCTTCATCCTCCAAGTCCTCTCGCCCTTTTCGCCATCTCGCTGCTCAAGTCGCCTATCGCGCCGGGAAATTCCCCGATGCCGCCGATGCCTACCACCATCTCTTAACAGGGCCGGGAGGCCTAGCTGGCGAAGAAAACGACTTGAATATTAATCTTCTCGCTACAAACGCCCAGCTGGAGTGGAATGGATTTGGTCATCTATTAAGAGAGCAGGAGAGACAACCCTCGCGTGACCATCTCGAAGCTTTTGAAACGGCGTATAATGCTGCGTGTACTTGTATCGCAAGAGGCGATTTCAACCGTGCATCCGTTTTCCTTAAGCGGGCGCAGGATCTATGCGAAGCGAGCGAAGATCTATCTGCGGACGAGAAGAAGGCCGAGCTGCTACCTATTATGGTACAGCATGCCTACGTTCTTGCGAGACTAGGCAAAGAAACAGAGGCGGCGGCTTTGCATAAATCTATCGTGATATCTGAGTGAGTAAAGCTATTTACCCTACTTCGCGCCTATCTTCTGACTTCTGGTAGAATCCCGGAAGCGCCAACAAGGGCGGTTGCACAGAATAACCAGATCGCCATCGGCGCTGCCGGGAGAAATCCCTTCCTTACACAACGTCTCTTCCAGTCAGCTACAAAGCTGTCTGGTAACGATAAGCTCTTTGCCTACCAGGCATCTATATTGAAACAAAATGAATACGCCATAGATCTGCAGGCACAGAAGTTCGACGGTATCGAGTCTTCTACTTCGAAATTAATCCTACAGAGTCCATCCCCTACAAGCTCCGTGGAAATCGCAAGCCTCGGAGTCATCAACGCAGCAGCGCATACCCGCCTACAGACCGGTGTAGAATCTCTCAAGCAGATTCTGCCCCTCCTCGAGAAACGTCCGACTGATATTGGGCTTCTATTAACTATCATACAACTATACGTGCAATTAAAAAAACCCGGGCCAGCATTAACCCTCCTGGAAGCGTTCCTTAAGCGCCTGGAAACGGCGTCAACTCCCAATTTCGAGGACGTGCGTTTTGCACCCGGTCTTGTTGCCGTAACTGTAGCGTTGTACCGATTACAAGGGCGACAGAACTCTATCCGCACAGAACTAGCAAGAGCATCCACACACTGGCGCTCGAAATCAAAAGAGTCCGCCTCGTCTCTCCTCCGCGAAGCCGGCATCGAGCTCCTCAAGTCTTCCAGCCGTGAGGACATCGCCTCAGCAGGCGAATCCTTCGAAGCCCTAGTCGCCCAGTCCGACAAGGACGCGATCGCCGTCGCAGGCCTAGTAGCCTCCTTTGCAAACGAGGACTTTGCCAAAATAGAGACGTACCTGCCAAGCCTGACACCAATCGAGCGTCTCACGGCTGGTGCCACCGATGTTCAAGCCCTTGTGGCCTCGGGCGTAGCCTCGATCCAGACACCTGCAGCCCCCACAAGTAAAAAGCGCCCCGCAGATCACGAGCCAGAGAAACCGGCCACCAAGCGCCGGCGCAAGAAGCGGCTGCCCAAAAACTACGAAGAGGGCAAACTACCCGACCCAGAGCGCTGGCTCCCTCTGCGCGACCGCAGCACGTACCGACCCAAGGGCAAGAAGGGCCGTAAGCGGGCCCAGGAGTCCACGCAGGGCGGCGTTGTCAAGGAGGAAGAGACGCTGGAGCTAGTCGGTGGTGCGGGCGCCGTCAAGGTGGAGAAGGCGTCGGGGGTCCAGGGGGGCAAGAAGAAGAAGAAGGGAGGGAAGAAATAAGAAATAGGGGGAGGGGAGAGAGGCGTGAAGAAAAAAGATATATAGCAGCATTGAATACAGTGTATGTGTCTCGGAAAAGAGACAAAATTCGCTTCAATAGTATGGTCCCCTTGATATGGGATGGCAGTGACTATTACATCTTTAAGTAATACGTATACTACCTTACTTAAACACGAGAATAGCTACTGATATGGGAACTACCTATCCTACGACAAGGCAAAATACAATCACATGGCAAAAACCCGTATAAATCATCATTAACAAAGGGCGATTTTATAAAGGAGTGCTGCTAGAAATCCATGTATATACAGCAATTACCGTATCGTGTATACTCCGCTCCGTCTCTGACCAGGACTCTCTAGCAAAGTTAACCTGGCGTTGTGTTAAATACCGGTAGGGGGGAGGTGTAGTGGTTATTTTGTTTGTTTCGAAGGTCCTTCATACCCTCTCTTACTTCCGTCGAAGCACTGATGCCCTTTGTTTTTCTTCTCTATCAGTACATACAACACATATATTAATTGTCGTTTGCCATGTCTTTTTTTGAAGTTCGAGAGCGTGTATAACCGTTTCCTGTTTGTCCTGCTCCCTGTGTGAATCCGAATCCTCTATAAACTCCTATGCAATGGTGGCTACAAAAATCGTATCCCTTAGAACCCTAACAACACGCAACAATTGCCACGACATGATATCCATGATCCGCGGTTGTCTATCAACATTACACACCGACTGTTTGAATGACAGGACTGGGTAGCTGCTCTATATCCTGAGTTACCTCTCCGTCCTTTTCACTCGCCTCCGATGCTTTCTGGGTAGGCGAACTAGGAGGCTCGGGTGTATAAAAGCGGGCTTGCGACATCCGACCCTCTTCAGGGCTTTCGTCTTCATCATCTAAAGGTGGTAAAGGCGATCTTCGGCCATCTGAAAAGCTTACGGCTGCGTCGCTATCTTCATCAGATGGAACTGTTAGGCCTCCTGTAGCTGCGTAGCGGTGAGTTTTCGATGACGAATATTTCCGGTGCAGATCCCGGAAAGATCGAGCGGTTGCCGTGCTGGCGCTAGCACCCGACCCCCGTCGAGCAGACCGTTCCCGAGGATTAGAGAGGACTGAATGAAAGTCATCATCCGTGTTTGTGAAGGAATCAAACCTGTGCTCGTCGCTTTGATACGACTGTTTACGTTGTTTTATACGTTCATCGTTTGACATATTCTGCAGTTCACTCCCAAAATTGATGACAGACGCTTTTTTACCATGTACCGTAAAGCTACCGGTGCCACGAATGAGAACATCGTTCTCTCGAACTGTTTCATCCGACATACCACCGCTCGATGCGGAATCTTTCCCCTTCCTGCTGCGGTGGTGTGACAAATGACCCGCGCCGTCCCTTAGCGTACGTTGCAGACTACGGCGCGTCTTGCTTCTGTCAAGCCCCTCCTTGTCTGGTCCGGAGGCGCTCGTGCGTTTAGGTCGATCGGGGCTATCCTCGTGAACTTTACCGGAGGAAGTACGCTTATGGCCTGATGCCCGGCCGGACTCCATCTCGAGAAGACCGGTCTGTTCAAGGATCTGTCTCTCACCCTCGTCCTCTTCCGCTTGTTCATCGATGGTATCCTTATCTTGCCCAATGGCTGGGCTTGACGCTTTGCGGGGTAGTGTAGTCGCAGCAGCTAACCTTGACGAGGAGGCAACACTTGACACAGATGTTTTTCGGGGACTGAAGTGGTCAGAACTAACGGGGGGTGCATCTTGGGAAGACTGGCCGTCGTGAAATAACGGGTCAGTGGCTGAAGTTGGAGGTGTTACGAAATTTTCTACTGCGGGCGAGTCTCCATCTACCTGATTTACAGATTCGGAAGACTGAGTCAGCGAAAGCGGAGCGGGAGACCGCAGAGTCTGTTCCGTATTCTGAGAACCGGATGGCGACTCCTTATCCGTAGGCAATGGTTTCTCGGTGGTCGAACTAGTCTCTACCATACCATCCCCTAAATCGCCATTGGTTTCTTTCTCCTCTTCGAGATCTAAAGCAAGGATGTCGCGGTGACATTTTAATCTCCAGATTTCCGTCCGAGTCCACTTTAACTGAGCAATGATTTTCGCAGCGCCTCCTCGAACCTGGTCCCGGGTTTTATCCTGGATTGGAGCTAATATTAGTAAGTGTCTGGCATTCCTCAGCTGTGTCTCTAGGATTTTCTGTGCGTGCTCAAGCTTCCCATCGGCCTCCTCAATCTTCTGACGTATGATTTCACGGCGGGCAACGAGGATGTCTCGAGCCATCTGATGGTCGATACGGCTGCGGTTGATACTGACTTCTCCACTGGGTGTTTGAATGAGCTGAGTGGCGTCAGGACTGTCCAACCTCCTGATGGCACGTCGACTTTGACCTTCGTAGTTACCGCCTATGACTCCACGCATTCGTACGCCGGACGTTCTGAATGCAGCAGCATAGTTTAACTTGGCGAGCCAATCATTTCGATCTTCCTCGTTCTGTGCGAGTAGCACTTCCTCTAGCCCGCCGTGTCTGACGTATACAAATGAGTTCTTGTGCTTCTTGTAACTGGCATCCCAGAGCGCCACAGCACCATCCGTTGACATGAGAGCATCAGGCTTGAATTGCTCGAGGGGTGGGTTGAAGATGAGTGGTATCCCATCGTGCCCCGACCTGATATGTGTCTCGTACTGATGCATTAGATTCTTGACCCATGCCGTGTTGCGGAAGAAGTATAGTTGGGCGCCGGTTAGAATGGCTCCCCATTCTTGCCAGGGTGAGCGCGTCTTCTTTTTCTTAGCATCTTTACGCCATAGCAATCCGACTTTAGTGACCTTAATGTCTACTATACCCGGATGGGCTTCTTGTGGATTGTTTGCCGTTTTCTCGGTCATAAAAGCGTCCGGACGGGACCGCGCTGATACAATTTGCAGAACTCCCGTCTTGAAAAAAGTGTTCTGCAGTTCTTTCAGGTTGAGGTCTTTAGCTGTGCCTGTATAACTATAATGTTCCTCGAGCGGGATCTGGTCCTTGAGAGGTGGTCGGAGGGTATCAAGCCGGCCGTCTAGGATTAACGTATAGGGGTCAATGGGGTCTTTCGACCTTCGCAACGTTTCTGTCGTGCTGTTCGGAAACGCAGCTTTCTTCTTCGATCGCATGCTACCGGTTCGATCGCCATTAATAGTTAGATCATCCTCAACATGAATAAAGGGTGTGTAGCTAATATTGTCATAAAAGCATTCCAGTATATCATCGAAAATACCTTCGCCATGCGTGTTCTTCAAATAATCGGCCTTCTGCATCTTGTACTTATTGTTCTTGTTGAACACATCAGTATGTAATATAAGAAGGGAGAAAGCTATGAAATATGCTTGATCCGGGGTAGAGTATATCCCAGGATTACATTCATGGTAACGGTTAGCGAAAGCTTGTAGGCAGCGATCTATTTGTTGAGTTTCCTTAGGGAGCTCGGCCTCCATAAGAAGCTTCCGAATGGCCATATCCATAGGCTCTTCAAAGAAACTAAACGTTCGCATGTAACTTCGCAGTACAGCCGCAGAAAAGGAATCGGTTTCCTTAGATAGGGCGGCGGCGATGACACCGTGACTAAGCATCTCCTCTAGACGTGTGAGATACTTCGCGGGTGTATCATCTTCCCGGCGCTCAGGTAGCACGACCGGTTCCCTATTTATTTGTAATGAATTATTCTTTGAAGTACTCGAGCCTGGAGTTGCCGGGGTTAAGCTCCCATGTCGTAGGCTATCGGTATTCTGTCGCATACGACTTAGCCCTAGCAGATCACCGAAACTTTTACGGCCGGTGGAAGACGAGGTTCGTGTGGTTCCAGGACGTTGACGGTCGTCGATAAAACTCTCGCCGAGGGAACTCATTGTGGAAGATCGCCCTCGGAGACTTACGTGCATTCTCGTCGGGGACGACTGTCCAGAGTGTCGAGAGGAAGGCCTGAACAAAGCTGTAGCAGGAGACCCCGTCGGTTTTCCAGATTGGGAGGGAGAAGCTAAGGACATTGATGCATCCTGTCCTATAGACGGGCGGAATGAGTCTAGAGCGAAAGAAGGGCGAGATGAGGTCGAGGAACGCGACATAGAGGAGGCTGTACCAGATATTGCGGGGGTCTTAGACTTCTGAGGGAGATGTGTTATAGGGAAGAGCGGCTCCGGTTGTTTGGGCCTGCGGCGAAGACGGAAGAAAGATGTGGGATTTAACCCGGTCTGTTGTGGAGATGCAGTATGCTCGTTAAAGCTGCTTTCTGATCTAGAAGACTCAGATAGACGATTTATAGGGGGAGTTAAGGCGTTTTGATCATCGGTAGTGTTGGTCTGCGACCTAGTTAATGTTCCAGGCCTCGAACTCTCTTCGAAAGTTACCGTCTGTTTACTCGACGAGGACATCGTTCGTTCGTTTATAGTTTTCCTTTTATCCTTTTTAGGAGCTGGAGGTGGGATAAATTTCGATGTGGGCTCTTGATCGCCTCTGGGAAGATCGCTAGACCGGCGCATTCGTAAGGGGATTTTCATGCGTGGTTTCTTCGGTTGCATGTCCATATCCATAGTCATGGTCGGCGCAGTCATGATGATGGAGGGAGCTGGAAAGGATAGCCAGGTCAGCAAATAAATATCGGGTTGAGAATAAAGGATGGTAGGTATCGAGGAATAAGGTTCAAGAAATAAAATGATGCTACCTACGCTGCGGCATGGGTGGCATCTTCTCGGCTTGCTGTTGCTGTTTTAATCGGGCCGACAATTGGGAATCGGAGGCATTGCGAAATCTCAACATGCTGAACCTACGATGTTTCGGCGACTCATCTTGAATTGGAGGAGACTCGGGACGACTGAAGGGATCTTCGCTTTCTCTGCCGGGGAACATGGACGCGGTAGCTGACGTCGCGACTGTGTCGACGGAAGATTTGCTGTCCTCGCCATTTCCAGAGGTACCATCTCCTAACCCTTCTCCATTCCCTGCGGTAGCGTCGGGGCTCAATAACGCCTCTGGCTGGGGTTTGCGCGAAGACTGTTTAGGGGCAGCGGACGCCGAATCGACTAGAATGGTATGTCGTCTCATATCGGTGTCACTAGCCATGACGCCTCGACGGCGTAGGAAGGGCATTGTAATAGGCGGCAGCCGACGTCTGGGCAGGAACAAGACTAAGTGTGCCGTCCAGCTTAAAACAATGTATTAGGTATGTACACGGGTATACGGCAACAGTAGTGACGGCGATGGGTGGCTGGAATAGCCGATGATCATCACGTCAAAGAGCTACTACGGCGAAGACCCATCGTTGTGAAGCACGCTGCAAAGGTGTATAGACGATAAATAGGTTAGATGGATGAATAGTGCCGAGTTCCTTCACGGAGATAGAGGAATCTTGGGGGACGGGTTATTGTCGCCGGGGTGGGAGCTGTCAGACTCGGGGATCTCTTCAACTGACTTCGCCTGTCAGCGGATCCACGAAAAGAAGTACTACGGATGGACGGCGAGTTATTTTGTCGTATGGCTATAGTCGCTGAATTGGATTGGGTTGGATTGATACGGATTGATACGATCAGTCAGCCATTCATTCATGTCTATGAATGGGTTAGTTTTAGGATCTCATCGAGATCAGAGGTACAGGAGAGGTACAGGAGAGGTACGGGGTTTGGGCTTGGACTACTCCGGGTACGTGTGTTGGTGTAAGTAATAAAGTCCGTTGCCAAGTTGCTATTTCTGTAGGTCGTGGAAACAATTAAAAGTTGTTAGGACCCCTTGAGCCTTCCAAGGTTCCTCCCTATCTGCCCTGTCTGCCCCCCCCTTCCCTCCCCGCCGAGAGCCCCATGTTCCTACCTAAAAAGGCGAGGTCGGGTTAGCTACACGTGTAATTATGCACGCTATGCTTCGCCTGCCCAATATCCCGTAAAGTACCCCCTAGGTTACTTCGTATGGATACAATCTATGTAACTATGATAGACGTTCCATAAGGAAAGACCCGACAAATTGGATAGAGAGATCAACATACATACCGGTCTCCTCATTTAGATGGTATTTAACTAGTATCATACATATATGGTTACTATATCGCATACCGACCTCTTTATTCTCGTTCCGTGAGACATTAACATGTCATGACGGAGAATCCCATATCAGAAAAGTGATCTTAAGATATTGTTTCTTGTTTGAACTTTCAAGAAAAGTTAACTAACTAACTAGAGTAGATGTAACTTGAGGCAACCCGCATAAAAAAATAAGGTACATACGTACATGTAGTACGTATGTATGTAGGTACAGTTTACCTGCCTTGGCTGGTTGCGTTATCCACTCCGCCCCTCCCCCACTTTTTTACATGCTGAACGGTTTACGTCGTCAAGACTAGAATCTTAGCCGTTGCCTTAAACAGAGTCTAAATCTAAGCAGGCCTCAGCCCGATTTCTAGGCTGCCGCCGAAAAGTCCAATGCCGGACACGTTCCTGAGGACTTCATACTCGTACGTACAAATACTACTACATACACACATACCTCATACGCATACACATACATAACATAAGTATTGCTTCTCTATGCTCTGCGACGCTACGCCGTCTGCTATAGGCCGTTCATCATAATGAGCGCCATCTCTCTTCTTCGCTCATCTTTTCTATTCGTCTACTTCTTGCTCTTCTTCACTATACCTCTCCCTTCCGTTGCTACAACCCTACCCCGGGTCGCCCCGTCTCAACTCCACGATGGGCGATCGTATTTTAGCCGCCTGCTCGACATTCCCTACGGATGGGCCTCGAAAAAGTCTAGCAAGAATTTGAACCAGTGGTTTGTAACTCATCCGAAGCTTGTAGAGAATCTACACAGGTATGAAAACCAGGTTGTAATACGGTTCAATGTCTCGACAGGTGCAAATGAGGCGGCTTTAAGGAAGGCCGTTGATCAAATGTTGCTCGATGTCTGGGACTTCACTGATAACTACACTGATATACGCATTGAAGCACGCCGTATTCGGCCGTTGATGGGTATACTGCCGTCCTCTTTACAAGATAACCATGTCATTTTGATTCCCGACCTAGCCCGTGCTGTCGCGGCTACCTACCCGTCTAATGCCGCCGCAAACTCCGTCACTCAGTCCCTCTCGAAAGATCGAGGTATTACCCCGGCAAACGACATCCCTTTGCCTAAGAAGCAAGGTGTAGATGACGTTTTCTTTCATGATTACCAGCCGCTCTCTGTCATATATTCGTGGTTGAAGTTGCTTGACTCGATGTTCCGCGGCCGCGGTCTTGTTCGGATGGTCAACATTGGACGATCGTACGAGGGCCGGGATATACTAGGGTTAAGGGTCGGCATACCCCGTAGCGGCGCGTCTTCGGGTGGCTCAGATACTCGCAAGGATACCATTCTTATTACAGGTGGTATTCACGCGAGGGAGTGGATATCTATAAGCACAGTAAATTACGTCGCTTGGTCCTTCATCAAGTCTGTTGACGAGGATCCGATGATAGCTAAAATTCTAGAACACTTTGACATCGTCTTCATCCCTGTATTAAATCCCGATGGATACGAGTACACGTGGAATGTCGACCGGCTATGGCGGAAGTCAAGACAACGCACCAAGATGCAGTATTGTCCCGGATTCGATTTGGATCACGCATTCGGCTACCGATGGGATGGTACCCGGCACCAGAGTGAACCGTGCTCTGAGAGTTACGGCGGCGACCAACCCTTCGAGGCCGTCGAAGCCGGTGAATTGGCGGATTGGGTCAGGAACGAGACGGACAGCGGCGTTAATTTCGCGGCTTACCTAGACCTCCACTCTTATTCTCAGCAGGTTTTATATCCGTATGCATATTCTTGCATTGTCCGTCCGCCTAATATCGAAAATTTAAAGGAGGTAGCTATGAATTTAGCTAAGCACATGAGGCTCTCTAACGGAGAAGTCTACACCACCACGTCGGCCTGCGAAGGGGCCGTCGTAAACGAAAACCCAGTAGACTCTACGCATGATGCCCAAAGAGCTCGGGTAGAAGCCGGCGGTGGCTCTGCTATTGATTACATTTTTCATGAATTCGGAGCTCGTTATAGTTACCAGATCAAGCTGCGAGATACGGGAAGCTATGGCTTCCTACTCCCTAGCGAACATATCATTCCAACCGGCGAAGAACTATACCAGGCTATGAAATTTCTTGGAGATTATCTTCTTGGTAATAACGGTCACGAGTCGTGGACCCAATCTACTAGCCCCGATCAGAATCCGTCCGAGCCCTTTGATGAGGACGAGGAAGAGATAACAGAACTTCGAAAACGGCGCCGAAGACGGTGCGTCGATTGTACATAAATCACATAATTTATCATAATAATATCAAATATTGTTCATTTAACCCCAGAACCAATGTTACAGTTGGATACTACTCTCAGCTCTGGGTGCCTCATTTCTTTCGCCTTACTATTTTGGTTCTGCCCCGAGCCATCCATGGTAAGAAAACTAGCTACCTTGGCTTGACCTTAGCTCATGGACCCGTGTTCTATGTATTGGCTAGCTAATTGATTGAGTATTGTTATTGGACTATATACGCATCTTCGACATATTATTGGCAAGACTACCTAGCTTAACTAAGTGGTCTGATATATGTGCATTGCTCGTGTTCAACATTATGTTTCCGAAAAGCGGCTTAGTGGCACAATGGACTGAGCATAGACGTCTTGGCCTATTACTTGGCTACCTAGCGTGGATAAAGATGTCAAGGCTTGATATTTGTTCTCGAAGAAATAATATAATGTAAATTTCTATTTTTAAAAGATCTACCGTATTTAAGTACCTTAACCGTAATATCTTCCCTTTTTTCCCCTTTTATCTTTCTATATCAATGTACCCGATCTCTAAGCCTGAGGAAGCAACTTAACACCAGCAATGACAGCCATTACTTTCAACGCGGTGTCGCATAGTATGCTGATAGCGAAACCCTTGCCTCTGCCCGGGGGGCCGTACGAGGTGTAACCTATAGCGTACCACGCGCGTCCGACGATCCAGCCGGCGCCAAGGGCGGCGCTCGCAGTTGGGAACCAGAGACCGGAGATGAGCAGGGCGCCGAGGAAGGGCGCTATGTTCTCGGTGAAGTTGCCGTGGGCGCGCTGGGCACAGTTGAACTTGTAGGCCTTGGGGTCCTTGGCGGCTTGCTCCTGGCTCGCGTAGGGGATCGGGTAGGCTAGGCCGCTCTGCTTGCGCGCCTTGGCCGACAGCACGAAGTGGAGGGTGTTGATGAAGAACGATGAGGCGGCGACGGTTAGGACGTAGCTAAGTAGAGCAATGATGCGGTTAGTAGCCGCGCGGGAAGGATTTAGATTTGTATCTAGCGGACACGGACGTGCCAATTAAGGGACTGGGAAATGGCGTGCTACGGGTTGGTGGTGGTAGATGCAACGCGGATATAAATAAAGTTATCGGCACTTACCCATATTCGCTTGGTACCTGGAGTGCGTAGGACGTCATTGTGTATTGAATGTTGGTGTATGGATTTATAGATTAGATATATATATATATATATATATAGATGGTAGTTTTATGTCGTCGATGGTTGAATTTTTACTCTGGAGAACTTGCAATAGAAGATGAAGAGGGCTTTGTTTTATATAGCGTTACATACTGATGACCGGGAGGACTACTTCCCACCCCCTTATTTATACGCAGATCCGGCCTCTCAGCTAGTCAAATATCAAACGATGGTTATCCCGTCCATACTACCAAACATACTAATGCGGACCGTATGTGACTAATACGATAGTTGTCAATTAGCCCGGTTCCCGACTGAAACTACATACATCATATTAGGTATTATATGCATACTCATATACGTAAGATACGTACACGTATATACATACTTAACGATAAGTACCTGAGTAGATTAAATCGTGAAGCTTCTACGGGGCTCTGTTAGATGGAATACTAGCTATGTATGCTGCTATGGCGGTATGCGGCTAGACTTTCTTCTAATAAGATGCCGAGACGGAAGATGCTTACACCGGCGGATGTATGGTTAACGTCGAAAAGTGGCCGAGCTGGAAGAATATTTACTAGCGAGCTTTTCCACGAGGATCCGTCGAAGAACAAGCCAGAGCTACAAGTCAATACATATGTACCTACATGTATCTATTATGTAATTCCATCTTGAAACGTTTAACGTTTCCACCTTGTACTTGACGCGGCTAGTGTAGATGTTCTCCTTTGGGCACTATACTTATGTAGATACATATGTACATAACGAAAGTACAATATATCGGATAAAATAGCTCCGGATATCCCACTTCAATGGATCCACCTCGATACCTAAGGTAAGGTTCTAGGAGACTAGGTACCTAGGTACCTTTCTCCTGACAGCACACGGCTACCACAATAGTCTTTGGTCTTGGTCTTTGAGAATCTGAAGCTTGTGTTGGTCTTACACTAGGCACGGGAATATCGCCATAATACGGGACTGAACAACTAAGACATCTCATAATAGCACACAGCGAATTTCTGCGAAACTTATTTGCGACGTCGATTATTCGTGACCCACGATTTCGACATTTGCCAAAGCTGGCTATTCTACTTCAATAGGCCCTTCCAGGGCCCGTGAAGCTTCACCATGAGTTCCCGTAAGTCGTCATACGGAAAGGGACAATCTTGCAATCTCGCAAATCCCTTAAATTCATAATCCTTTATAGCCAGTCTCGAATGGTATAACTAGTAACTAACCTCCCTCTCTCCCCTACAGTGAAGCAGTTTATTCGCAATGTGCGTGCAGCTAAGACCATCGCCGACGAACGAGCTGTGATCCAAAAGGAGAGCGCCGCCATCAGGGCTAGCTTCCGCGAAGAGAGCCACGACCACAACGTGAGGTGCGAACCAAGCGACGCTGATCTCGAAACCCTCGATGCATTTGCTAACTTGCGGCGATCGATAGGCGGAACAATGTGGCCAAACTTCTATACCTGTTCACTCTGGGTGAGAGAACCCATTTCGGTCAAATAGAATGCATCAAACTGCTCGCATCCCCGCGGTTTGCCGATAAGCGGCTTGGGCATCTAGCTACGAGTTTGTTACTAGATGAAAACCAGGAGGTGCTCACATTAGTTACAAACTCCTTGAAAAAGTATATTGTTCCCCCTTAATGGCCCTGATTTCAACTCCAAGCTAACCTTGGATTCCCCCTCCAGTGATCTAGGCCACTCCAACCAATATGTCGTGGGCCTTGCCCTCTGCACCCTGGGAAATATAGCTTCGGTCGAGATGTCCCGAGACCTGTTCCCCGAAATCGAGACCTTAGTTTCGACTGCCAACCCTTATATCAGAAGGAAGGCAGCTCTATGCGCTATGCGGATATGCCGAAAGGTTCCCGACTTACAAGAGCATTTTGTTGAGAAGGCGGCGCAGCTATTATCGGATAGGAACCATGGCGTACTTCTTTGCGGACTGACATTAGTTACGAGCATGTGCGAAGCAGAAGAGGAAGAAGGTGGCGACGAGGGAGTCATTGATAAGTTCAAGCAATTCGTCCCAGTTCTAGTCAGGACCTTGAAGGGCCTTGCTACCTCTGGCTATGCCCCTGAGCATGATGTCACTGGTATTACAGACCCCTTCCTACAAGTCAAGATTCTCCGATTACTCCGAGTCCTCGTTCGCGGTGATGCCGAGGGTACAGAACAGATCAACGACATCCTCGCCCAGGTCGCCACAAACACCGATTCGTCTAAGAACGTTGGTAACTCGATCCTGTACGAAGCTGTCCGGACAATTCTCGATATTGAGGCGGACTCGGGCCTCCGAGTTCTTGGTGTGAACATTCTCGGCAAGTTCCTTTCCAACCGTGACAACAATATTAGATACGTTGCTCTCAACACGTTGATTAAAGTCGTCGCTATCGAGCCGAACGCTGTTCAGCGGCATCGTAATACCATCCTAGAATGTCTACGGGATCCCGATATCAGCATTAGGAGACGCGCTCTAGACCTGAGTTTCACTCTGATCAATGAGAGCAATGTACGAGTGCTCATTCGAGAGTTGCTTGCCTTCCTCGAAGTTGCCGACAATGAGTTCAAGCCTAGCATGACAAGTCAAATTGGTATCGCAGCCGACCGGTACGCCCCTAACAAGCGGTGGCATGTCGACACTATGCTGCGGGTCCTGACTCTCGCGGGGAACTACGTCAAGGAACCCATTATGGCCTCGTTTGTCCGACTCGTAGCAACAACCCCAGAACTTCAGACGTATGCCGTTCAAAAGCTATACGCAAATTTAAAGAAAGATATTACCCAGGAAAGCTTAACCCAGGCAGGCGCATGGTGTATTGGTGAATATGGTGATTCCCTACTCAGGGGTGGACAATACGAAGAGGAGGAATTAGTTCAAGAGGTTAAAGAACACGAAATTATCGACCTTTTCAGCACCATTCTTAACAGCAGCTACGGTACCCAAGTGTCGACCGAATACATCGTCACGGCCCTAGTCAAATTGAGTACGCGTTTTTCAGATCAGAACCAGATAGAGCGCATTAAACGACTATTAGAAACCCACCAGACTAGCTTGGATGTTGAGATACAGCAAAGAACTGTCGAGTATGGCAACCTATTTTTGTACGACGACATACGTCGTGGTGTCTTGGAGAAGATGCCGCCGCCGCAGATCAAGGAGGAGTCAAGAGTATTGGGCGAAGCCACCAAGAAACCCAAGAAGGGAGCTAATCGCAGGTCGAGACTTATCGCTAAGCCTACAACGGATCAGGACTTGCTCGACCTAATGGGAGACAGCACCACCACACCCTTAGCTTCACCTACAACCGGAGGCCCAAGCAACACTGACTTACTTGCCGATATTCTCGGCGGCAGCACAACTTCACCCCAGGCTGCCTCTCCGCCACCTCAGAGTAATACGGCATCGATCATGGATCTCTTCTCCCAAGGCTCGGCTCCCAGTCCTGCACCTGCTAGCTCGGGCCTAGGGGACCTGGCATCACTCGGTACTCCTCCGCCCCAACAAGCTGCTACAGCTCCGCCACCGGCCGGTATCCCATGCTATAACGCCAACGGTCTCAACATCACTCTTCAGCTACAGCGCAACGCCGAGGGAGCCATACAAGTCCTAGGCCGTTTCCGGAATACTTCTGGTGGCCCTCTCTCCAACGTCGGCTTACAAGCAGCAGTACCGAAGTCGCAAAAGCTGCAGTTGATGAGCATTTCCAACTCCGACATCGCGCCCGGAACTGAAGCTACACAAATGATGCGGATCACGGGAAGTAAAGGGGTGAGTTTATATTCCAGATCATATAATACATGTCTTCCAGCTATTCCGAAACAGTAAGCTAACATTGAATCATCTATCCAGCCTCTCCGCTTAATGTTACGAATCGGCTACTCCCACCCGACGGCGGGGCAGGTTATGGATCAGGTCAAGTGGACGGAACCGTCTTAGTGATATGATGCGATGTGGTAGAAGCAGGTATAATAAAAGGCGTCTTGATGATTGATTGTACTTGTACTGTCCGTTTCGAGATGAATGAATGTCTCTTGCGCTCGCGAAGATACGATGACTACATATGCAACTATGTGACGGGTTCCTTGGACCTGATAGCTAGGTAGTGTAGATGAGCGAATAGTGAGTGTTTGAATGGTAGAAGGTTGAGTCTTCTATTCGGTAGCTTTGCTCTGCTGGTTGTGATATGGCAATATAAAACTCGGTGTTGTGAATGTTGCTTAGGTATATAAGTTTCGAGGATTTGCGTACTACCGTTTATATTAGATTTTAGCGATGCGATATGTCAAACCGCCCTTGATAGCGACTCTACTATAAACCACGCCGTAGACGTAAGTGGTCCCGCCGGATAAATAATCGTACAAGAATAGTGGAAGTCGGGATGCAGTCACATAGGTCAGGTATCTCTCGGTAATGTTAGCTGTTGCGACATAACATTGGTCCAGGCAACTATCTTCGTACCCTCTTCGCTATTATAACCTACAATCTCCTTGCCAGCTGTCTATTCGACATCTACCTCTCCATAATCTTCGCCTCCGTCTTCTTCACCATCACCATTATCATAATACCCATACTCCTCCTCCGCATCCCCCTCGGCATCATCATCCCCCTCCAAATCCTCTACATCCCACGAATTCTCCATCGGAGTCGCAGTATCATTCTCACCAACCATATCATCCGGCTCCAAATCATCCCCACCGGGCGTAGATACACCATCCGCCACGCCAGATCCAGATTTCTGCTTCTGCGTAGGAGGACGACGCTTATACAACCTCGTATCGACCTCCTCCATAGGTCGCAAGAAGGGTTCTAGCGTCAAGCCCAGCGGCTTATCCGTGATATCCGGGAACGGGCGGATCCGATCTTCCAGGAAGGAATTATACAAGAACCCGGGCCTCTGCGGCCTGTCGTCGTCGGATCCCATGCGGCCCCTCTTAATAGCCACCATCTTGACCTTCATGATCATTTTGACCTTACTCCACGTACCCTTATGATACCACCCCGAATCCTTCAAATCGCAGGTATCCCTCAGAGGCGCGCGATCGATGATCCCACGCACGAACGGATCCGTGATATCGCACACCTGCCAGAACTTGCCGTCTGTAGAGTAATCCTCGCCGTTCCAGAGGTGGCTGTTGCTGTTCTCGCGCGAGCGCCTCTTGGTCTGGCCCTTGCGCACGACTTCCCAGGGAATCTTCTTGGTGCCGACGATGTTGCGCTCAAGTTTGAACGCTAGCGTCTGGTAGATTCGGAAGCTGGGGTCGGGGCGCGGGTCCACGCCGTACTTGATGAAGGCGTCGCGCCAGGGCCCGCCGCGGAATTGGTACCCGATGAGCTGGAGGGCGATCCGAAGGACTGAGTCGGAGAAGTCGCCCGTGACGCGGTTGAGGATAGCGCGGCGGGTCCAGATGGGTCGCTCATCCATCAGCTTATGGAGTTGGTTCATGAGCCCCTCTGGTACCTGCATGGCTGGCTCTCGCCGGGGTTTCTCGGGTACGGGGTACTGGTTGTTGTTGATGAAGTGGCCGTACGAGTGTTTTTTCCTGCCTTGGATGTTGATGAGCTGCTGCTTCCCCCCTTCGTCCCCTTCGACCTTGGTGTTCGGGTTCTGCTCGTAGTTGTAGTTGAATCCAATAACCCGGTCTGTAAAGTGTGGTGGAGGTATTATCTCCTGACCAGGACCTGTGGCTACACCAGGGGTAAATTTGATCCTCCGTAGTTTTGAGACTAGAGAAGACGTCAGTAAAGAAAGAGCTAATTAGTAGAATATGTCAGGTCTCCTTTACCTTTCATTGGAAGCATATGTTCGGCGATATTTGTTAAGAAGGAAGGATTTGTGTTAGCGAACTGGAAATCTGCTAAGCCTCGATATCTGTGAGTAGCGTGGATATTTCCGACAGCTTCTACTTGATAGTCTTCAGGATTATCTTGCATCTTTCGGAGAATAGATTTGGGCAAATCTTGTCGACCCTGGGAGCTGATTCGTTCAGTCCCAGAGATGGAGGATGTGCCATCTGTGAAATCGACATCTCCTGTAAATGGCTCGTTGCTTCCTCGCTTTCGTTTCCTGCCTGTCCTCTTGGGGACGGTGATCTTGAGCAGGATGTTGTTAGTGGTGGCATGGTGTGATACGATGGGCTTTGACGTTGGGTTCTCGGGTCGGAACCATAGGGGAACTGAGCTAGGCTCTGCCGAGTCCATTAGAAGCTATCATGGCTGATTAGTTGCTTGCGCTTGCGATGAATGTCGATTTGCCTACTTTCTGAAAGTCCGGGTCCGGTCCAAAGGTAGCTAGTCCCTTATCAAGGTTGAGAATAACACAGGGGTGTTCTATGGCGACTATCTTCCTCGGGGGAACCTCGAATATAGGGGCACCGGCCGAGTCGTCGGCGTCATCGACTTCATCGACCTCATCTACATAGTACGATTCATCTTCGGCTTCCATCATGGTACTTTGAGCGCTGCTACTATCGAAACAAGTTGATATGATACACGGCCGAAAAGGATTTTCAAGACTTATATACGAATTTACGGAAACCTCCTGGACCGTAAAGAGAGGCTCGATATCTGTTCTCATGCGTAGCACAAATACCGTTGTAGTGGCTTGCTTAATATGCTGTGCGAAGTTCTGTGATATCTGATAATTGACTAGGTTACAGCTCTCGAATCCGATGGATGGCGCTTCGGGTTCAAAAACAATGCGCCACGTTTCCTCGACATAATAGGTCTTCGTGTCTATCCTTTCTTTGTAAGCTTTGAAACATTGAAAGCTGTTGAAGTTTTGAGTTCTGTGAACCTTAATACTTACCATAAAAGGTACCTAAATATGATACCTATCTTATGAAGTTAACCATAATAAGTTTCAATCTCATAAACTGGAGGAGGAGCTAATACAGTGCGAAGCATAAAGTGTCACCTGACATCGAAGATTCAGCCTATGAGCAAGACCCAATTAAATCTTGTACAGACAAGGTGCACTGTACTGTATGTACATATTCTCTTAAGTGTTACAGTTAGGTAGGTTGTCACTGAGATCCGCAATAATTTACGGCAGTTGTTATGTACCTGCCGAAGTAAAGCCTCTCATACTTTTCTTCGGCATAATTTAAACTCATTACAATTACACATCGGCAAGCGGTCATCATACCTAAGTTCAATTCTACCAAGTCGAGTTCAACTACCTACCTACACACTACAAGATATGCCCGCTTACTCACATAACTATAAAGATGAATTTCGTTAAAAGGTGTACGTGAATAAGTAAATTGCTGTATGATTGGATCAATTCTGCCCCGCCAACTGGCTTGTGATTCGACGCGGCTCTTCACCATGAAGCATAAAAATCATGTAACAAACCCGAGCTAACCCCACAGACCGCCACATGTACACACTAGTAGCAGCAGCTGGCAGCGACTTAAAAATTGTATAAATATATATGAATGCATAATATGTAGGTCCATGGGTACAAGCAGACCTGCATTATTTAAACGACTTGGTTTCTTCGGGTACGATTATCAATTGATGGTCAGAAAGCCTGATGATAACAATAAAGTTTTCATCATATTAACCACTCTCCGAGGCTATCTGGAAATTTGGAAGATGGTATCGAATTGAAGATGCATTGCCATGGTTGTAACCTTTTTTACTGTACAGAAATATATAAGTCACGTAGCTGGCAAACTCGATATTGTTGCTAGCGTACATACATGTACATCGTAAAGGTGAGGTACTTTAAGTACTTTGTATTGTACATCACCAGGAAGGCATTGGTTGGCTGTGGATTATGTACCTGTACCCTACCCGCATGCATGCGTGTACTTAATGTACACTACCTACCTCTAGGCAGGATGTATGTACGGTACGCTGAATTGTAGGCCACTTCCCTTTGGCACCTGTGAAAGTGGCCCTATGGAAGATTACCGGAATCCCTAAAACTAAACCCGCCTACGGTCTATCACTCACTGCTGGCTTGTGTGTAGACGCAGAACGCTTCTCCACCTTCCACAACGACAACTCAAACTTCATATCTCTCTGAACTTGTTCAACATTCGACCCCCCGTTCGTTAGTCTCTCTCTCAAGCTAAGAGGCTCAATCTGAGCTATCTTGCATGAGCTATTGCTATTCATTGTTTAACTACAACCCGCTGCTAATTCGCTTACTCGACTTTATGCGACAGCCACTCTCCCGCAGCGCCGTCCCGCCTCCTTAAGCCTAACTGTTAATTCATGAATCTCTCTGCTTCGTACCAAACAGACGGTGAATCCACAACCTAATTCTACTACCCGTTCACCCGATCACCCGATCACCCACTTCCCATCTTCTATTATCGACATATCTCTTTTTGTGCTTTTCAAAATACTCGGGCCTTGCTACGGCGACGCGTCTATTGACGCTATACTCTATCAACTTTTAATCTCCTATAACAACATCCTAAAGAGACGAGAGAGTCGAGTGTCCCCACCCCGCCGTAAGTAGGGGCCTCGACTTACAAAGATGAAGGGCTTCAGGCGAGCGGTATGTCTACCTACTTCATACTTATTTTCAAAAGCTGTCATTCTCCCCGCCAGTATATACACGTCGCTAACCAATCACTACCGATTAGCTCTCGCGAGGCAAGGACAGCAAGTCCACCAAGAAGAATAAGGATTCCAAAGATGGCACGGCTTCGCCTTCGTCTAGTGGTTCTCGAGAGACCCAGTCGCCTGTATTGACACCCTCTTCCTCTACCTCGACGCTGAACGATATCAGAAACAAGCCCCTCCCTCCCAATAATGCTGGAACACATGGTAGTGATCATGGTAGCTCTGCTTTGCAAGGTCAGGCTGGCCAAGCACCTGGCGCTCTGCCCGACAGGTTTGGCAATGTTGGCGCTCAGCAGTCGCCGAATGGTGCTGCTACCCCTCGACATGGTGGTACTCTTCCGCCAACCGTGGTCATTAGCCCGAGTGCTCCAGTAGGCCACACCTCCTTTTCTTTCCATAGTCCTGAGATGATGGCTAATTTATCTTTGTCCGTAGCATATTCCACCTCCCGGCGCTGCAGAGACCATGCCGCACGATCTCGCTCCACCCAAAGCCGGCTCAAAATCCATTGTCTTTGACCGTCTCCACCAGACACCGAAAGATGTTCCCGAAGGTCTTAGGACACCCAGGAGACAAAACTCGTCGCGATTTGACATCTCGACGCACCGAGAACTAGAAAAGCTACCAGGGTTTCATGAAGTACCGCCTAACCGACGACAGGAGCTTTTCATGCAGAAGATTGACCAGTGCAATGTCATTTTCGACTTCAACGATGCTAGTGCCGACATGAAGTCCAAAGAGCTCAAACGTCTAGCCCTACATGAGCTACTTGACTACGTAGCCAATAATCGTCAAGTTATCACAGAACCAATGTATCCGCGCGTCGTTGAGATGTTCGCAAAGAACCTATTCCGCCCGATCCCCCCGCCTATGAACCCGCAAGGCGAAGCATTTGATCCCGAGGAAGACGAACCTGTGCTAGAGGTGGCTTGGCCCCATATCCAGGTCGTCTATGAGTTCTTTTTGCGATTTATCGAGAGCCAGGACTTTAACACGAACATCGCCAAAGCATATATCGACCATAGCTTTGTGCTTCAGCTCTTGGAGCTTTTTGACTCGGAAGACCCACGCGAGCGAGACTTCCTCAAAACGACCTTACATCGCATCTACGGAAAATTCTTAAACCTTCGTTCTTTCATCCGACGTTCTATCAACAACGTCTTCTTCCAGTTCACCTACGAGACGGAGAGATTCAATGGCGTGGCCGAGCTGCTTGAGATTCTCGGCTCCATTATTAACGGATTCGCCCTGCCTCTCAAAGAGGAGCATAAGCTATTTTTGACCAGGGTGTTACTCCCTCTCCACAAAGTGAAGAGTCTTAGCATGTACCACCCTCAACTCGCGTACTGTATTGTTCAATTCCTCGAAAAAGACGCCTCGCTTACCGAGGATGTCGTTCTCGGCCTTCTCCGATACTGGCCGAAAGTCAACAGCACCAAGGAGGTTATGTACCTCAACGAGGTTGAAGACATTTTCGAGGTAATGGACCCTGCAGAATTCACAAAGGTCCAGGAGCCGCTATTCCACCAGCTCGCCAAATCCGTCGCAAGCCCGCATTTCCAGGTCGCAGAGCGAGCCCTGTATTTCTGGAACAATGAGTATTTCTGCAACCTCGTGAGCGATAACGTCGATATCATCCTACCCATTATGTTCGCACCGCTTTACGAGAATTCTAAGGGACACTGGAATAGGTGAGAAACTAAAGACTAAGCAGTTATTTCCCTAAACTAACAATGAAATAGAACAATTCATGGGATGGTGTATAATGCGATGAAGCTATTTATGGATATCAACCCGCAGCTTTTCGACGACTGCTCTCACGAATATACAGAACAGCAAAATAATGCCGCGGCAAGGGAAGCCCTCCGAGAGAGGAAATGGGCTGCTATCACAGAGCAGGCTAATAAGAGGAAAGCCAACGGCGCCTCTGGGAATGGTACCCCGGCTTCAAGGCCACTAAACATAATGCCGCGAGTTGAAGAAGCCGATTCGGTTACGGAGGATAACCAGAAGAGGTTGGATTCGTTGAAGCTTCAGGATGCTGACAGAACTAACCGCCGCCCCAACACGCACGAGCGGCAGGGTTCGGCTAGCTCTGCGAGGAGTCAGCGGTGATCTTGATTCCTGTTCCTCCTATCCCCTTTGAACCCTCCCACGAAGAGCAATTCAGAAGTGCTCGACTTCTTTTACGATAGAACTTGTAGGCGATGATGACCTGGTTTACACGAACCTCTTAAAAATTCTATTTCGATTTACCCATACACCATCACAGCCCATTGTTTCCAGTAAACATCGGGTTGTCTTTCAGCCTAACTTGCGCGGTACTTGATGTCGACTTCGACCTTTGTGTGCGGACTTGACTTGCGTTTTTGGTCGCAAACAAGTAATGTTTGATATCGGCTTGAAGCAGGTCTGTCAGCCTCTAATCCTTCGGCGATACTTTGGATTGGGTCAATCTCCGGGATGTCACGTGCACGTTAGGTGTTTTTTTTTCTTTTTTTAAATTTCCCAGTACATACTTGATGGCTTTGTATGTCGTTCGAATTCACCTATTCCCGTCTTCGATATACAGAATTCGGTTAAGGGGATTAGCAACCGCGCTTACTATACGTGATGTGAGACGGTGCTCATTGTTCGTACGTCTATGAAGTCTCGATAAAAGTGGTTATCATTGCGGAAGCGTGAGAGTTAGGTATACTTGGAAGAAACGACGTAGGGGAAGAAGGCAAGGCAGAGGAGATGGACTGGACTGGACTGGACTATCCATGCATGCTGAGAAAAGTGTATACGGCGGTTCTAAGCGCCAACGCCCTATGGGATGGAGGAGAGGAAAGAGGGAAGTTTAGTAGGGGTTCTGGGAAGCTTGTTCTGCTGTTTGTGCGTAGCAAGCAGCAGTGCTTCTCGATCAATGTATGGAATTTTTTGTCTTGTGCCAGGATTGACGGGGAAGAGGAAGGGGAGGGGAGTGGTGGTGGCAGATCAGATATATTATGTTGTTGTTTTTATTTCTTCGTCTGGCGGCTCCCGTCGCGGCGTCTAGAGGATGGAAATACGGGCAATGATGATCATCAGCAACAAACGGCTGGTTTAGCTTTGCGACACGATAATGTCAATCTTGATAGACTTTGGTTTTTTTGTGTGTATACGTGTGTATATGTGTGTGTGTGTGTGTGGTGTGTGGTGGGTTCTTCGTACCGAAAGGTCCAAAAGTCGCCACTGGTTAAGTAAAGGGGTACTTGATGGTGGTGAGAGTGCATGTGTTGTGATGAGATATTGATCAGAATCGGTTGGCGAGCAATAAATACCTTAGTCTTAATTAAGAACCCATCCCACCGCTTTGCCTTGTACGAGTAGGATAATGTTATTCATTTAAAGCCAACAGTGCCTCAGAGATCTCATAAGAATGAATGTTACCTAGTTGACTTCCTCGTATACGAGGCAGCACTATTCCACTTCTCACTTTTCATTTCGATTTTCATTCTTCATTCATTTTACTCATTTGTATTATCTAAATCAAGATAATATAGCGACTACTGCAGTAGATAGACTGGGTTAGGTAGTTGGTACATATATACATCGTCCATTTCTGCTCCTTTTCTTTCCACGCCGCTACTCCTCAACAAATCCCAACGCCTGGCCCATCTTGACTTTCTGCCCTTTCTCCACGGCCCATACGAACCCGCCCTTCGCACCGGGGTTCTCAGCAACAGGGGCCTCGAAGACGAGCACGATGGTGCTGCCGAGCTTGAAGCCGCCCATCTCGTCGCCGCGGCGCAGGGCGTAGCCGCCTAACACGCTGCTAGCCGCCGCATACGAGGCCTCAGAGAAGCCGGCGTACGGCTCGCCCCGCGCGGCGGCCTCTTCGGCGGCGCGGTCGGCTGCTGTATCGGTTAGGAGCGAGTTTGTTCGGAGCTCGCGATCGAAGTTGATGGTGATGGAGCCGACGTTAGTTGCGCCTACGGGCACGAAGCTAAAGAAGCCCCAGCGCCATCGGCCGAGGAGGACTACTCGCTCGTTTAGTGTGAATAAGCCGGGTAGTGTGCGTTGCAGGTATGGTGACACGGAGTATAGTTCCCCCGCGAAGTGTCGCCGTCGCTCTACTACCCAGTTCGCTGGCGAGTGGAATCGGTGGTAGTCACCTGGTGCTAGGTACACGACTACATAGTAGAGGGCTGTCCGGTTGTCCGGCGATAGGAGTGCGTACCAGGGTTTTTCCCCGAGCGCTAAGTCCGCTCGTACTTCGGAGACGGCACCGGGGCTGGACGGGGTGGCGGCTTGGTCCTCTAACTTCTTGCTGGAGCTTTCGTGGGACTTGTCCGGTCCGGAGAGGAGGTTAGGTAGAGTGTAAGAGATACCGTTCACCCGTGCGAATTCTTCATCTGACGAGACGAGCTCTTCGTCTCCGCGCGCTGGCGTTGGCGACTGGTCGGGGATCTCCTTTCCTTCACCAGACAAGCTGGGCGTAGGTGTGTGCTTACCTAGTAGCGCGTCGACGGTATATGTCATGCCTTTGACCTGCTCGATATCATTACCCTCGATCTTTCCGAACTGCAGCACACGCCCATCGGCAGGCGATAACAACGCATTCGGATTCGGGTCCAATGGCCGGACACCGGGCTTCAGCGTTCGGTAGAAGAAGGCCGAGAGGTTGGGGTATGTACGGAGATCTGGCTCGGATACTTCGTCCAAGTTGACGCCGAATATGAATGCGTACAATTTGAAACCGGGGATTCGTAGATGGTAGGGGATGGTGAGTTCGTTGAACTTGCCCCATAACCTCGACAATGCCTTCAAAGGCAAAATTGACATTACCTTCACTTGCCTAAGGAGAGCGGGTCAGCCACGAGGTTGACGAAAATAGGTGTTGTATATATCGAGCGCATACCACGGGCCATCCGGTCGTACTCGCGCTCGTTTCCTAGGGCGAATACCAGGTTCATCGCTATCTGAAGCCTCTTTTTCGAGCCTTTCCTTCTCGCGAGCTTGCGTTTTGTAGAACTGCACCAGCCCAAGAAAGCCAATTCCTAAGCCGACAGGTATAGGATACCATTTAACTTTCGTCTCTTTCAGCGCGCTTCGCAGTTTTGACCCGAAGCGCTGGCTATTTTGGTATTTCCGCGACGCATGATGAAAATATACCCTAGGCGAGGCTACGAGATGTTTCGTCGACCGTCCCGTCGCGGCAGTATACGTTTGTCGAAGCATGCATGGCGATATCGGGCGACTCAATGCGGGCGTATGCCCTCGGATAGACACCGAGCATAGACTTGCCATTGACATGTCTTATGTCTCTAAGATCTTATAATCGTCTCATTAAAGTTTCTGGGGGAGGGAAAAAAATACACGCTAATAAATGACTAGCTCTAAGTCGGTCCGTATATTGGGAAAGAAAAGCTACTATATGGAGACGATGACATTCGTTTGATGGTAGGCAAATTGTCACAATGAGGAAGAATTGAATCAAGTAAGACCCCGTACAAATACTAGGGTTTACTTCTATAGTTCTATTAGAACTGAAGTTGTAGTGTAATAATTGGAAATGTTGGAGATTTGAAGTTCGTTACTGGCCAAATGCAACACTGCCGACGGACTGGGAAGACCCTCAATGACGCAGGGCGGGTGGAGCTGAAGAGCTATCCCTTTTCAGCTTGGTTACAAGGCGGCGGCAGCTGGCAGAGTTAAATCTGTCGTTACCTTCGCTGCTTCGTAGCTGCTTGTATTCCGTAAGGTTTAGTGTTATTCGATGTGGAGTAATTACCTACCCAAGATATTGGGGTGTGTACTTTGTAAGCACGGTCCCTTTTAGCCTACTTAAGGTACCTACTAGAATGCTGTGGTCGTACAGTTAGGTAAGCAAATGACATGAACAGCTTGCATTGGCAGTCCCTCGTCTCATATGTAGTCCGTTGGTTGTTGCCGACGACGACAAGCCGTACCAACAGCACTTTCCCTACTTCATTTTTCAACTTTGACCTCTTTCCCTGTTTATTATTAAGTCTAAACTTAGTACTACTCCATTAATTTAATTAAATCTCTCCCGTTCTTTTTTCTAAACATACATCATAGTGCACGATCTTGCAAACATTACATACCACACAATACAACAAGCTACGTGTCTGTTGCGGGAAATCCGTAATGGTTTTTATTTTTTGTCTGCCTGATATGTTTTCATCCACTATCCTTTAAGTCTTGGACCTACGCGTAGCGAGGTGAATGCACAACTTTATTTAGGATTTACTTCCCGCCCTCGTACTCCCTTTTTTCGTGCCTGATTACTGTCGCCTAGAGCGGCGTTTACACCCCTCCGAGCCTTTCTCTAGCAGCCATAAATCACGATGGCGTCCGACTTAGCACCCCCAGCAAACTCTCCAGCCGACTCAAACTCTGAGACCTTTACCCTACAAATCCTATCGCCTTCTGTAGGCATACCGCAACCACTAGCGCTCCAGAAGCTTCCCATAGGTACCACTGTTAAACAGCTAAAGGAGCGCATCCGAGATGTTGTTAGCACTAAACCTGCTGACCAGGCGCAGCGTCTCATTCATAGAGGCCGTTTGTTGGCCCGTGATAACGAGACGATGACTGACATCTTCGGTCAGGAAGCGGTATGTGTCCAACTGTTAAATTCCGAGAGAGGGAAATTCGTCTGACAAATCTTTCGATATAGCTGCGCTCTACGGATCACCAGACGTTACATCTAGTGTTGCGGGATCTTTCTGACGGCCGACCAACGCCCACGCCAACTCCTCCAAACCAGAGCACTACTTTGGGTCAACCCTCGACTGGGGTGAACCCTCTTCCCCAGCACCAGCTGCATCCCAACACTAATCCTTTCCAACCCGAGCCTCAGGCGCGCACTGGAATCCCTCATTACCACGGCCTAGGCTTTGGTTCTCAAAGGCCTGTTCCTGGGATGCCGGCTGTAGGCCAACCAATGGTCCTTCCGCCTGGCCTTTCCCCGCAGCAGTATAACCAGTGGGTAAGAGCCCTGAATGCTCACGTAGGAGCTCGCGATCATAATCAACGAACGGCTACGCCAGGGGCGCAGGATATACCTACTGCCAGCGCAAGGGGAACACCAGGAATGAGTACACCTGGAAGGATAGCTTCACCGTTCCAGTCAGAGATGACGCGTACCACAATCAGTGAGAGAACCGATCCTAATGGATTACACTGGCGAATAACTTACAACGAAACATTTGCGAATCCGCTACAGCGACCAGGAAATGCTTGGGGTTCTCAAGCACGCTCTGTTCCGAATGGGAGCCAGCTTTACGACAATGAAGCACAGGATATTCTGCGAGCTGCGGATACTAACGCGGCAACTAGGGTCATGGCTGATGCCATGCGAAGGAATGCTAGCAGCTCTTCCCTAGCAAGTCTTGCAACCGGCCAAGCTCAGTATCCTATTCCGCCTGGGGTTACTACGCCGTTGATTCCATCTCGAGCGGGCAGCGCTACTGCTACACCAGATCCCTTTAGAGCAGCTGGTCAACCCAGAAGCCTACCTGTACACCAAATTCAGACGCATTCATCTCAAAACACACCAGAGGTGTATATCCTCTCTTCCCCTAGTGGACCTCGTGCCTTGTTGCTCAACGGCGGCTTAGAGACGTACTTCAGCTCTCCAGCTCGAACCGTAAATCCACCTATGAGTGTACCATTTGCGCAGAGACAGTATCCACTTACATTTGCCAATGCTTTCCATCCGCAATACACGGCGCCGGCACCAGCGCCAACCCAACCGCAAATGCCTCCAGCCGGACGAAGCCACATAGGCGACTACCGAGGACATAATGCTGCTCAACCACAGCAACATCAGGCTCAACCACAGCATGGCTTACCTCAGCCCCTTCAGATGCCACATATAGGACATGCTGTAGCTCGTGCAGACAACCCACAAATTCAGGCTATTAGAATAGCTCATTTATGGCCGCATGTCTGGTTGGTCGCTCGTATTGGCTTCTTCATCTGGTTGTTCTCATCGCCAAGATCTAGCTGGTCTCGGTTTTTTTTCATGATTGGCGCCGCAGTCATCATGTTTCTCGCCCGCACTGGCCTTTTGAATCAACTGTGGGTCCCTTTCCGCCAACGCTTGGAGAACTTGATACCTCCAGCCGACGGCCACCAGGACGCAGCAGTACAAGTAGACGCACGAGACAGGGACGTCCAGGGCGGAAATGGTGTTGTGGCGGATGGACAACAGCAAAGGGAACTACATCCGGCTGATACGGCAGCCAGGCTGGTGCAGCAGCGACGTCATGCGAATGCTAACTGGTTGATGGACCAAGTTAGGAGGTTAGAACGTGCTGGTATCCTATTTATTGCTAGTATCGCTCCAGGAGTTGCCGAGCGGCATATCGCGCAAGTTGAATCCGAGGCACGGGCTGAGCGTAGACGACGGGAGGAGGCCGAAGCTGCCGCTGCCGCTGCCGCTCAGCAATCTGAGAGACCAGATGATGCAGAACAGGGCGGAGATAGTGATACCACCACTGCCACCGCTAGTGAGGAGTTAGGAGGTAACGAGAGACCGCCTGCTGCGGAAGAGCCGCTCATTGACATATAAACTTACTGGCGGGCACCAGTAATACGATACTTCATCAAGAGGCGAGGCATGATAAGAGCTGCAGAAGTTTGCGAATATTTCATATTTCACAAGACGCAATCTATGTGTCTTGCAATAAAATGAAAAAGAAGTCGGTCAAAAATGGCATTGGAGGGACCTCAGCTCAAAGCCGAGGCCGTTTTGTAAAATCTTCGAATAGCGCGTTTTGTGTACAGCGTGTATGTACCTATGTATGTTTCTTTCTGGAGTTGGCGCTTGCGTGTGAGCGAGGGAAGCGTGTATCAATGAATAACAGCCTGATGAGGGTCGAGGGTTGGTTGTGCATTAAGAAACAGGCAAACAGTCAGAAAGGCAGGATATGACGTGAGCGATCATGTCGAATAAGACTTTTACTCCAGGACGGTTACTTCTTGTGTCTTTCAGGTCTGAGATCTATATTATTATGATAGATAGAATATGCCATGTGTGAAGCCCACCTCGTCTACGATCTCTCTTTAGGTTTAATTCCTATACCTCGTGGTTAGAGGGATGAAATTCTTGTTTAATAGTGTAGGTTCGGAAATAACACGCCAATAAAGTCGACTATATTCTCACTACTAAGTACCTAAGCAGTCAATCTACTCTACTCAACGCAGTCTATTCTAACTCAACCTACCCCCTTTCATGTTTTGCGTATCCATAGTAAGTCCCAACAGGAAAAGCGATAGAAAGAGTAAATCCTCTCGTAGGCAAATCAGCAACACGGTCATCAAAAAGTAAAAGTAACAATTCAATTGTATTGGTAACAGTACCCTAACCCTGCTCGTTTAGCTCAGCTTGCTCAGTTAGTTAGCCGATGGCATTAGCATGGCCACGGACTAGACATATCTCCTATTCTTTATGTACACACTACATTTATACCCGACGGCACCTCAAGAAAAAGTACTTTGTATAACATCGGATAAACTACAGCCCTCCTTTCCCGTTTTACTCGTCCATGACGGCGGCGAATTTGTCCATCATAGCCTGCTGGATGGCCTCGTACTGTAAATTAAGTTAGCATCGTACAACTCATTACGCATATGAAACTTCATCCCCGTCTCATAGGAACGAGCCCTTGTTTGTGAACTGGGTTACGTACCTTCTTACTAATAGCCTCCCGTCCCTCGCTTGGGAGCTCAAACTTGAGGCTTCGCAGCTGCGCCTGGAGGTCACTCGTAGCCTCACGAACCTTGGACCAGCTCTGGCCCTGTGCAACGGCCTTCTGCGCCTCGTCATGGAAGCCGACCATAAGCTTCATCATCCATTCCGTCTTCCAGATAGGGCAGAACTGGTCGTAATCCGAGTATCCGTTCTGCTGTAGGAAGTCCTCCTTTAGCAGTGTCGAAATGTCCAGCGTGATCTTGTCGGGGTCCGACAGCGCTGATTTACCGACCAGCTGCACCACCTGGTCCAGCTCCTCCGAGTCTGATAGAAGCTGCTTGATGCGGTCACGTAACCGCGGGAAGTCGGGATAGTCCTTCTCGTACCACTTGTCCAGCGTGTTTGTGTATTTGCTGTATGACAGCGACGTGTTGATGGACGGAAAGTGCTTCCGCTGCGCGAGTCTCTTGTCGAGACCCCAGAACACTTGGACGATACTGAGTGTCGAACTGGTAACGGGATCGGAGAAATCACCACCTGGAGGACTGACGGCACCGACGATGCTGATACTGCCCTCGCGCTCGGGGGAGCCTAGACAGCTCGTCCTTCCTGCACGCTCGTAGAAACTGGCTAGCTTAGCGGAAAGGTAAGCAGGGAAACCTTGGTCAGCAGGCATTTCACCGAGACGGCCGGAAATTTCACGCAGGGCTTCGGCCCATCGAGATGACGAGTCAGCCATCATAGCCACGTTCATGCCCTGGTCACGGAAGTACTCGGCGACAGTGATACCCGTGTAGATGGAAGCTTCTCGGGCGGCGACAGGCATGTTAGAGGTATTGGCGATCAGGGTTGTTCGCTTCATGATAGGCTCCTTGCGGCCCTCAACCTCGATAGAAAGCTCGGGGAAATCTTTCAAGACTTCAGCCATCTCGTTACCGCGCTCACCACATCCGACATACACGATGACGTCGCTGTTGGAAAATTTGGAGACGGACTGCGAAATGACAGTCTTGCCACAACCGAAAGCACCGGGAATAGCCACAGTACCGCCTTGTACACTAGGGAAAAGGGCGTCCAGAACTCGCTGGCCGACAATGAAGGGGCTGTTGGCGGAGAGCTTCTCGGTCGTGGGTCGTGGGACACGGACGGGCCAGGTGTGCATCATACCATACTCGGTCTTGGTGCCATTGAACTCGACCTCGAGGATCTTCTCGTCCACGGTATATTCACCCTTTCCGGCAATTCTGGTGATAGTTCCCCTTGCTCGTGGTGGAAGTAGGATCTTATGTACCTTAATGAAAGAGTTCTCAAAGACGGTTCCCCAGACGTCACCACCGGAGATGTGGTCGCCGACCTTCAAGGTAGGTGTAAACTCCCACTTCTTAGTTCGGTTGAGAGCAGGCGCAGAAATACCGCGAGGGATGTAGATGCTGTTAGACTGTTGGGCAATCTTCTCGAGAGGTCGTTGAATTCCATCGTAGATGTTGTGTAATAAGCCGGGACCGAGTTCGACGGAAAGAGGTTTACCGGTTCTTTGGACGGGGTCGCCCACAGTTATACCAGCTACGCTTTAATATTAGTTCTGCATCCTCTTGCTTGGCATTGGTATGCGAGATGCTTGAGTGGCACGCACCGGTCTCTTCATATACTTGGATGGTGGCTTGGTCACCATTGATTCGAATGACTTCACCGACTAAGTTATCGTGACCGACTCTTACGAGCTCGTACATGGCAACTCCGATCATGTCTTCGGCCACCACGACGGGTCTGGTTAGATAATATGTCAGCTTTGTGATCGGAGGCTATAAGTAGACATGGTGCATCGTTTACGAACCCGGATACGGAGTAAATCTTGCCTGCACGTATACATAAGTGATCAGCTCATCAGACGAGTAACAACGTATATAAACAGTAGAGCTACATACCACTATTAAGCGCTTCTTCGCCATTTGTGGCATTCGCTGACTATATGCACGAGAGACATTAGATATCTAAGTCGCAAAGGGATAGGACAAGTTAAGTTAAGCTGCTTGCTTTGTTGCAAGTTTTACTGCAGATTGGAGGTGGCGGGAGATAGCTAAGCTTACCGGAGCCATCTTGGGAGTCTCTTTCGGTGTAGGAAGCGGCTCTGTAGCTGGAGAGACAGGAGAGATAGATATTGTAGGAGCTAGTAAGGGCGAAGCTGGGGGTGACGAGACCGGCGTCGATGTGGTGGGTGTTGAAGTTGAAGTTGAAGTTGAAGTTGAAGTTGTGATGATGTTAGGAGTAGCAGTGGCAGTGGTGGCTATGGCGTTAGTGCTAGTGGTAGCTGGTGATAGCAGCGGGCTGGGTGGTAGTGGTTGGTTAGCAGCTTCAGCTGTTAGACCTGTGGCTTTAGCGGCTCTAGCGGCTCTGGCGGGGCTGTTAGAGCTGCCAGGTGACGCAGATTGCGCAGGGCTCGAGGTAGGTGTGACCGGCCGACTTGAACCCGAACTTGTACTTTGGCCGTGGTTTCCCCGCCGTTCGATCAGCTCCACTAAAGACTTTGAGCAACAATCCAGTGTCAGTAACGCGATTGCTCCATTGAGTAACGCCTAAGGGGGCTTCGTGCATATGTATATACATACAGGCCGGGCCCGCAGCGTCGGTCGGAGGCCGAGCATGCAAACGCGTTATGCGGTGTAAACCGTCTAAACTTTCTAGGTGAGGAGTTGTCTTTGACGAGGTCAATGGTAGTCGGATCTGGAATATTGTTGTAAACTCGACAAGGTTGCTTATGCCTTACTTATTATATGCGTACGTTGTATCCGGGAGATGTATTTGATTACAAGTAATTACAATCGACATGAAGGAAGCCACAAGTATAAGTACAAGAGGTAACCACCACCTGGGCAACCTCTTGACCGAAATCCCCCCGCTTTTAGAATTATACCTTGCACCGATAAACAGATATCGCCTACTATGTTTCATCAATCTTGGCTGGATTCAAGTTAGGTTTTCAGTGCAACATTCAATATAACCAGTCCAAGTCGGGACCGTCTTAGTTTAAGAGAAACAGAACATGGTAATTATTTTAATATAACCAGACTCTGATTTCTTAAATCCCAAACGCCTCTAACCGTAGGCCCCAGAAACTATGACTATGGCCTTTACTATAATTAAAAGATACGTCTAAGAGCTAAGCGTAATTTCTAATTTATTCGGTCATCAGAAACCCGTTCCTAGTATTCGATATGAGCATTTTATATGATAAAAGAGCACTACTTTACTCTTCGAATAAAAAGTGAATATTTGTCTCTAAAACGTCGACTAATAAGATGAAAATTATCAACATGTTCAGTAGCCAATATCTCAATGGCGACATATCATAGCTTATACAAACTTCGCTGAGACATATCAACGATGGACTTGAGTATGTAGATATATACAATTCTTTCAATTTCTTATTAATCTCACACTTCCCACCTACCTAATATCCTACAACCAATACAACAGAGCGGCGTTATCATAATACTCGTTACACTATAATACAACCCAACAAATACCCTCCCTCCCATTCCCCAGTTTCCTTACCTCTCCCAAACTAAAGATGGACCTGATCAAGCTTATCCGAAATCCCATTCTTACCATTGACACCATTGACACCATCCACCCGATCCGGAATAACATCCCACGCCTCATCCTCGCCGGCACCGCGTACCCAATGTGGTTCTGTCTGGAACGAGTCGACGACGAGGTGACCAATCTTCGTCCACATGTCCCCCTTGATCCTAATCCATGGCTTATCCTCGTACTTCTCGCTTAGAGTCTGGCCGATGCTGACGGCGCGGAAGAGCTTGATGCCGTGGCCGTCTTCTTCTAGGGTGTGCATTAGGGGGAGTTGTTCTATTATATCAGAGTTTAGTTAGTTAGTTTACACTCAGTCGGAACGTGCTTCAAAAGTCATGTATTGTAAATGCGTACCATTTGCTGGAGTCAGTTTTCCAGCCCGTGGGACGTATGCGGCGATATTTTCGAGGTCAAGGGGTGGACAGCCTCTAGCTGCGTACTGGACGAGGTCGAGTCGTATTTTCCATTCGAGGAGTCTCACTTTACTTTCGATTGGGATCCAGTCCAGGCCATTCAAGATGATATATATGGGGTTGATATTGATGTGGTGCCTATTTGCCGTGAGTAAGCCACATAAGGTATGAAGGGTGGGTAAGAAGACATACATAATGAAGAAGTCGAACTTGGGCTCCTTGCCCGGATGGAAAGCCGCGGAAGCACCTTCGTATACGGCTATGTGATACATCTCGGCATTCCTCTCGTCTAGCTCTTCCGGCTTGACCTTCACCCTACTCGCTAGCTCGACAATCTCGTCCCATGCTTTACCAAAGACGCCCTTACTAATTTTGGTTGGCTCATCTGTGCCATGGATGGAACTGGATAGCTTTTCGTTCGCCCTGACTTCCCTTAATAGGCTCTCGATGCTGGGCATGGGCTCTGTATTTGATTTGGCAGCCTCTTCGGTCGTATATAGGAACTTCCTTAGGTCATCTTTGTGGACGGCTGCTTGGGCCAGGGCCATGGCGACTATCGCAGGTTGTTTCCACTCGACGCCGTACATTAGCTGGATTATAGGGTGAAGGAACCCTAATTTAAGTATCAGCATGTGATATCAGCTAAAATTATGTCCTTTACAGGGCTTACCAGCGACCATTCGAAGCAGCATGTCTTCACTTCTCTCATCGCCCTTGAACATGTGTTCACTAAGTGTCTTCTCCCAGCCTAGCTTGTCGACCTCATTTTGAAAAAAGGCCAAGAACTCGTTGTAATATCTTCAACTACGGTGTTAGCTAATATGTTGGTAATAGTTTAGAGATAACTAGAAAGCCAGTTTCTGGCTTCCCAACTTTGACAATAGCTGCCAGGAGTCCGGATAAATAAAAGAACGTTGTCCATCCTCAAGTTCGACTTACCCGCCTTTACCAAGATACTTCTTAGCTTTCTCCCAGTCTCCGAGCTCTTCGACGACATTCTCACGGATCTTCTTAGCTGGCCTTTGGTACGTCTTATTGACATCGTAGCCTTTCTTCAGAAGCTCGGGCGAGGCGCCTGTGCCGTATAGGGCTAGGATTTGATGACTTATACTGAGGAATAGGTCAACGCTTCCGTCTAAGTCACGAAATATACGATGGGGGTTTACTGATTATGGTAGCCCATATCGTTGAAGTACACATGATGTTTCTAAGCCTTGGATTAGAGCCGTGTTTCTTTTTATGATTAGAGCTCGACCTACCTCGAGGTCCTCCTGCAACAGTTCACTAGCCTTCTTCGCCGAGGCTTCATCCTGTTGGATCTTCCATAGCCCAGTATTGTCGGGCGTGATTTGGATAATATGTGCCGTTGCCATATTTACTAAATTCCTATATGTTGAAAGCTTGGTGAATTTTATACTGCCTCGAGCAACTCGCAGAGGAAAAATAGAAAAGCCCATGGGTTTTTCACTTTATATATCTTATACCTTGAACCCATGCCAAGCCCCGCCCACCACAACTCGGCCTTTTATATGGTGACAAATCTTATAAATAATAGGCAGCTGGTTGGATAGAAGTTGCGGAGAAGTGGTTTGCTTGTACGAGATGGTGTATGTGCAATGGTGACGAAGTCACGATAAATCCGGGGCATCCAGCATGGATGGGCAATAGCCCCGTCTTGGCTTCACGGCCTCGTGGTTTCATTTCCACTTATAATCTTGGAGATTGAGACAATACAATGGCTTGATAACTAAGACAACGCGAATTGAGCGAGCGCAAAGGTCAACTGCTTATAAACCGTGCATTAACTCAGCAGCTTTCGGCTTCCGCATAGCAGGCGAGCTGGTCCTGAATCGGAAGTTAGGCCTTACCTATCCGGGATTAGGCATGCAGCTATTCCCGAAAGTCATTCATACATGTGACATCATCCGCATGATTTTGTAACGTTATGCAGTATCCTAATTTTACATATTGGAACTTTTGTCACCTCTCATAGGAACTTTTGGTTTAAGAGGGTTTAAATAAAGACGAGCACGAGCTTAAGGTAACGAAGCTAGATACTAGGGTTATGCGTGTGGGCGAATTTATAAGCATAACTATAGACCGCCAATGTAAGACGCGGACACGATGGTAACATCTCTCTACTTACAGACATTAATATTATGACTCATATCTTGGTACGAGATGTGTCTAAATGATTAAGTATGAATTACAAGCTCATATGTTAAATAGTATGTTTCAACTGTCTGATCGAGATTCTATGATATCCAGGGGGGCGGTATATCCTCTTGTATTCCTATTATTAAATCTATAATACCACGGTGCCATTGTGCTTTAAGAGATTGTATTCGTGTCTGTTGTGGATGAGTTGGAGATGTTTACATATCCTACAATTCTATTACCATTGGTTGGATTGTTCTATATCCATAGGAATATAGTTCCCTAAATAATACAAATCTACTTATATATATTCAGCCTTTGTAACGAGGGAAATAATAGAATTATGTATCCTCCATGGCGGTAGAAGAGGGCAAAGAACGATATAAGGAAGGGTTGTCCATTCTCATAGTATTTTATATAACTCCCATATTGCTGTAAACACAGGTATCCGTGCAACTATTCATGAGTAAACACAACAAACGTAAATGCACCAAGAGTGCGCAAAGCAGACATGGCAGCAGCAAGGACCAAAGCCGTTGCGTTGCCCTGTTACTAGCTGCACAGTTAATTCCCTACCAGCAACCCGTCACCACCTAGGACGATAATTGTCCTAGCAACAAAGGCCATACATACACGTCGTTGCCAATCAACATCAGTGATATTTACCTGTGCCATCTAAAAGCAGTGGTGTTTTTGGAATTCCGTATTATAATATAACACCACTTGCTACGTTGTCACGCTTCTTGCCATATTTTCTCTCATCGGCGATACCAAGCTAATTAGAGAACCTCTTCCCACCTCCCAATTACTTTTCTATTCCCGGTAGCCTACCATGTGTAAACAATACCACTACCACTCCAAGTGCCCCACGACCAACTGCGAGTCTATCCTCGGCTATAAGAAGCGCAACCGGTACTGTCCCGAAGCTCTCAAAGCTAGGCGCCTCGGACGCTGCTCAACAGGCATCCAAAACGCGGGCGAATTCCGCATCGTGGACTCGACAGCGTGTTGCGACGCCTGCAAGCAGCAAGCCAAGATAACCCGCCAGCGCGAACAGCAGAACGAGCAGCAGGTCCCGGACCAGAGCAACAGTGACTAGGAGAACAACACTGGTATCGGGATCTGGTCTAGCTTCGGCTTCGTCGCAATGCCTAAGGCTAAGCCCAAACCCCCGTCCCAACCTCTCATCCCAGCCCAGTCCAAACCCCTACCAAAAAGCAAGGCCAAGACCAAGAACAGCAACAAAGACCTATTCGACACGGTCTTCAAAACCGCCCTAGCAGACATGGAAACCGCCTTCAACAACGCGAACTCGGACACCGCCACCACCAAACCAGGCACCAGCGACACCAACGAGGAAGCATAGGACGCACCTCGCGAAGTCCTCGTCCCCCAAACCCCGGAGAAGAAGACGTCAACCACCACCAGCACCACCAAGCGCGGCCGAAAGCGTTACGTCAAGCCCCAAGACCACGACCAGGATCACCCTCCCGTCGACGACGCCGAGCGCTATCCCTACGGCTTCAGCCCAACGCCGACCGAGGGCAAGTACGTCCACGAGTATAAGCGCGAAGACGAGTCCGACGAAGATGGTCATCTTGATGAATGAACGAAACATACGCGCACGAGGGACGTCTAGGTTACTTACTTGTCTGCTTTGAGCTTGTCGCGACGGTATGTCATCGACCGACTCCACGGCCACCGAGTAAGTAAGTAGAAAGCAGAAGCGCATCATAGCCTTTTTGGGTACATCGCTAACGAAGCACCACAAAGGGAACGAGCAGACTATGAATTACTTGATGTGGCATGGATGAATATTGCGTGGGCCCTGATCTTCGTCTAGGCCTATCAGACAGTGGATTTCTTAGTAGTGGTAGACTATGTATTGTTATAATAGGGGAATAGGAGTAGGGGATGTTTAATATAGGCAAGTCTTGTTCACCCCCACCCACCGTCCCCCTTCCATGTTGTGAGTAGTGTTGCTTCCTAGTAAACTAACTAGATGAGGGTTATTCTTACTTTATCCTTATCCGTAGCCCCCCGCACATGTTCAGTTATATTGGGTTCGGCCTCTGTATCGATCCAGCACATGCCAGTGCGTCTATAACAATCCGGTTCCTCTTCACAAAGACGTACCAGTAAGCCCCATAGCCTATTTTCTTCGTGTTGGCCAATGACAAGTATAATATAAGCCTGATGCCAATAATCGTCGGTTTCTGTACAGTCTGTGTGTAGAGATTTCGGGCGAAACCCCAATCTTGGGTTTGTTGGTGTTGTGAACCTTGTTCTACTCTGCTTGCCGCTATTTGCTGCAATGTCAGGTTCGATCTTGTAAAGGAGACATCGTAGTTTTAAGTAAGATATCCTATGGCTACTAGCAGCACCTTGCTTGGCGACCGTATGCCCATCATGGGCCTCGTCAACATTGATTAGGACACGGTCATGAGGTTGTGGGATAGCGTAAAAATAAACGTCTCTGTTGAAGCTGGCCCAGCTCCACGAAGGACCGCAGTCATACGAGGGGGGCGTATCGGATATCCTAATCTGCCAAAGAAGCATCCAAGGAAGCTGTGAGCGCCATAGGCCTGCGACGTAAATATCCATATCTTTAAGAGCCTCCTGAACTCGAGATGCAACCCCGAAGATTGCTACTAGCCTGTCGGTTTTATATGTCAACTCGAGACTTGAATACCGAGAGATTATGTTATTCCAGTCCAGGAATATGTTGCGTCTCAGGCGCTCGATCTTCTCGTCTATGGTGGCCCCTTCAAGATGTGCCAATGTCCTATCAAATCTAGATATGTTGCTATACGTAGAATAGGATGACTCCTGGGGATAGCTAATAAAATTACCCGGGAACGGGTCATGCCTCGTTTCACAAAATCTCAACTTACGCATTTCTGACAACGTAAGATCTAGACTTGTTATATTTAGAGCTAAGGGAGCAGCGCCCTTGCTATACTCTATGTGAGATTCGAAAATGAAAGGAAATGTTTCGCATGCAGTTGTTTGGTTGCATTCCCAAAACAGTTGATCTTTGGCGCAATGGATTTGTCGCGGTGCTAATATGCGTTCTTGAAAAACCCAGGCTCGCTTGTTTAGTGGCGCTTCCTCGATACTCCTATGCCATGAATGATCGGAAACGATGAGGTATTTCTTTGGGATTGGGTTCTCTTCTTCTCCCCCTAGGCGTAGTGAAATCTCTAAAGGAGAAACTATAGTAGGATCCCGGGGGTAGAAACAGCCTTCGGTTGGTCCTTGAGCTGCCGTCGCTGCGATATTACACTTCGAATGTCGGTATACGTCGACCATCGCTTTGCTTTCATGTATCCAGTCATCCTCAGAGCCTTGGATGATACATAGCGAATCAATCCATATGTAGTCGCTACGAAGAAACCGCGATAGACGGACAGCGTCCTGGAATGTTTTGGGAAGTTCTATGTATGAGAATCCATTCTTTATGCGATATTCATAAGTCTCGCTCGTGAGCTTCAGCATCTCAAAAGCGATAAAACCCCAAGAGTGACTAAGTGTCATGTAACCCCCTTTGGGCGGCTTGTCTTGCGTTAAGTGAAGTTGTACATTGAAGGAGCTGAGATCCCTATCGAGATATCCGGTAGGAAAATGGCCGATATATAAAAGCCTCGTCGGATACCATGAAGCGGAGTGGAGGATCTTGCATCTGCTATGGTTCTTTATGCAGTTCTTTATCCAAGCATCACATAGTTCCCATGCCGTTTGGCTCTCCGTTGATTTCGGGGGCGTATAATTTAGGTCGTGGTATGCTCCTATAGAATCTAACTCGTCAAGTACCCTCTGTCGGCCTACTAAGACAGAGAGTCGGGTAATATGTTAGTTATACCGTCGATTATACACTTGGGTCGACTCAAGATAGCTTACGCGAAGTGCCTGGGTAAGAAATGGTTTCGGACAGTTGTCCGTACATAGCCGAATAGCAAGTCGTCGAGGTGGATTTTAAAAACATCATAATTGAGGCCCTCCCTTTGTAGTATGCGCCGAGCGCCGCCTTATGCCAATGTTCGTCCTCGGGGTCTCTATATGATTTTAAGCTTTTAATCAAGCGTGGCCATCTTGCGTTGATAGAACCATTCTTACGTGTTATCATGTCTCAATACAATGCAGAGCTGGCAACCGGATCGGGCTGATTTGTGTATATCATGATAATCCATAGAGTGCACCCATCCGCAAATATTAAGCTGGTCAAAGTTCAAATCAAGATTAGAAAGGAACTCGTTGCAATAACCGCAAAGTTTTGGCCCGAATCTGCTTGCAGAGACGTTTTCTTTCTGACTACTTCGTGACGAACTAGACATTGTGTCTACTGACTTTCCCCAAGATCGCATAAACTTAACAAACGCCAGAGATGCTCTAGAGAAGGCTTTAAGGGCTTAAGTAAGGAGTGTTAAGATGATGTCTAAATTCCTGATCAAGGGGAAACCCGTCACTATATGAGACCTTTATAGGCGCCGTGCGGCTACATACTACGTGAAATGCTACGCTGCAGGGGCTTGGTAGCCCTGTACCTGTTCGATAAACATGTGTAAATTAAGCGATAACTAGGTAACTCTTGTATACCTATGTATGTATTGGTGGCGCCTGGGAAAAGAGGGGGACGGGAAAGGGGCATTTTGTTGTTGGTTGGTAGTTATCTGAAAAGAATCCTCAAGCTTACTATTATAGTGTACCAAGTTTAGGCATTGAATGGTTATAAAAATGGGACGGTTTTCAAAGTGGAAAAATGGTTCAAAAATAATAAACACGACGAAATGGATATATCAAGCGAGCGTTCGTACTCCTTAGAATTTATCAGATCTAGCTTACCTACCTACCTGTACTTGCCTTCTATCCTAACTGCTTGGCCTTGATAAACATTACACAACCGCCATGGCTTGCTTATGTCTACCTGGTTAAGATGTTCCCACTATCAACAAAGACACACCGCCTCAGCCTCTTTACATGGAACCCTAATCAGCATATAGTCTTGAACGTACAATATTAGAGTATCTATCTAGTTATGTCTTCGAAAAATAGCTGTATTCTGTCGCTATTATCGGGGATTACTGGTTCTGTTGGGTCGGAGTTGAGAAAGCTTGAAGCTCTCCTTACCGTTGTAGCTCACCCCGCAGCGGTATCTCATGATCCTTACAACGCTTCCCGTTAAAATAATATAACACCTCCTTAGCAATTATTGGAATCGTCAGAAGCCGGAGACACTCAGACTCAGGAATGTCAACTGCAAGATATTGTACTCCAATAAAAAAAACTGGTACTACAACATAACATAACTATCATACCTCAAAGCAATCATTGATAGGACACATCAACTCAACATTTCATAATATATTAACAAGATAAAACCGTACTATACGAGAAGAATAATAATAATAATAAAAAAGTGTAAAAAATGGTATGAATCATAACGCTATAAATCCCCTCGTAGCCCATATCTCAATACGCATGCATGCATGACGCCCTAATATGCCTTGCCATCCATGCCTGCGCCCACCCAGGCGCTCTGGGGAGGACAGGGGCTGTGGTTCTCCGCCCGATGATGTCCGACCTATATGTATGTCGGCGCCGTCGCGTCTCGTATCTTCCGAGACACGCGCAGGCGGAGTCACCCTGCCCCTATCATGCCTGTCCCCTTCCCATTACAGACCCCTTATTCGGAATTTTATTGTTTTCTCAATTTTACTCAGTTTAGCAATAGCGTCGTTTTTTTCACGCCTGAGATTCGCCTTCCCAGAACCAGTATCTATTTTGCATATTAGCTTCATATTCAAGAAGATAAATAAATGTCGTGGAAAGGACTTAGAACATACTGTGCCGCATATTGCACCTCGAATGCCGCCGGTTGCCCCTGACACGTGGCCGGCGCACTGCCGCCCGCCGTCTCGATGCGGTAGACCTCCTGCAGGTTGCCTGTGGAGCCGGATTGCGTCTTGAGGCGGAGCCAAGGGACGGCCTTCTCGCCTTGTTGGCCCTTGGGCGCGTCAGCAGGCGCGTTGGTCTGGCTGTCCTTGGAGCAGCTCGCCTCGCCGATCTGGTTCTGAGTCGTGTCGAGGTTGAAGAAGGGCGTCGTGTTGTTGGTGAAGAAGTGCTTGCCGGATATGATCAGGTTCGTGGGGCCCATGCGCGCGTCCTCCTGCGCCGTGAGGTTGAACTGGAGAGCCAGTTTGGGCAGGAGATTCAGCAGATCCGGGTACGCGGAGGCGACGCAGCTCGCGTTGAAGAGTGTAGCTACGGCACCGGCGGCGACGGGGACGGCGGTCGCGTTGGTTGTGTCGCAGGTGTAGTTCTGCGTTCCGCGGCCGATGGCCACGTGCTTTAGGATTAAACCGGGAGACGGAGGAGTCAATGGCTCAGGGGCTGAGGATAATGTTAGTTAAAATTCTTATAATACTTTAATGGGGAAATAGTGACGAACCTGTAGCCATCTGTGCCTTTGAGATATCACAAACTGGGGCTGACGACATGTATTTCCCTATCTCAACCTTCTGTGCCAACATGTTGAAGTACTCGGATACGGTCTCGAGCCCGTCAGGCTTGGCGGCATTCCAGTTGAATGTGGGCCATGTCGGGGCGGCGATGACACTCGAGGCACCGAGTAACGAGACTAATAATGTTGAGGCGTACATCTTGATAAATTTCAGGCCGATGATATATGAGGAAGAGTATAGAATATTGGTTTGTAGTCGAATCAATGTGGTTTCTTTTTTGGAATCTCAAAGTAGTCTTGGTCGTAATATGCGTAGACTAATAAGAAATAGGAAACCCAAAGAAAACCGACCCAGATAGAATAGATAGATAGATTGAGATAGATGAGATAGACAGATGAAGTCACAAGGAAATAAAAGAAATACTAAGGAGATAAAGAATAAGAAAACGTAAAAGGAAATGATCTCCAAGAGGAGAGAGAGATATATAGGATAAAGGCTCGAGGATGGTATATACAAATGTTCATCATGTTCGGGAGCGGGACGAGATGGGGTTTATTAAATTCTAGACTGCATACATACAGAGAGCGGAAGAACCGCCGCCTGGCTCCTTAGTTCAGGTGCCACGCCCTACCCCAGTCCAGCGGCACGACAGCGTGGGACCCTGAACGGATCCCAAATTAAGAATCTGGGTAGCATACCTGTAGGCGGACCGGGGTGCTTCGAGAATTCTGATCGTGGAAGAATGGCCATCTGCCTATGATTCCGCGGTAGTGGACGAAGCCGGACGGCGGTAGAGGCAAGGAGGGTGGGATTGTATTTTAGGATATCCCTGCCGTCGATTCAACATGGGGATCTGAATGGAGAGCCAAGCGATCTGCAGCTAGGGACGGCTGGCAGGGGTGCCGAGCTCTCATCCCGCCATCTGACTGGCTGGAAGGACTGTCCAAGCTACCGTGTAAGCGCCAGGGCCGCCTCTTCTTCGGCCAGCTTATTACTCTCGGTGGTTGGTGTAGCCTTGAGAGAAATGACAAAGAGGGCGGCACCGGCAAAACGTGTTATGTTTGAAGCAACCAGAGTCAATTCAAATTAGACAAAAGATTGACCGTGGATAGTGAGGAGAATCGTGTATTGCAATGGAGATTATGGATACGAGAAACAAGATCTAGTAACTATGTACTGAATGGTCTATGTCCTTTCTCTGGTCATGCTGATGGAAGTTGTTTGTTATCAAGTGTCACTGAGGCGCGGGTTTTTTTGATTCCATGAATTATAGGACGAGGCTGGAAGGTATCTAACTACCCACCTAGGTAGATAGCTATGATTCCAGCAGCTGATTGTGACGCCAGCAAGCAAAGCACAGCTAGGTCAAGTATTAGTTTAGGTAACCTTGTGTATAAGTGAAGCACGGCATACGTAAATTAAGCTAATATGACCCTCGTCATGATTCCAATGCTGTACCTAAAGATCTCGTAGTCTGGGAACTTCTAGATCCGGCTGGCTGTGCAGCTTGACCGTGATTCTAAGATCGACCTAGAACTTCAGTCAGTGCTGAGGCATACTGGCATCTCATTGGCAGACTTGGTGTAGAACGAGGAAAAGAAGCTTTGTGCTATGTAGGGATGGATCTTGGTTGTGCAAACGCCCATCAGATCATACTACGTACATAGCACCCTGGACCTTTTGCTCAAGTAGGTATGTAAGTGGATAGGGTCAAAAGAAGCAAGGGAGTAATTAACCCTCAAAGAAGGTGGGTTAATTTAGAAAAAAAAAGAAAAGACCACTAGGATAGTTCCGGGCTAATTCGGCACGGTTCGTAGCCGTGGTCTAGTGGCCCTGGCGGTTAGTAAGGTTGTTGTTGCTAGAAATAGCAACAAGCGCGCCAGCAAATCATTTGTGGCCAGACCCGAACCCAAACCCAAATCCAAAAATAAACATAATTAGCTTTTTTTCTTCCCCCTCGCTTAAGTGGAGATTACCTATTCCCATAACCTGTTCTGGCCAATTTGCCCATAATTTACACATCTACCAATCACGCCGCCGCCCGCTTTCTTCGTTCTCGGCTGTCCAAGTCGAGATACCGACTGGCTGTTCGAATTGCGGGCAAATTCCAACTATTCGCATGCAGTGCTACGCTTACCCGCTCGCACATCGCAAATTAGCTTCTTATTACCCGTCTGCTAATCTCGCCTCGTCTTAGGTCGGCTGCTGAATGGAGAAGGCGTCTCGCTCGTCCGACCGAGATAATGTCCGGACGCATATATTGATATCGATATCAGGTATCCTGCCCGCCTGCCTGCCTGTCTGTCTTACACAGCTGGGTTTCCGGTGAAGCAAGCTTCCCGACCTCTTCCCGTCTGTTGTGCTACTTTATCAAGTCTCGGGTGTGGGTTGCAGCCGCGGTCAACGAAGAAACTTGCCCTTTTTGATTCGTTACTCGCCTACGGTGAACGTTGGACATGTGTACGCGCAGTATATTTCACATTTGTACGCGTATGACCCCGCGCCAAGTATGCCATGGAAATCTTGGAGGGTAAGTTGGTGGTCCGTAACAGGTTGGTTACTCAAGTATGGTATTTGCTGAGTAGCTGAAGATGTGTGTTGCCAACCGTTGAAATCAAGGAACTCCTGCCAATCAGCGTAGATCATACTCTATTAGCCAAGACCTTACCGGGGTTTATCTTCGGCGGGCCGCTTACAGATTGCGTGCATAGTATCCAACGTGGCGGCTCGAGATCATGACAAGTTATATCCTAGCTCTCCCTCTTGTGACATGGAACGAATGAAGGTTCGTCTATAGATAGGCAACTGATACCGAGAATGGGCCTTGTGATCTTCTTGCACTTCATGCTTGACTGTCACTATGGAAGGGCTGCTTGCTTCGATTATATTGTTCCAGTGTGGAGGTGCTATGGTGTCTGGTTTATGTCTAGGTATCTTGGTATCGAACGTTGCTCAGAGATGTAGATACACTACATTGTTTCACTGTCTACCTAACCTAGGTACCTATGCATTTAGATGGTAGTAGTAAATTATTCAAGACGAAATAGGCTGGTATTAGACGTATTGCGTGTGCCGTATAAACAAAGATCGGCTAGTAATGATACAACAGATGTATTCTGCGGACGTAATCATCAGTGCCCATTGAAACCCTCTTCCTGCCAATCCCCGGCATGAGCGGCCTGTCCTCTCCCACCACTATTACCGCCGGCTGCCCCTCCCGCTACTGCGGCGGCGGCTATACCCTGGCTAAGATTGCTCGAATGCTTCTCGACGTCTGTAGCACCAAGCCAGTACAGAGAGAAAAATACTAGGATGTGCAATGCGACGCAGTACGCTGCAAATAGATTTCTGCTCGTTCGTGAGGCCAACACCATCCGCGTCACCGAATACACTACCCTCTCCGGGAAACTCATCCGTTTGTAAGCTCTTGCTGACTCGCGCCCTCTGAACGCCGCAAACGGCGAAATATTAGACTCGTACGCCTGTTTATACCGGTCTAGCGCAATCCCGGGGTTTCCAGTCCCGCCCATAGCGACCACGGACGGGTTGGGATTTGATGAGTACGCCGACGCTGACGACGCCGACGGCACATTGCGATTGTAAGTCGACACGTATCGTGTCTTTTCGTAGAGCTGAAGGTTATCCTTCTGCAAGGCTGCGATCTCTTGGCGCAGCTGCGACACGGTACGATGACACTCGGACAACTCCCCTTCGAGTTGAGCGTTGCGTTTTTTAAAGCGGTCACGTTGCGCGGTGATCATAGGCAAGATGCCCGAACCACCGCCCATCGGCTCGCCCCCTGTCATTCGAGGGTCGAAACCGGATATGATAGACGAGGTAGGCGATGTTCTTCCACCCCTCCTTCCGGGTGCTATAGACGGCGCGTATCTCGTGTACGTGCCAGCCACTGACGCTCCTGACGGGAACGCATTGTGTCCTTCTGACTGAAGGTTGGCTAGATCATTTTCCAACTGTGCGTTGAGGTTCTGTGATCTCTCCAAGTCCGCATTTGTTCTTGACATTTCCTCTTGGAGGGTTTCCAGCCGGTTCTGAAGGTCTTGATGAGAAACCCGTAAGATGGTCAATTCGTCACTTAGCTTTTTGTTTCTGGCTAATAGCAACTGTTCCAGGGTATCACCCTTCCCCTTGAGTGCAGAGCCGTTCGATTCCGAAGCAGCTAGCATATCGTCGTCATCACCCGTCGCGAATTCGATGCTTTTGAGGACCTCTAGTTCTTGCTTGATATCATCGTAGTCGTTCCACTTCTGCACCTTCGCTTTCAGACTGTCGCGCTCCTCTTTCAAAAGACCAACTTCTCTTTCTAAGCCTCTAAGTTTCGTGTCAACGTCCCTCTTGAAAGCCTCCTTTTCCACCCTCGCAGAGTCCAGCTTGCGAATTAGAGACGAATTTTCCGACCTCATGCGTATATACCCGGGGTCATCCTCCAAAATTGGTGCGTGGGCTGTGACTTGGGATTTGGATTGGGCGAGCTCCAGCCGCAGCTGCTCGTTTCGAGCCTCAACATCAGCTAGCCTGGCACTGGTCCGTTCTAGATCAGAATTGACCATTTCTAGTTCCGCATTCGTAACGTGACCGTAACTGCTCTCAGCGTCTGCATCTTCGGATCCCTTGAGGCGTTGGTTCACCTCGTAACTGGCCTTAATTTCATTCAGCAGTCTCTCCTGACTTTCAATCTTCTCCTCTAACGCCTTCTCTTTTGCTTCCCAGTTGTCCTTTTTCTCGTCTACGACTGCGATCCATGACTCCTCTACTTCCCTAACCTTATTTTCGAGATTGTTTTCTAGTTGCTTCCTGTTGGCGCTTTCTGATTGCAACCTTGACTCCGTCTCCTCAAGCTGTGATGTAAGCTTGGCGACGCTTTCTTGTAAGTGTTGATTCTCGTCGGTAAGCTTAGGTAAAGTGTCTTCGGCCACGAGCATAGAGTCGACCGATGCTTCCAGCAAAGGATACGGATCGGGAGCATTCTCGAGGGCGGAGTAAACTTGCAAAAATGCAGAATTGGTCGACTTGGAATGGTTGGTGAGGAGATCTATAAATGTTTGGTACGCTTTCAAAAGGCCCTTGATCTCCGTCAATTTGGTCGCATCGTCTAGCTTTCTGAAATCCTTTGTCTTCTGAGCCAAATCTTTTCGTTGGACTGTGGAGTCCCGCTGAAAGGCTACGATGTCGGAAGCAGTATTGTCGAGAGTAGACATTAAAGAGCCCAAATCAATGTCTATCAAGGGTTAGGACCGAACATGACAGCACCAATATAGGTAGCAAATAATACGTACTTCTCCATGCTGAAATAGCATGCTGGAATTGGTTTGCACCATCGTGGCTGGAAGTATCAACCTGTCCATCGCCAGTGGGCTGGGGTGACGGTGATTGTCCGGCTTGCGGCGACTCGGACACGTTGGCCATAGTTTTTCCTTTTCTTCGCGAGAAGGGGCAGATGTTGCTGCCGCGGTTATCGAAGCATTAGATATGAACTAGTAGAAAAGGCTGATATGGTATAGGAAATTATGCGACAGGCAACCGACGTCAGTCGCGAGCGCCGAGCAGATGGTAGATTGGTCTAGAATAAGAATAGTTGTAAAGGTTGAACGTGTTCGTTCCATGTCTCGACGCAGGCTGCATCTAGTAGATGCAAGTGCAGGGATTCGTAAGCTCGGCAACTTGGTTTGATTAGCGGATTTAGTGCTAGAAATAGACTTACAATCCACTGTAGCTGCCTTTTCAGGTCCCTGAAGATCTGGGCTATTTATGATTGGATGTGCATTAGAAATTGTACATGTACGTAATCTCAGCTCAAGTAAGCTCCACCTCAGCTTCCTACACATCCAAATTCCCAGGATGCTGCATTTGTATTACCTTATCTTCACCACTATTACTTCTATATGTATTCACAAGGAACCATCATGACTAACTCCAATTTCTTATGATGCTGTCGCTTCCACCATGGCTTCCGAACATCAAAGCGACAAGAGCTCGCTAAAGGCGTTCGGTGCCGGGCCCTTCGTACTTCGTACCCTCTTCGCAGACGTTCCACTATCGGAAGATGGAACAAGAGACGATATCAAGATTAACTGTGTCGAATATTTAGGTGCGCATAAGATAGGACTCTTTCGCTTGCAGTTTAGCTTCTGTCAAGTCCAAGCCAGCTGATACCCTCGTCAGATAACCACTTATACGTAGGCACGTCCGACTCGGAACTTCTTCACTTCTTTCAGATACCCCCAGATCCTGCAGACAAATCGAACGCCCCGACCTTCATCCTCGCCTCAAGGCTGCGCCCTGCTTTCGCCGAATCAGCAGCAGCATCCAATTCTACGAGACCTGGTGTTCAGCAAATACTATTGCTGCCAACCGTCAACAAGGCTTGTATTTTATGTAACTGGACAGTCACCTTCTATTCGCTCCCAGAATTAAGCCCGGTCTTTGGCGGAACACAGGTCAAGAATTGTAATTGGGTAGGCGGAATAGACCTCAATGAATTGACTGCCAGCCAAGATGGACGAGAAGGACCCACAGGCGTCACCATATTGCTGTCGCTTAACCGGAAGATTCAGGTGGTCAACATAGCTGATAGGGCTCATCCTATCAAAAAGATTGACTTTGCGGGAAGCACAATTTCTATAAGGAGAGACTCCATTGCTTGCGTAGCGGACTCGCGCAGCTATGCCTTACTCGAAATTAACCACCAATTGAAGATCCCCTTAATGTCAATATCATCACTGGACGAGGCCGAGCCAGGGAATATTATTGGTCAAGCCCAGCATATTTCCGGAAGTTCAGGAGGTGGATTAAATCGCAGCAATTCCTCCGCACAATCTCGCTCGCAGACCGAGAGTCCCGAACCTCCTACTCATAGGCGGGGAACTAGCTTGGGTGACTTCATCACGGGTGCCAATCGGAGACAGGAATCTCATGCTGCCGAGGACGAGGAGCCAATCTCGCGACAACCAACTCCGTCTGAATTAACGGCGGGCCAATCTCCTCCTGAGGACCCAAATGTCCCAGCGTCAGATAGAGCCACAGAGGGCCAGGCAGGCCAAACGGTTCCAACTTCTAGGCCTAAGCCGGGTCTTTTGAAACCGCTTATCGTATCTCCAACGCCAGAAGAGTTTCTGTTAGTCACAGGTACAGATCCGCTAGAACCGGGCATTGGAATGTTTGTAAACCTAGATGGTGATCCAACAAGGCCTACTATTGAGTTTGATCGATATCCTAAGGAGATTGTCGTCGATGGAGGTCCTATAGATACATCCTCAACACGGGCGTCCCCCGCTCCGGAAGAGGAGGGATTTGTCCTTGCATCAATGGGGAGAAACTTCTCTGATGGTATTCATTATGGCCTTGAGATTCAACGCTGGGATACTGATGCAGCCGAGGGCGAGGTCTCAAAACATTGGCTCGAGCCTCCAAATGCTGATCCGGCTACCAACTCTGCGCATAACATAGGAATTCGATCATTGCGTGGGACAGATGATACACACTTCCCGGAAATCGTCGAAAAATTGTGTCGGCGGAGATTTGCTCCGTTTTTATCAGATAACTCAAGCGCTTCGACAATGTCTCTACGAACTTGTGATTCTAGAACAGCCTCTTCTATCGAAAGGATGTCCAAAGAGAGAGAGCTTTTTGATAGGGATACTGATTCTCAGAGCGAAGAATCCTTTCCCGATGGTTGGCAGGCGACACGCAACGCTGAAGAGGAAGATTATGCTCGCCGCCTCGCAGGAAGTACGGCTCGCTTGGCTGTGTGGCGTGGAAAGAATATATGGTGGGCTATTCGAAATCCGTTAATACTACGGTTAGATGCACAGCTAGAAGCAACAGCCTCGGCGTCGAAACAGGCATCTACTGAGCGACAAGACTTGTTCACCATCCTGAATTCCTTCCGAGGTCAGGACGCTAAATCAGAGTTGGAGTTTCTAACATTTAACTACATACGACAACGAGCAGGTATACTCTTATTAACGAGCTTCCTAAAGTCGGAAGATACCCCATTCTCGGAATCAGAGCTCCGAGCCATGGAAGAGATCTTAGTTGATAGCCTTCTTGACCCTCGAGTTGTTCTATCTCTTATACCTGGAGTTCGTAACGAGGTAATCGAGACAAAACGAGGCATCTGGATATTTGGAGGTGTCAAATTGACTGCTGAGGAATTCATCTCGAGCAGGGACTTCGATAAAAATAGCTCAACTATGAGCACACTATCGCAATCTGTATTGCATTTCCTTAGGCGTTTTCTTACCGCATGGCGACGTAAAAAAGGCTTCGGCAGCATACCGGACGAGAGCGAGGTTTTCCGCACAGTTGATGCGGCTCTACTTGCCGTCCTCCTTGAGCTCGATCAACATTCGACCACGGGTCCAGCCAAAGCAAGGTCGATCCGTGCGGATTTATACGAGCTTGTAGATACGGGAGTCGATTGTTTCAACAGAGCAGAAACATTGATTGAATCTTATCACCGTCTTTATGTGCTTAGTAGGCTCTACCAAAGTCGTAAGATGGCAGGAGAAGTTTTGGCTACTTGGAAACGCATCATCGAGGGCGAACGGGATGACGGGGGTGAATTAACCGATGGCGAACAGCGAGTACGCGAATATATCTCGAAGATTAGCAACCAAAGCCTAGTTCAGGAATATGGGATCTGGCTTGCGAATCGAAACCCGAAGCTTGGCGTCCAGATCTTTGCTGACGATAAAGGCCGTGCCCCGAAATTTGAGCCTACCCAGGTAGTTCAACTCCTCAGAGAAGAGGCTCCGGGTGCGGTAAAGTATTATCTGGAGTACCTGGTGTTCGGTAAGGGCCATACTGTATACGTCAACGAGCTAATTATGTATTATTTGGATATTGTGATCACACGTTTTCGGACATCGCCTGAAGCTCGGGATGTAGTGACGTCTACGTATACGGCATACCGTGCTCTGCAACCTCCCAAACCCACGTACCGCCAATTCTTGACAGACAACGCTCCTGCCGATGACGAGGCGTGGGTTAGTCGGCTACGGCTCTTACAGTTACTTGGTGGCAACCATGACTTTGATTTGGCAGTTATCAGGGGACGAATCGCAAGTTTGAATACCGCAGCTGAAGACCTTCTTGTGCCTGAGACCATAATACTCGACGGCCGAGAACGTAAACACGAAAACGCACTGCGCTTATTAGTCCACCATCTCGGAGACTACGATACGGCCGTGGCCTACTGCCTCCGCGGCGGCTCCAGCATCTACACTATCTACCAAGCCCAACAAAGCCAACCGCCCATAAACCCGGAGGCTCCTAAAGCGCCAACGCGCCGCGATAGTATGCCACCGACGCAAGATCAGCAAGCCCGGCTTTTCCGCGCCTTGCTTGGCGAGTTCCTCAAACTAGAGGACATCAGCGACCGCTTGGATCAGACGGGCTTGCTTTTGGAGAAGTTTGGAGGATTCTTCGACGTCAACGATGTCCTGTCAGTAATACCCGATAGCTGGAGCGTGGATTTAGTCGCGGGTTTCTTGGTGAAAGCACTCAGACGGATCGTAGTCGAGAAGAACGAAACTACGGTGGCGAGGTCGCTTAGTTCGTCGCAGAACCTCCAGACACAACACGACTTGATCGTGCGGATCCAGGAGAAAGGGCCTAGCATTGAGACGTAGGGGTGATAGTGTTCATATAATGGCTATATTCCTTGGAATGTGGTTGGTTTCTTGGCGGGCACTTCGTTGCGATTGCCTGATACGCCGTTCCTTGTATAATTTATACCCTATCTAGGTACATTCGAAATCTATTGCAGCAAATTAAAAGCTTGCTCCGGGTCTCTATTCGGCTTCACATCGGTCTCGAGTTAAGCTTGCGGCATCAGTAGATCACATTAAATTAAGCCCCTATTCATTATTGATGAACAACATCGGTTTATTATTGTCATTCAGTCATCGTTTCGCTAGGAGAAGATGCCAATAGACATCATAAACGAGACCCCAAACTCCAATCGACGCCACGACGGACGGCCAATCTAGATCTAGCTTCCCCGCTATGCAACCGGAATATCAACTCTCTAAGTCGCCGTGGTAAAGATGTCCATACGTCTATCTCGGGGATACTAGCAGTGAAACCCCCCCATTAACCATTCCCATCGCACCCCCTCACTACCCCAGATATCTATCTAGTCAATAGCCACACACTGTACTCACTGCACCTGCAAAATCTTGCTCTTCATCACCTTTTGCCTTAGCAGACCCTCCACCCATTTATCCGCCTCCTCGAGCGCCTTGCGCGGCTGCCTCTTGCGCTTAAGTAGATACCCCTGGATCTGAGCGGGCGAGAACTCGCCCTCGGGGATTTTAGCGCCGAAGGCGGCTGCGACGGTGGGGAGTTCGGAGATGGATATGTCGAGGTCGGCGGATTGGAGGGCGGTGCCATTATTGGCGGTTATCTGCTGAGTCTTGTTCTTGGGGGGAGGAGTAGTAGGGCGCCCTGAATCCTCCTCGTACATGCGCATAAATAATTCCTGCGCTTGGTCCCGCGTCGCGTTCGCAAAGGCTACTTGCAGGTCTACTCTGCCCGGGCGGATCAATGCGTCGTCGAGTTGCTCGGGGGTATTTGTCGTCATGATTAGCACGCGGCCTTCTTGGCTTGCTACGCCGTCGATGGCGTTGAGGAGGCCGGATAAGGAGATGCCGGCTTTTGAGTCGCTTTCGCCTTCTTTCTTGAGCGCGCGCGCTAGGTCGCTGACTTTCCAGTCGCGGGGACCGGAGCTATTGCTGTGTTTGCTGGGCTTGGTGGTGGTGGTGGTAGCATCCTGGGGCTCGGGTTGCGAGGTTTCGTTGTCGAATTGGTTGAGGGTTGGACGGCGGAGTCCAGCTGTGTCAATGTCTACCAGAGGAGGTTTTTAGTAAATAGTTTTGGGTTCGGAAAGATCTAGGAATTATGGCCTAGATATTTCAGGGGGTAAGGGGACAGCATAAACATCGATGTTGCTGTTACCAGTGTGGCATACCTTCTAATAAGACAATGCAGCGGCGCGGGAGTGAGGCAAACAGTGCGCTTAAATCCTCCTCTGTCAAGCTCGGCTCGAGAAGCGATATTACGTGAATATCGAGACCGAAAATCCCGGCGAGAGCAAACGAGAGCGACGTCTTACCCGTTCCTGGGGGTCCATGGAAAACTACATCAACAATAGTTAGTAAATGTTACCTTATTATAGGGGTTCAGACACATCTCGGGAGGAATAACTCCCCAGTTAGGTTTGAATAAGGAAGACTAGCTCCTGAGACAAGCCGAAAAGGGGGAAAGGGGTATTTAAAATACATACGATATCCTCGCCGTAGTGGTATACCTCTATTTGAACTGCAGATCCAGGAGTCAGTAATTAATATTTAGCGAATAACCGAGTATTCAAGCTCGTGTTTAAAGCATAGAAACGCTTGATCCATGCTAAAAAGGGTAACAAATAACACTGGCTGTTACTTACTACCACTTTGGTGTCTCGGGATGCAGATACTCGTTAATATCTGCAAGAACCTGTAATTTCTGCTGCTCGTCTAGCACAACAGTCTTGATATCCCTGATAGGTCGATTCGCCACCTGATGCCAGCCGACCCGGCCCGCGTACCGGCGAGAGGCATTGTTGCTGGGCCGCTTAACAGTGGTCCTGGCCTGATGGTCGCGGTAATACTGCTCCTTGGCGTGGGCTAGTAGCTGCTTGATAGGCTCTAAGTGTCACGCGTCAGCTCGTATGTGAGACGGGGAATAACGACTGGGGAGCTTACCCGGACTTCTCCAAAAGCACGAGATGATCAGGTCCTCCTGATCCCGGAACATCTGCCCCGACATGCTATTCTCATCGAATATCGACTCCCGCTTGCGGTTCAACTGGAAGTACTGGCCGCGCCACCAGAAGCTGTGCAGGCCGACGGCAGGACTGAAGAACGGTGGCTTGGAAGGGTGTTAGTAGGTCTGCACTGTGTGGTACTGGATAGAGGGGAATAGGAATAATATAAGTGGAGGGAATAATCAGGGTACTCACAGCTCTGGCTTCTTGGTTAGAAAAGTTAAGGTAACGACCGGACCGGTCCCTAGCCACGTTCGACGCATCCTCATCCTGCCAAACCCTCTTGCTCGCCGTCTCAGCGACCAGGTCTCTCGAATTCGCCATCCTAGGGTGAGTAGCGAGCCAGTCCATGAGATGGGTGTAGATGTCGTCGTTATTCAGGATGTGAACACTGCACATGAAGTATCCGGTAACAGCCCGATAGAGAAACGAGTATGCTTGACGGAGGATCTTGTTAAGTGCCCAGAGAACGCCGACCACGGCTAATATATTGGACGGCTCGAAGCCCAGCCAGCCCCCGATGAACCCGTAGATGGGCGCGAGCCCGCGGAGCCCAACAAGAGCCAGGATGCTCTCGACTGCTTTTGCATGATGCGTGTTGTCGGTTACCGAGGCATTACCGCCCGTGTGCGATATATTTGCACTTATGCCCGGGAGCAAGCTGTGAAGGACGGCACCGTAGTCCATGTCTACCGTGGTGACTTATATCACATGTGGCGAGTACCCGATATTAAAGAGTTGGCGGTTGATGGTTTATAGTATCCAAAGGGAGATCAGAAGGGTGGGGAACTTCTTATATAGAGGTCTAAATTAGCAGTCAGGGGGCAGAGTTATCTTTCAGAGCCTCCTTGGGTGAGTACGGGTAAGTATTTAGAAATCATGTGGGTGATGAGTTGCGTTAGTCACGTAGACATACACGCAATTACTAGAGTCTACCTAACCTAGGTACCTATTATGTGGCAAATATGCAATGCCCATTGGCTATCTTTTAGTCGGATACATACATACGTATATACACATATGTGTAAGTCCCCTGCCGCCTACCGAAGAATTCACATACGTAGGTAGCACCTATGCCCTTAGCTTGTGGGAAGTGTTCACATGTTGGGACTAATGATAAAGTGATTTTCTATAAAGTATGACTAACCTCTACTTTTATATGCTTGAATTGGTCGTTCTAACTTGTAGTGCTTATAACCAGTCACCTATAGGGTAGGATCAGCGCAACTAGGTTACGAAGCAGCAAGGAACTACCTATGATGTGATTATGAATCATGTCCTATAATCTGTTTTTCAGATGACTCAAGGTGCTTGCTTGAGCTATAGCTGCAACTGTCCATACGTGTGGAGTATGTATATGGTAGTTGCAGTTTTGATCATACAACTAATCGGATATTAAGTTAGATGGGTTGCATAGATGGGTACGATCGATGCATATAATCTTGGTTACCCTTGTGGTTTTGTACACCTAATGTGGTTGCGTCATATATTACTTACGGAAGTTTAATATATAACTACTTCTATATTGCCCTTATGAATTCTCTTTCATATTCTAGTATCCCACTCCTCTCTAACCCACAACAATGCGGGTCTATAATGGATCTAATAACTACCTAAGGCAGCCAAGGCTAACAGATCTGCCGAAGGGTCTCTTGAACGAATGCTAACTAGCTGAGGCGGCATCAGCGCTAGCGGACTTATAAGTACTAACAGCACAACATCTCGTTCGGTGTCTTACGGTGGGTTGCGGCAGAGTCTCTCGCTAACTCATCACTAGGTATTCTGATTGGAATAGTTATAAGTACATATAAAGAAAGCAACTAAGACTATCTTGAAATTGCACGTCGACCAAAGAGTCACGTCGAACATCCAATAAACACATGCGGGTCTCTAGAATATGCAGTCTCACACATATAACACATATATCCCCGTACGTCATGTATGTTCCCAGTTGTTAGTGCTACAAGTGGGCTTCATTGCGTATCTAGTCCCAACACCAGGCTAATATAGGGCGGCTTAAAGATGCTAAGCTTCCCGGCTCCGTGGTATCCAATGTCACACAAGCAAGATAACACGCATCACAATCTAACGTCTAAACAACCGAAGCAGAGCTGAGCGGGGCTCGGCCCGAGTCAATTATGGGTGCCGGATCCTTATAGGAATGTATCCGTCCTAGACATTGCAAGACGTTCTAGAGCGTTGCCGCATTTCACGCAGTTAGGGTGGCATAGAGCCTGTGCTAATATTGATGGACCAATTAGCATATGCCTCGTGAATTTTTTGAGGATTTTGCGGCTGTCGAGGTAGGGTACATCGGTTTATATTACAGTTGGGGAATGTTGCAAAGAAGATACCCTCCTATACCTAAATAAGCCTATGAGACTAAACGGTTGAACGAGCGAGAACAAACCTCATCTCACACGAGACCAACAATGCTGGTCCCGGAACCGATACTTCACTTCTTTTTGCGGGTAATCATGGATATCCTAGCACCCTAATCCGAGCAGAGTCCTTCAATTCGGCCATCGGTTGAGAGAATTCTCGCATCGCCAGAGGCCGCAGAGCCTCATATCGGGTCGGAAGGAGAAAGCGATATGTATACGCTCGTGTCTGCATTATACCACATGTCCTCAAGCTGACGCATTGTAACCCGAGGTCGTGCCGTTAATCCAGCCCAATCCATTCAGCCTCGGACTCACCCTCAGACTGCATGTGATCCTCCAAGATGAGCGTTTCCCCTGATGGCAGCATTTTCATAGGGGTATCTCCGCCCGTGATTAGGGGTTGGCCGTTGGTATCTGTCTTAGTGGTAGCCTGCCCAAGCAAATAGTCGACCGTGTATACGTTCTCGTCTGCTAGTCGTTTGATTTCGTTCCGCATCCTTGTAACGGCTCTCGAGACAACCCGTAGCTCAACATCGACTTTACTCCGATTTGCCGTAAGCCAGGATCCATGCTTATCTACTAAGGCTTTGATCCATAGGAGACAAAACTCGATGTGGGGGGACTCTTCGGTCTGAGCTGCAACGAACCGTAATAGCCTTGCAACATATACAGTAGGGAACCGCTCCACCACCAATGGGATGTCCGTGTGCGGCACGGACTGAAATACCCTCTTAATCAAACCAGCTTCGTTGAGGCGGAATGCCATGACAAGAGCCTTAAGGTAGTCTCTCTCGTTTTCAAGAACAGCAAGAGTCGACGCTGGTGTAATTTCCATATTGAGGTCGAATGGATCGAACTGCAGCTCGTTGTCTACGCTATATATGAGAAGGCCCTCCGTGGATGCAGCACAAAATGAAGTACCGGCAGGTGAGAAGCCTACGCTAGTCACTCTCACTTCGGGTAGTTTCTTTCTGGCGGACGGATCCCCGCCTCGCTTCGAACCCGGTAATAGTTTATCTCGTCGAGCCTCGCGGTCCGAATGGTCTGCCTCATCATCAAGCAACCCCTCCGGTCCCGCCTCTGTAAGCAACTTACTGTTCAAGAACTCTTGCGTTCCCGATAACGAGAGGTTGACACTGACGGTAAACTTTTTCAGTAGAACCATAGTGCTCACAGAATAGAGACATATGTATTTACTGTTTCCGGCTGCTAGAAGGCAACTTCCATCCGTACTGTATCGTATAGTATTGAAACTCTTGGTGCCCGCAACGTTAGCGGCAGTTCTGCGGTCACTGACTTTCCGACCTCCTGACACATCTCGCCGGCCATCAAGGCCTGATACTTGCTCTGCATCTGAAACCGACCAGAATGATAATTGACCATCCAAAGTAGAAATTGCAAGCTGTGCGGAATCTGGCCGGACCGCAATATCGAGCACATCTGCTTGTAATTGTAGAGGCTCGCTGGTTTGTGTGCGACTAAATATTGACCACATCCTAGCCGTCCGATCCCAACTTCCACTAAATAGAATACTTCCATTCGGTGAAAATGCCAGGGAGCAGACAGGGCCTTCGTGACCGGATAGCTGATCAAGCAATTGACCGGTCTGCACAGACCAAATATGAACATCGAACGAGTCCAGAGACCCTGCAGCGACCACTTCACCGCTCGGATCGACTGCCATACAGGAAAAGGAAAGCCGGCTCGGCGCTGTAAAGGTTCGGAAGTTTCGATACCTAATAAGATCCCAGGCCCGTATGGAACCGTCCAAACTCGAAGTAAATAACACATTACCCTTCTTTGCGAACTCACACGCAGTTACGCCACTTGTATGCTCAGTGAAGGTCACTATACAGAATCCGGAATCAACATCCCAGACTTTGATTTTGCCATCGTCGGCGGTGGTTATAATGCGTTTTCCGTCGGGGGAGTAGACTAGGGAGTTCATGGAGTCAAAATGACCTTGCTGTTTTAGAATGTAAGACTCGGACTGCCATTCCCAAACAAGGAGTTGGCCTAGCTTAGAAGCCCCAAAGGCTAGCCACTCTCCGCTCTTATTTATTGTGACGAAGTCAATTTCGTTCTGCGATATGCTGAGGGTATGGATTGTGTTGAAATCAGGCATTTCGTAGAGACCAAATATCCCGTTAGAGAAACCGGCAACTAAGAGGTTAGACTCGGGATGGAAAGCGGCGCATCTAACATGGGCATTGTTCTGCATAAAGTAATGCCTCTGAACAATCCTCCAGCGCATACCGTCATTATCGGCGTCTTCCATATCTTCGTCCTCATCTATCGGTGGCGCATTGGGATGCCTCGTAAATTGCCAATCAAAGACGGCGCCATCTTTGCTGACAGTGTATATCGTTTCTTGGTCTTTCGAGAACCAAGCTCCAATCACAGCCTGCTTATGGCCAGACAAGACTGTTGGGGTAAATCCTTCTTCCGCGTCCAAACTCCATATTCGGGCTGTCAGATCTCTAGAGGCGGTTAAAAAGAAGCGCGAATCGGCGGACCATTCAATATGACGGACGTCATCAAAGTGACCCATATGCGTGTGGTGTCGGACGAAAGGTGCAAACTCCAACTCCCCATCTGCGCTCGAGTCGGGAGTTGATGGAACTTGCCATACTTCGGTTTTTCGACCTAGTCCTACAGCGAAGTGGCGCCCTGACGGTGAAAAGGCGAGAGCCGTGACAGGAGATCGGAAAGAGAAGTGGTATATAGAGATTCGTCGCGGGACGTTGGTCAGAATTGCATGGCCGTCTTCGTCAACGGAGAGTAGGAGATTGCCCCGCGGCGTCAAGCCAATTCTCGAGATGTTTTTCCTATGCGCGAAAGGAAGTGTGTATGACTTGTTACTATTAGGATAATGTAGTTAGGAATCATGTCTTTCTGAGCCGATAAAACCAAAATAAGACATACTCTACTAAGTTGAAAACCGTAACTCGGTTTCCCACAGGTGAGAACAAACATGTTCCATCAGGGCTGTATAAGAGGTTGCCCTGGCAGTACACGGTCCCGAGGAGGTTGGAAAACTATTATGATGATTAGGAGATGTTTTGTAGCTTGTGAATTATAGAAGGAATCCTCACTTTAAAATCGGTCTTCATTGTCACGACATAGTTAAAAGGTAGATGGCCTTGCTAGAGAGTTATGCCTTGTATCCATGGATTGTATGCGCCGAGTTGGATCTAATCCAGAACTTTTTTGTTTTTCTTATCAGTGATAAGATAATAGTTTTATCCAGACAAGCCTAGATAGAGCTCTAGCAGTTCAAGGAAGGTTCCTAACCAATCAATAGCAAAGGTTCCTTCCTAGGATTGACGTTGCTACCATTACCTCCACTAATATCTAACCCAATTAGGCTAGATTTCATTGGAATTGGTAGTGGCAGGCGGTCAAGGCTTTAACGCTCGAACCACGGCTACGAAATGGGGAAAGGGGCCACTGACACTCAATTTAATCCCTGTCCCCTTTCGGTTGCCCTGCACTTGAGGTTTTGTGGTAAGGAAATTTGCTTTACCAGCAACGCTTTCCCCTGAAGTAGCCCGAACCCTTTTGTCTGTCAACATCACACGTCGGTTCGTATCCAGAGAGTTTCTAGATAGAAACATCCTCCGACAATCAATATACAACGACCATTAGGCTTGGACGCTTTCTTGGCCTTGTACCTTTATTCTATCACAATCAATTCTCTTGTTCTTCTCTAACAGCTACCCAAAACCATCACAATGCCTCCAGCCACCGCCGCCGAGAGCGCGTCGCCAATTGGCATTGCCAATCTGCCCAACCAGCGACACAAGATTGTTGCGAAGAGAGGTGCAGCTTTCACTATTATGGTACTATATCTTGCGAGCCCCAGGTTGTCGTAATCCATATCATTAATAGCTTATATCAGGTTGCCGGTGAATCTGGTTTGGGCAAGACCACCTTCATCAACACCCTCTTCTCCACCACCATCAAGAACTATGCCGATCACAAGCGACGACATCAGAAGCAGGTTGACAAGACCGTCGAAATTGAGATTACCAAGGCTGAACTAGAAGAGAAGTTCTTCAAAGGTACTAGCTCTATTCCAAAGCTCAATTAGCTACCTGCCACTTACTAACTATCGTATGTGCAGTTCGCCTAACTGTCATTGACACACCTGGCTTCGGCGACTACGTGAACAACCGAGATTCGTGGATGCCCATCATTGAGTTCCTTGATGATCAGCATGAGTCTTATATGCTCCAAGAGCAACAACCCCGCCGCCAGGACAAGATCGACCTCCGTGTCCACGCTTGCCTGTACTTCATTAGACCCACCGGCCACACCTTAAAGCCTCTGGATATTGAGGTCATGAAGAGACTCTGCTCAAGAGTTAACCTGATCCCCGTTATTGCCAAGGCTGATACTCTGAGCCCTGTTGACCTTGCCAAATTCAAGGCTAAGGTATGTCTACTTATTCATAGGTTAATCGTTCTACTGACTAACGTGTATCCAGATCCGTGCTGTCATTGAGGCCCAGAGCATTAAGATCTACCAGCCACCGATCGAGGAGGACGATGAGGCCGCTGCCCAGCACGCACGTAGTCTCATGGCCGCCATGCCTTTCGCTGTTATCGGCTCGGAGAAGGACGTCAAGACGGGCGATGGTCGTATTGTGAAGGGCCGTCAGTACTCATGGGGTGTTGCCGAAGTCGAAAACGAGGACCACTGCGACTTCAAGAAGCTACGTTCGATCCTAATCCGTACTCACATGCTTGACCTCATCCACACGACCGAGGAGTTGCACTACGAAGCGTACCGAGCTCAACAGATGGAGACCCGGAAGTTCGGCGAGGCCCGCCCCCGCAAGCTGGACAACCCCAAGTACAAGGAGGAGGAGGAGGCCCTTCGCAAGCGCTTTACCGAGCAGGTCAAGGTCGAGGAGCAGCGATTCCGACAATGGGAGCAGAAGCTCATCGCCGAACGTGACCGCCTTAACAAGGATCTCGAGCAGACCCATGCTCAGATCAAGCAGCTCGAGAACGAACTCGAGCAAATGCAAGGCAGCCTTGCTCGTAGCGGCCGCCGCTAAGGAGTTTCGCTCTATATACCCCCAAATTCGCCAACGAAACGATTTGATTCCGCTAGCGCTAGTTTAATGCTTCCGTCCAATAGGGAGTATGGAGTTGTTGAGAACGCCGGGTCCCAGCAGCATCTCTGATTCTACGGGATGATGGGTCGTTGATGGATGATATGCTTACAAGCTAATTTACATGTGTCGAGAGGTGAATTGTCAAGGTCCTAACGGTTGGTGTTGTCGTGTCTGCTAATGGCAGGGAAAGGAGGGTTATGGACCGGCAAGCGTGTTGTGGCTTACCTACGATATCAAAATATTCTCCCTTTTGGAGGTCAACTTGTGACCTCCGTTTCTCTCCAGATCAGTTAGGTTTATTTTACGATGTAATCGCAAATTTCTATGATACCAGTAAAGCAAGCCAAGGCCTTTTATTATTCACCGTGTAACTCCATCCGCTCACTCTTAAACCTGGTCAAACTAGACCCTATGGCGTTTTTAATGCTAAATATGAGCTCATCGATTTAATCGATATAATTACTTGTAGTCCCGTAATCCTACAGCTATGCATTTACCAACTTTCCCATTACTAAACGGCGTCCATTGCTGCTCTCGTAGCTAGCTGTTCGTTCTTATTCCCCAGCTTCGAAATCTGCAGGAACGCGTCTACACCGTATCCTTCCAAGCTATGTAATTCCAGGCTTCCAGCCCAGTACTCGGCGTACACCCGACTTAGCGGGAGACCCATGCCGAGACGGAGGTTAGGTGGGCGGGTAGACAGTGAGGAGAGCGAGCTATCGTGACCTGACCGCTCGCTCTGCAGCCTATGCAGCTTCCCGTCGTCGACCTTAAGCTCCTGCAACGTGGCTGCCATGAGCGGGACCTGTCCGAGATTCTCGAGGCGCTGGTTCTTTAGAGGTCCTTTGCCGAAGGACCATAGATACGGGAGGATATCTCGCGGGATGCCGCCGCCCTGGTCCGAGATGCGGATGATGACGTGCTGCTGCGCCTCGCACAAGGTCACTTCAATGGGTGGTGGGTTTGAGGTGGGGTCTTTGCTCTGCTGGTGCTTTTCAATGACGGCCTGGACCGAGTTCCGAAGGAGCTCGCCTATGATATACTCCAGATGGCTTAGGATATACGGGAATGAGGAGTCCATGTGCCCGTTGATCTTGATCTCAGGGATCTTGGTGTCGGGCCCGTTGGCGGATCGGGCAAGGTCTTGGACGGCTTTGGCGCAGTCCTCGATTACATCTTTGGCTACGCACTTGATGAATACCTCGCCGATGAAGTCGGACTCGGAGAGCTTGGCTCCGGGCGAGAACCAGTGCGAGTTGAAGGTTTCAGTTAGGGCGAGGTGTTGCTCTGCGATTACTCTACGGGATATTCTCTATAATGGGGTAATATTAGCTCGGATTACATTTGAATTGCTGTAGCGAAGCTACTCACGGATCGTAAGATGGTGTTCATAAAGTGATCCAGCTCGGATGCAGGCATCAACCCGCTACACTCAAGTATACCCATGGCCAACTTCGGGATCACAGTCAAGTGGGCGCGTAGCATCTTGGCGATCTCTTTACAAAGGTGTTCATTGTCCTCGAGCGTCTTGACCTCTCTGATGCGCCGGAACGTGTCGAATGCGGTATAGTAAAGCTCATACACGTCGCTAATGTGCGGGTTCGTAACAACTACATAGGGCAGGCGTTGCATGTCACGGATCCGGTGGGCAATTCTCGTGGGGAGTTCGGTTCGAACATAGTTCGCGGAGCTGATCAGTCGTGCCTCGGTCAGTGACCGGCCGAATACCATCAATTGTCGCAAGCTAATAGGACGAGCTTCCTTTACTACCCATCTGCATACATATAGGAGGGCTACTATCAGTCACACGATACTACGAGTAGACATGGAGCGGGAACACCATACTCATCTAGGACCTGCACCGGCCTCCATTTCGCCGTGTGCGACCACCGCTTGCTTGTTATACTGGAATTGTTACGGTCTATTATCAATCTCGAGGCGAGTAACGGCGAAAGAGGGATCCGAGCCGGGATAATCGAAGCTCTCGGGCGGGAGGTCAACCGCAGGGTTTTGGTGGCATCTTGCACCGCGAATGGTAACATGCCGATGATTCCATGCCAGAGTGAACGATACAGCAATTGGGAAGGATACACAAAAGGAAGCAGGAAAGGAAGAAAGAAAGAATGCGGCGCTCTCGCCTTTTTTTGGAGGGAGAGTTTGCGTTTGGAGTTGAGCTGGGAAACTCGCTCGCCCTCACATGTTACCTACTCCGGGGCTAAGACATCGATGAGGAGCACATGTTCCGGTTTCGCTAGCGCTGCTGTGACGGTAACGAGGTGGTGACCTATGACTGAACGGTCTTAGTGTTGAGGGCAAAGGACTTGCTTAGTGTGTATGGCTTGCAGGGCGGGAATGATGAATAATACCCCACATTTCTCTAATCGACATGCCATGGCAGGTTCGATACCGGTATACAGGTAGGTACCATTCATGCCGAACAGGCAATTTCCAACCCTAACAAAGAAGGACCTTAACGCCGGCCTTTAATCATTACGTGTTTTATTCCCCTCCACTAATACATACCTAGGTACCTAATATATTTACCTCGTTGTTGTAGCCATGTTGTAATATGATAATGTTGGAAATTTAGGTACCTGTTATGTTAGTTAGTATAACTAGGCGAAACAGTATGTTTTGGATATGAGATGAAGAGTAAACGGTATAAGAGGTATAAGATTAAATTAACTGAATATACTAGCACCTTATTATACATATATCCAAACACATGATATTAAGTAGGACTTAGGCAACATGTATCTCAATTCTATATTCTATTATGCCTCTATCAACTTGAACTCTCTTTAGGTACCTATAGTAGGCAGATGGGTCGTCTATTCTTTGTTTGTCTTACTAGTAGCCCTATCCTCTAGATGAAGAAATCCCACTTGCTGCTTCGGCCATGTGGGTGCTTATAGTAGTAACGTCATTGCCAATTGAGAGGTATTGGCGGGGCTTTTAGTCAGCTACGGCTTAGAAGTTGTCTAAGTTAGTAGAAAGTCCAATGTACATTATTATTCTAGAAGAAAGCAGTAGTTCTACTTAGAAATACGACTAGTTGCAAAGTATAGGCTACCTTCTAAAACATTAGCCCGCGTCGTAAGGTTCAATGTTCCTTACCATCAATGCTGCCACTGCCACTTTAATGTACCTAAGAAGAAGAAAAAAGTAACGAATCCGTCCAATTCTCCCCCGCTGCGCCTTCTGCTCCGCGTTCCAGGCTGCCTTGTCCAAAAAAAAAAAAAAAATACGCTGCTACCTGTACACGTATGGACCCGAGGTGTCACAGCCCACTTTCTACTCCCATCTAGCGCTTGTTGGCCTGGTAAGTCGATGAAGCAATTCTGTACTAGAGCTTCACCTCCGTTTTCTTTCCTTCAGATATTTCTCCTTCCTCCAATCCACATTTTACCAACCTGCGCCTAGTCGCGTAACTTCATTAACCTCCAGTTCTAGCTCCCCCGACTGCTCTTGCTGCAGCGGTTAGTAGTGAGCTGCGCTGCGCCGCCTCTCCTGCTATTTCTTTCCACGCCACCCGTCGTAGCCCCGCTGTGTGTGCAGCTGGACCTCGACTATATTTTTGACCTGCGGGTTTGGGAGGACCATTCGACATTGAGCCTGGAAGTCGGCAGCAGAGATTGTTAGAGATAGTATTAAGCAAATCATAGGCAACCATGGTAAGCTCATATCTCTAACTAGCACTATTGAATTACTTTAACTACCTACCTACTTTTACTACTCTCACTCTACCAAAGAAACGCCACGCGATAGCCTCTTTGTTGAACAATCTTTCCCTATTCGTGCGCGCTCTACCTTACCTAGACCTTCCCAGGCCAGCTCTAGGCCAACTCTTTAATTCCAATCAAATCTCTGATGACATAAACTCCGACCCAACTTATCTGCTTCCAATCACGAGTCTAGAGCCAGCTAACGGTATCCTTCACCTATCAGAGCTACGATTCCGAAATCCACTCGCCGAACGAGATGGTGGTAGACACCCAGGATGAGATGGTCGTCCAGCCGACCCTAAACGAGAAAGATCAGGTCACAGAGATCAATCCAGAACAACTGGACAACGATGCTGAGAATCTCGAGAGCGCTATCTTGGCTACCGATTGTGCGTATAAGCCCTAGATAGCATTAATTGGATACCTTTACCTCAGAAGAGATTCCCACTAACAAATGCTCCCATTCTAGTTGAGGCTATGAAAGAGATAGTGCTGCCACCCCTCCTAGACGAACCTAAGATTGTAGAAGATGTCATCAATACATGGACTGTACAAAATTGGAGGGCACTCTCTAAGAAGGAGCACGGCCCCGTATTTGAAGCCGGCGGGCACCCATGGCAAGCACCTATCAGATACCCTTACTCGAAGAGCTGGCTTGCTGACTTGGCTGAGCAGGCGAATTCTCCTCTTTCCGTTTGGAAATGGGGTCGACCAGTCCTCAGTATATCTTGAACATGGCTTCCCAGATGCCAGTAGTATACCTGATGACTGGAGCTGCTGTGTACAGTTCGGGCTGGTCATGTGGAATATTAATGACTCATCTCTCTTCTACCATCATACAGCCCATCACCGCTTTACAAAGGAGGAGAGTGATTGGGGTTTCACGCGGTTCCTCGAGTTAAGGAAAATGTTCCAGCAACCGTGGGATAATTCTGGCCATCCGCTCGTCGAGAACGATTCCGTCAATATCACCGCCTACGTCAGAGTGGTCGAAGATGAGACTGGCGTGCTATGGCACAACTTCAATAACTACGATTCTAAGAAGGAAACCGGTTATGTTGGTCTGAAGAACCAGGGTGCCACATGCTACCTTAATTCGCTATTACAGTCGCTATTCTTCACAAATGCTTTTCGAAAGGTTAGATGAAAGCTCACAAGGAGGTTATATGGTACGAAAGAAGGTGCACTAACATGTTTTAGGCCGTTTACGAAATCCCGACGGCGGAAGACGATAGCATAACTAATAGTGCTTACGCCCTCCAGAGACTATTTTATCAGCTCCAAATTTCAAATCAGGCCGTGAGTACCAACGAGCTAACGAAATCATTTGGTTGGGACACACGACATATCTTTGAGCAACAAGATGTGCAGGAACTATCCCGCAAGCTGATTGAACGTATGGAGGAGAGGATGAAGGGCACCGCAGCTGAAGACGCTCTTCCACGTATGCTCAGCGGGAAGGTGAAAACGTACGTTTCCTGCATTGACGTCGAATATGAGTCCAGCCGAGTTGAAGACTTCTGGGATATCCAACTCAATGTCCGGGGAATACCAAACCTCGAGGAGAGTTTCAAAGATTATATTCAACAGGAGACTCTTGATGGCGACAACAAGTACTGGGCAGGCGATGAATTCAAGTATCAGGATGCTCGCAAGGGTGTAATATTCAAGAGCTTTCCCGAAGTATTACATCTACATTTGAAGCGGTTCGAGTACGACATCCAGCGCGATACGATGATGAAGATCAACGACCGTTTCGAATTCCCCGAGGCTCTAGATCTGAAGCCTTACCTTGACCAGGATGCAGACAAGTCCGAACCGTGGGTATATAAATTGCATGGTGTCCTGGTGCATAGTGGTGACTTGAATGCGGGCCACTACTATGCCTATCTTAAGCCCAACAAGGACGGTTGGTTCTACAAGTTTGACGATGACAAAGTCACAAAGGCAACCATCCGAGAGACACTAGAGGAGAATTTTGGTGGTGAATACCCAGCCTCGTTTTTGCAGTCTCGCACAGGTCTCCAAAAGAAGTCTCCGATCATGCGTCAGATGAGTGCGTATATGTTGGTCTATATCCGAGAGTCTCGGTTGGATCAAGTTTTGACGCCAGTCAAGAACGAAGATTGCCCGCCACATCTCCGTAAGTTTCCTCGAGTAACTCAAGTTAAGGATTAAGCTAATTAATTATAATTAGAAAAACATCTGGATGAGGAGGCGGCTGCACGTGAAGCTAAGAGAAGAGAACGTGAAGAACAACATCTTAGGCTTCCTGTTAAAGTTATCACGGAAGACACGTTCAAGCGCCACGGTTCCACCGACCTTACGAACTTTGACTCTAACCCTGATGAAGATCCAGCAGCCCCTAGGTTCTTCGCCCCGGAAAAGAAAAATACCATCAAAGAGTTTATTGAGGAAATGGCCAAGAAGAGCGAACTAGATCCCAAAAGAATTCGCTTGTGGGTTATGGTAAATCGCCAGAATAAGACCACTAGACCTGATCAGCCGATTATGAACATGGACGCGAAACTAGGGGAACTTTATAGCAATATGATCGCGGCAAATAGAGATTGTGCCCTGAGATTGTGGGCGGAAGTTGCAGATGAGGTTGATGCTGAAGGGCAAGCTATTTGGCCCACATATCAGGGCAATACCAACGATGTCATCGTTAAGAACGACCTGATTCTTCTCTTCTTGAAGCATTTCGATGCTGAGAGGCAAATTCTCGAAGGGGTGGGTCATATCTATGTAAGCAGGGAGAAGAAAGTTGAAGATCTAGTGCCCGTGATCGCCAAGAAGATGGGCTGGGGTGACAAGTTACCCTCGGGAGAACAGTTGGCTATGTGGGAGGAGATTAAGCCAACAATGATCGAGAGTCTTAAGGCGAAACAAACCTTGAAAGCTGCTGAGCTTCAAGACGGCGACATCATATGCTTCCAGAGACTCGCCGAGCGGAAATCGGGCGAACTTCTTGGGAAGATCCCTCGTCTTGGGGATAAGAACTCAGAGGAGATGCCTAAACGATGGGACCGATATGATGACGCTAAGGGATTTTACGACTTCCTCTGCAACAAGCGAGAAGTTCGCTTCGATCCTCACCCTCGCTGCGAAAAAACTGATTACCAGAGCTTTATTCTTACGCTAAGTACGAAAATTACTTATGATCAACTTTCGGAGAGAGTAGGCGAGGAGTTGGGCGTAGATCCTACTCATATCCGCTTCTTCACGGCCAACGCTTCCACGGGAAGTCCCAAGGCGGCAGTTAGGAGGGCTGTCAGTCAAAACCTCGGTACCATACTGAATCCAAATAACTACACCCAACAGACGTTACAGACCAAGCCCAACTCTCTTTTCTTCGAAGTTCTAGATATGAGTCTTGCAGAACTAGATACGAAAAAGAATGTTAAGGTGACTTGGTTGAGTGAGGGCATGACGAAGGCCGTGAGTTTTCCAAGATGTGTATATGGAATATATTTAACCAGGATTTTTCTAGGAAACATTTGATATCTTGGTAAATAAGCAAGGGCACATTGAAGATCTTGTGCAGGCCTTCGTCAAGAAGGCGCAGATCAAGGATGAACACGAGGGTGGTCGAATTCGGGTTTACGAGATTCATCACCACAAATTCCACCGGGAACTCGTGCCTAACTACCCAGTTCTTAGTATTAATGACTACACTGACGTGATAGCGGAACGAATTCCGGAGGAGGAAGTGGACGCTGATGAAAGAGATTTTATCAAGGTCATTCATTTCCAGAATGACGCCAGTCGGGTCCACGGAATCCCATTCAAATTCCTCCTCAAAGAGGTACGTGCATGAGCATATATAATAAAGACAGACACGACTAATTCAGACCAGGGTGAGCCCTTCTCCGAGACAAAGAAGCGACTAGAGAACCGGACAGGCATCAAGGGCAAGGCTTTCGAAAAGATCAAATTCGCAATAGTGCGACGATTCCAGAAGCCGGCTTATATCAACGACGGTAAGGGATTATGCCACAGTAATTACGAAGCGCAGCTAACATGACATAGAAGATGTGCTTTTCGATGAGGGGGGCACCATAGAAGACGACGTCGTGCTTGGGCTGGACCACCTGGATCGTTCAAGAACAACGCGGAATGGGGGAGAAATGTTCCTCAAGTAGACTCCTCCATATTTCATCGAAGCCTACTATGAGGAGTAACGAATGTGCTCCCTGTGTCCCCTTGGGGGCCAACTAAGTATCGCGGAAGGAACTCATTAAGTATCCCGGCCGATGACTGATAACCAACGACCCGGATATACCTTTTGTATTAAGTAGTTATTGGGTTTCTGCGGCGCTTTTCTCTCATCCCCGAAGACGTGCAGGATATTCAAAGCACACAGCGAGAAAAGCAAAGAGGGATCAACCAGGGGGCAAAGGTCAATTGGACCCATTAGTACAACATGGTTAGTCGGACAAGACAGTACGGGAGGGCGGTCATATAGAAACGTGTCCGGGACAAATCGGACAAGTTTTAGGGGCAAGTTAAGGCATCTCTCCACGGAGCAGCACGGGAGTTGCAAAACTGGCGGTGGACTTTGACCTGGGCATTGAATTCGTGGATATAGATACGAAAAGACCGCAGGGTCCGGGCAAAGTCAGGGCCTGCTCTACATACAACTGAGTTCAATCCTTTGCAGGGTATGCGTGAATAGAATTGTTGTATAGAAAATCGACTGCGTACGTACATACGAAAGCTCTTTTGTGTGTTTTCTCAAGCTATGGTGTGCGATATGATAGTACATGCAATAAGGGATAGACTAAGTGTGATACCGGTGGCGTAAAGAACTATACAAATGATATAGCAGTATGAATAGGAGGCGTTGGTTTTAAATCCAATTTTATTGGTTAAAAGCTAAGGATGCGTAAATAAGCAATAAATCTACCTACCTTGGGTAGATAGCGCTTCGAAAAACTATTATTAATTCCAGAGTCACATCGCATCATTGCGCCTCGGGAATGTCCTTATGCGTGAGAAACTCGCCAACGACCTTTAGAATCCTCTCTCGCAGCCCTCCGCCTTCCAGATGGCACATGTGGCCGCCGCCCGGAAACGTGATCCAGCGAACGCGTGGGACGAGTTCGAAAAACGGGACTTGGGCGATGTCGTGCGAGGTGTCGTACTCGCCGTTGTAGACGAGGGTTGGAGAAGTAATTTTGGGGAGGCGGGGGATGACGGTCCAGTTATTTAGAGAACCGTCTGCCGTTAGAGGCGAGGGGCCGTTCCTGGATGGAATAGGACCTTAGTTAGGTACTTAGGAAAGACAGGGGAGAGACTCGGGAAATCCCCAATCACCCCTTTCACTGCATCACCACAAAAAAATCCCAGAGAAGAGAGAGGCACAACTTACATTGTCCGATACACCGTCGTATCCTCGCTCAGATGCTTCAAAGCCGGCAGCAGCTCCGCCGGCGGAAACGGGTCAGCACGACACACGTGCTTCCTATAGTAGAAGTCCAACGCCTCCTTATAAGCAGGACTATCATACTCGCCCTTCTGCTCAGCCTCATCGAGCGCCTTCTGCATATCCGGCGGCATCTGCTCTCTCAGCAGCAGCGTGCCGCGAGTAGCAAGCTCCTTGCTCGCCAGCGCACTAGCAAGGACCAGCCTCCGAAGTCCCCGGGGCCGGCGGGCGGCAAACGCGGCGCCAAGCATGCCTCCCCAGCTCTGGCCGAGAAGGTGGAAGCCGGGATCGCGACGCACGTCGAGGTGGTCTAGTAGGTTGTCTAGCTCGTCCTGGAACAGCTGTTCCTGCCAGAAAGACTGGTCGCCGGCTTTTTGCGGGAGATGCGTGGAGGCGGCGCAGCCTATCTGGTCGTAGAAGATGACTGGGAGACCGTATTGCTGCCAGAGGTCTGCGAAAGGGAGGAGGTACTCATGTCCGGCGCCGGGTCCGCCGTGGGCTATGATGACTGGGGGGGCGCCGCTTGAGAGGTCCCCGATGATCTTGTAGTAAGTGAAACAGGGCTCGTCGATTGATGGGATTTTGAAAGGCGCTTTGCCTTCCTGGACTTGGGTTTCGGCCATGGTTTGGCGGAGAAGGAAAGACGATGAGAGGGGGAGGGGAGTGGTGAGGTGAAGTGAAGTAAAGGGATGAATGAAAGAGCGGATGCTGTGTGTAAAATGCCCGGTCGGTCCCGAGTTGGTTCAACTACTAACAGGGTGTAACACCCATATCGGTCCGGCTCTTTGCCCTTACAGGACGTTGTAGTCTGGCCGAATCAGAGGGGATTCGGGCTATGATCGGATTACGCTAAGAACACTTCTATCTTCTTTTTTTTTCATCCCCGCACCTAAGATACTATATTTTGAGTCTTTAACCAACCATCATTGTTATAATGTTTAACTACGTCCCAGTATTCTAGGGAGATTCTGATACAGAAGAGAAATACTTCTTCCTTCTCATCCAACAGACGCATCTCACGTTCTACTTACAATCAGACGACTCAAGAGTAGGTATGGTATGGTAAATCGTCAGCTTATACATAAATATGACTGACATGTTAGATTCACTTTCTTTCAACCTAAATTCTTAGCCCGTATGTTCGCGTGTTATTCATCACACTGCTACTATATACTATATACAACGAGTACTCGACCACATCACCGAGCAGCCTGCCCCCTTAAGGAGCCGCGACCTCGGTGAGCGGCCAGTTGATGCCCTTGTCTGCGGCGCCGGTATTTCCTAGGCCCGCGCAGCTGTACAGGCCGACGGGGTTGTTCTCCGTGGCGCGCATGTACTGCAGGTCGAGACACTCCTCTGTTTTCAGGCGTTAGCTTATTCGGATACTGATATGTACTATGGCGAAAACGCAGCTAGCTGGACTTACGGGGGCTCGACTTCTCGACGGCGATCCGTCCGTCTTCCATGGCAACCCACTTCTGCGAGTCCGCGGTGTCGGAACACTCCTTGATGTAGATGTTGGCCATGTCCTTCCAGTTAGCTGCGAGGGTTCGTCGTGTCAGTAGACTGAGACAGCGTAGTATGAGAGCTATAGGGGATGTTCACATTTCTCGCCTGCGTCTAGACAGAGCTCAGTGCCGGCTAGCTGGATCTTGGTGCTGCCGGTCTTGATGTACCATTGCTGCTCGGGCTTTTGGCTGCCGGTCTTGCTGGACGGTGAGAGACGGATTAGTACAGATGCTTTATTACGACGGGGAAGAGCCATATACGTACATGACTAGAGTACTGCCGCTGGTGTTCGACTGGGGAACCAAGACGAACTTGGCGTCTACCATCGACGTGATGTAAACGGTCTTGTAGCCCTCAGGAGCCTGAGAGAAGCCAGTTGCGGCGAACGCGAGCGTGAGCAGAGATGTAACCAGCATGTTGATTTCTGTTATGTAATTAGATAATTCTCAGGAGTACTTAGGCTGTGCTTTAGACTATCAACTACCATCACCACTTAAGTCAAAGACTGAAAGATGATGCAAGTCGCTTATATACCTGAGGTACCTTACGTATGCAGGCCTCCTCCTCCATAGCCAAAGCCATATATATTCAAGATATTTTCTGGAATTAATCTACCAGCCTAATTGACAGGCCGACCACCCCAGGCCGGGGAAAAATATATTAAAGCTCATTCGAACCTGGGGGAATTTCCCCATTTCTCGGAGCTTGGTATACGTCACCTAATCCGGTCAATTACACGTTGATTAAATTGACGACGACGGGGGCCATGCGTTGTATTAACGATCGTCGGCAGATCTCCCCCAGGAAGACGGCCACCAATAGATCTGCCGCTATTTGTATCGCCTCTGATACTTGCCCCCCTCCCTTCCTATATCGTCGTCGGCTAATATGTACAAAAGAAACAGGGGCGGCATTGAAATATCGCGGGGGCTGATTTTGGATTTGTCTCTGGCGGTGTCTTGTTTTGGATGCACTGGGAATGTGTTATACTAGATAACCCCTTTTTCTTAAGCGTTTAAAGAGTAGATTAATTTTGATGATCAGCGCAAGTGCAGGCCCGGTACTGACTTCCGGCCGGCGGGTCCCCCGATTTGTGGATACTCGCGGCATTCTGCCGGGACGCAGACCGTACGTACCTACGTAGGTGAAGAATTAGGGCTTATGTTCAAGTGACGTCGACAATCATATGCCGGCCTTTTCCCCAGATGTTTGATACTACGACGGCCTAACTTAAAGCGGTACGATATATTAAACTTCTATATTAAGACTATTACCGTTACGATTCTTCTAGATGTTTGCAATCATATATAACCTATTCTACGCTTCGGTATGTTTCTAGAATGAAGTTATACGGCCCTGACATGTGCTGCTCGTATTTAAATAATGAAATAATAGTAGAGTAAGTTCCTTAGGCGTGAAAGTCGAGTGTTTAGCCCTTCATATTTCATACTTTACTTACTACAGTAGCTAAATAAGGATTTATAGTACCAAATGTTGGGAATACTAATTACTAGCCTTGTTTGATATGGGCTCTTTACATAATTATGATAACCCACTACCCCTATATCATATTCCGTATATGTCCCAAGAAATAACTGTGAGGTCTAGATAGGCACGACAGATATCCGCCCTAGTGCCACGAAACAGAGATATTTTCCACGAGTGGAATTACCAGAAACTCGCAAGTTTATATTCTATTATTACATTTTATGTCAGGAGGGTACCCTATCTTTCGCTCAAACGATGGAGGTAATGGTCTCCTGTAATGCCTTTCTTCCCAGGGTCTTGAGGAATCTAAACGATGTCTAGGAAAGTCTTAGCACAGCACTTCAAGCTCTCAAGGGGGAAGGTACTAAAATATGCGGCTCTTCCCTCTTCATCAATGCCGCTGGTGCCACTAGTAGTAGGGGCTACCGAGGCGTTCCGCTCAATGCCGGTGTTGCTGTCACGTAGGATGGGTAGCTCTACGAAGCCCCGAGCGTTGCGAACCGCCCCTCCGGTTTCTGGGGTGGCGGAGAAGGCCCGTAGCGACGGCAGGTTTACGGCGATGAGAGCTATCCCAGCCTCAAGCATGGTATAAAAGTAGGACTGGGTGATGAGGCCTAGATATGGTAAGAACCGAGCCCGGGTCAGTAATACGAGTCGGATTGGTCTCATCATATATAGGTACTAGCAGTAAACTCACGGTCATGTTCGGTTTGGAAGAAATAACCTGGGCCTCCCAGATCGATTTCGATGTACTTCACCATTCGAACAATTGACGCGCCGAGCCCACTGAATCAAGGGTTAACAAGCCAATTACGCACCGCATGTTATGGAAGCCCTTACACAAAAGCTAACAGGAATATACCTATAATGGACAATTTCCTCCGCATGTTTGTGTGGAGATGTAGGATCTTTATGATACTTCCGTCAGCAGCCAGAAGCCAAAAAGTACGCATTTCCAATTTGAGGGCCGACTCACACTAGGGATTGGAAGAACCAAGATCAGGATGTCCAGCAGGAAGTCAGAAACAACAAGCCCGAACGAGAAAGGGAATAAAAGAGTGCAATATTGGAGATAGGCGCCATCCCAGAGAGCCGAGAAATGCGTACCGCACTGAAAGCCAACCAAGAATCGAAAAACAACGAGCCACAGAATCACAACCCCGATTGTAACCCCAGTTACTATCCTAAACATGGACCGCTTCCCACCGACGGAGAAGATGCGCCGATAGAAGAAGACTGCGCTCAGCTTCACACAAGCAAGCGTATTGTTGGTCAGCACGTCGAGGGTGATCCGACACTAGGTAGATATTAGGATCATTAGTCGAAACAAGTTGTAGGAAAAGGGGCTGCCAGTACTCACCACGCTATACATTTTACCCCTTTCTTCCATCTGCTCCGGCGTGAAGTCGTAGGTAGAATATCCCAAGAACTTGTAATGTACCACTACAAGGGTTCATTTCTCAGCCCTATTTCTCTAGTTAACGGATTGGCGAAGGATGGAAAAATGACTTACTAGTAAACACGCAGATGGCAGCTCCGTAGTATGAAAGCTAAAGCCATCATCATCACCATCATCCGTCATTAGCTAAGATACTCTTCAAGCTTGATACGATTCTAAACCACGCCACGAGCTACTCACCAGAGAAAGGCCAGCGAACCAGTCATCAGCCCATCAGCGGCAATCTGCACCGTCTTCGCGCCCAAAACCGAAGACATACGACGACGGTAGATAGGCCCATAATCGAGCCGGAAGCGCCTAATATGCCCTCCTTGGACGAAACCGACATGAGCGCAAGTTGTTAGTTAGTATGAAAAAAAGGACAGCAGACAGGCTTCAATGATGCTTTCTTACCTACATGTAGGAGAGGAATATTCGAGTACTCTTGCTTTAAGGTCGGCGACAGGTAGCGGTGATAGCAGTGGGGGCTATGATATTACGGATCTGGGTAGGTAGTATATTGAAGACATGTTGGTGTAGGCCGCGTTACACCAGGCCCGAAGATAGAACGGAAGGCCGGTCGCATTATCCAATAATCAGCAGCTCCGAGGCAGAGAAGAGGAATAATTGTCATGATTTGCGAGGCGTTTGCTTCAAAGGACTATCGATGTGTGGTAATCAATATATCTAGCCGCGGTGAGGGTGACGCTGAAGGAATCTAGGTACCTAGGTAGGATTCAAGTCAGATTTGCTACCCTAGTTCCGTGTGTAGATTTATTAGAGAACTCCGTTTATCACTACTTTGATATAACTCGTCATCAACATAGTCTCATCTGGCATATCAAATAATCCAGTCCATATATACGTTTACAGTAAAGAAAATGAAACCCCTAAGAGTATTATAATGGCCAGGCGTTAACAGAATTCTGATCAATGCACCTATTATCTATCAGTCAAGTTCCCAATGAAGCCTTGTTCGTAGCCTTCGATCTTATATTTTTACCTCCTTGCTCACCACAGGATCTCGTTTGATACACCATCAAGTTCCATCAATAATAACTCGCAAGAACCCAGGCTCCCCGTTCATAAAACCAAGTCGAAAAGGGTCAATAGCTTTATATTCAGGCTCCTGCGCGCCTGAGCCAAAGAGAAACTCGGCCGTCTGCTAGAGTATCTTATATACTACCTACCATACAGCCCACAGACCCCATCGCAAAGACAACGAGTGCCACCAATAATACCTAGACATAGGGGATTGCTCTGCCCTAACACATCTAATAGCTGCCATTACACATAGCTTCACGAGGTGCTTATGTATGTGGATAAGTAGGAATCTATCCCTCCATCTCCACATCCTCCCCACCCCCTTTCTTGCGACTCTCCAGCCTCTGTCTAGTCTTCGCCTTCGCCTCCTCAACCCACTTAACATACGCATCTTCCCCCCCTTCCCTGATCTTCAAATCCACAACCCCCTTAAGCACCGCCCCCGCAAACCCCACGAAATTATGCCGACGCAGCGCGTTCTCGAACTGCCAATCGCGACGCTTCTGCTCCTCGCGCGCCAGCATCTCCGCATCGCCAATCTCCCGCGCTACCGCCCGCCGGTCCCCGACCATCGCCATGAGATTGAACCGGATCTCCGAGAGGTCGTAGCGCGCGATGCGGCGCTGCAGCACGTCCATGACGCGCGTGGGGAAAGTCTCCGATGTGCACGGCCCGTGCGCAATCGGTGCCGGTTGCAGGCCGTCGAGCTCGTAGAGCACGCCATCGACAGGCGTGTACGCGATGAAGTGGAACGCATCCTCCGTCTCGCCGCTCGTGCGCTGCGTCTCGTCCACGAACGGACTGCTGCGCGCGAAGCTATTATGTACGTCCCGAATCAGCTCACTATTGCTGAGCGCCTCGCCGCGGAACTCGGGCGGCAGCGCCATCGTGAATTCTCTGAAGTCGTTTAGCGGGGTCCCGATATCCACCTCTCCGCCTCGGTTCATGAGCACCGAGAGCAATGCCTGCGTGCCGCACGCATTCTGTATTGTCTGAGCCGCAAACCAGAGACGTTCTGCAGCGTCGTGGTCGAAGGTGCCATCGAGGGGCTTCTCGGTCGAGGTGTAGGGAGTGTCTGTGGGGTACTTGAAGAGGAATATGACGCCGTAGACGGGATGGAGCGAGGCCAGCGCTTCCGGCTCTAACGTAAGGAGCTCTTCAAACTGAACATTCTGAACGCCTAGATTATTGAGAAGAAAGGTGAAAACGCCCTTCGGAATAATAATCAGCTTTCGAGGATATCAAAAATGTAAGTAGACCAGGGCTTCGCATACAGCATCCGACTCAACTATTTTTAGGTAATTAGCAATCCGTGCTCAAGCTCAAGGAAGCACTAATGGTGTCAAACTCAACTGGTATTCCATCCACCACTCATCTTTCAGCTTTGCTTGCCAGGGCGGACGAGGCGCTGGCGGTAGGTCTCGTAGTATGCAGGCAGGTAAATCGAAGCGCTGATCGGGTAGAAGCTAGCTGTCGTGGAACAAGGAACGCCTTCTCTGAGAATTTAACTGTTTGAATGCTCCGACGTGTGGGTAGCCCAAGATTACAGATATCGGTAAATCTTAACGTCTATTGCAGAATGTCTGGAAATTTCTTGTTTAAGTAAGACAGCTGAAAAGAAGCTTATAATGTGTGATGTCAAGTTTGTGTCGCAGTTGAAGATGTGAATTTACATAGAGCTCTATCGGTACGTACTTGGCTTACGTACCTGGCAGCCTGAGGCTTGAGCATGTACCTCATTACATGTAGGTACGTACCTGAGCTATTGTGGGTCATAGTCTGATAAGATAAAGCGGATGATCCACAATAGCTATCAATTAGGGGGGAGTATTTACACTACAGTTATCACAGCTTTTTTTTTTTTTTCATGAATATCCTTTCTCTGCATTGCTACAAAGCTATGCCTGTTTTTATCTTTGCTCTGTCGTTGTAAAGCTAAGCAAGAGATCCTGCCAGTACATTCATTTTTCCCCTTTCCCTCCTTTTACTTCACAATTATATACGCCTTGGGGAAAAGGATCCTGGTCAATTTCCGTAGACATCTCAGAAAGCATCTTGCCAACCATCTCACCTTGTCCTTTTCCGTCCTTTTTCGTCCTTTGCTTGCCATTATCTGCGTGATCCTCATCCTCCACTTACGCCAATCCCTCACTCGTGCGTATTAGTGTCTCAAAGCATTCCAAAATTAGAGAATGTATGCCTGCAACAGGCATATACAACTGGCTTCCTTGCTGCTTTGCTCGTCTAGTTGAGCGAGGGAAGGTCGTGCTCGCGGTGTCGAATACGATGCTGAGGGTTGCTCTGCATGACGTGTACATCCTTATTTTCTTCATCCGAATGGCCTCGTGAGCTGGTCTCAGTGGCGGCGTTCATAACGCTGTCGTTGTCCACCAGCTCCACGTCACCCTTCTGACTGTTAGTCTCGAATTGAAAGCGGCCTGGCATGACCTTTCCGGCAACACGCTTCATCCAGCTAGGGATATCTCTGGCTCCTAGTCCCCAATCATACACCTCCTTCTCGTGCCAGTTTGACGGGATGACTCTGCCTTTAGTGACCCATACGATAAAGAAGATCATGCTGTTCAGGACGACGTAGACCAGCATACCCCTATAGTTCCGATTAGCATATGTTTATTTGTTTAGTAGAAGGTACTCACGCAATTAGACCATAGGCGACGCTGTAGCTGAAGGGCATGAAGGCCAGGGTGACAAAAGACGGGACAGCGTCACCAATGTACTGCCAGTTGATATTGATGACTTGGCGGATCATTAGACAACCGACCTTGAAAGATAATATTAGCGACTCTCTTCGACTGTAGCATTCATAGGCAAGCTTACCAAAACCAAGGTTGATCCCGTAGCCCAGGGCGGAACAGAGGCCAGAATCGGGGCAAAGAACAAACAGACGAGGAAGCAAACACCAGCTGAAATTGCAGTCAATCCGGTACGACCACCTTCTGCAATTCCTGCACCGCTCTCGATGAAGGCGGTAACAGGCGAACAACCAAAGAGGGAACCAATTGAAATCATGACTGCATCAGTGCAATACGCAAGGGTCGAGCGGGGAAAGTCGCCATCCTCTCCCACAACACCGCAGAACTTGGCCATCGAGTACAGGGTCGCAGTACAGTCAATAATGTCGACGTAGAGGAAGGTAACGAGAGCCAAGGCAAATTGGGCTCCGGCAGCGCCCTCGAGACCCCAGTCCTGGGCATTCAAGACAGTCTTGATCGGGTGGAATGCGATGACCTGTTTGAAAAACTGGAACCGTTCCTCGCCAGCCTCTGTGTAAGGGAAGTAAGTGAAAGAGGTGTTGCGGCTAATAATTATCAGTTGAGTTTCATTCGATAGATAAAAGGGGTAAGGGGTAAGGGGTAAGATAAGGTTCCACTCACGGCCAAGACATGATTGACACGATTCCAATACCGATGACAATGGCGCTCTTGACCTTAAAGGCCATCAGAAACGCAACGAAGATGCCGCCGATAAAGATGCCAATCCACATCTGTTACCAATTGTAAGCTAAATACTCAATGCTGTGTATAATGATTCTTACCCCAGGATTCGTCATGATGTGGCTAGAGCACTCTCCCTTGTCGTTGAGATACTCGGCAGGGCATCCTCCAATTGTGAGAGGAGTAGAGAATCCGCCCGTGATGGCACCGATACCTGCAGAATAGGACAATCCGATCTCGGTAAGGAACAAGCCGATGCCGACGCCACAGGCCGTCTTGATGGTAGCCGGGATCATTCGAACCAGCCACTGTCGCATTCCGGTCAGAGCTAGGAAGACAAAGATCCATCCTTCCACAAAGATGGCAAGAAGAGCGACCTTGTAAGGGACCATGCCTGTGCCGTGCCAACCGACGACTTGGTAGGTGAAATAGGCGTTAAGGCCCATACCTGGTCTTGAAGTGGGTTAGAATAATGTGATAAGAAATCCATATAAGATGAGAGTTGGCATACCCGAGAGAAACAGGAAGGTTCGTAAGGAATCCGAACACGATGCTGGAAAGGCCAGAGAGGGCCGCCGTAGCGGTAATCAGATCCCGCTTCAGAACTACATAAGAGTCAGCCCTGGTTCCAACTTGTGAAATTTTTTTCATTCGGAGTTAGCAAGTACTTACCTGTCTGGCAATTGGCGTACTCAAAGTCGCCAGGGCAGCCAGGTTCAGATCCCTCTGGGCACTGACACATGCCTCCGGAGTCTGCAAGAACAGCAGCCTTGTTTTGGTTAGGTATATAGATTAAGAAGAGGAGTAGTAGATAGGATGCTCACATTGACAGCAACAATGTATGCCATAGTTGCGAAGGTAGTCAAGCCGGCACGGATCTCTCGAAAGAAAGACGAACCACGGACGGTTTGGGGCTAATTGCTGTTAGTATGGTGACTTTTTCTGTGTTTGTTGGAAATATTGTATGGTATGGGCCCGAGAGAACAGGATAGGGTTATCGCGTAGATAGAATCCATATCTATCGTATCAAACGGTTCATTGAGGATGTATGTGATGACTTGTGAAGAAGGATGAAAGAAATTTAACTTACGTGACCAGATCCATCCAGGCGAAAGACGCGACCAAAAGTTGATCTATTGATGTAATCATCAACAGATGCCACCTTGTTCATCACTCCATCGATAAATCCATCGATGTTCGGCATCTTGTCTCGATCAAGCGACAGGCAGTCGCGTCGGTTAGATCAGGTACACAGAAGATAACTGATTAAAAGAGCCTAGTGAGGGAATGGAAGCCAATTCCAACAGGCTAGGCAAAGTCAAAGATAGTTAACAGTAAGTGAGAGGGATGATTTTAGGAGGTTAGACCGTTTGATCAAAGGTTTGACGATGTTGTTGATCGGGAGACAGGGCAAGGCAGGGCAAGACACGAAAAAGAAGGCCGAGTAGATCCTTAGAAGTCGGTACAAGATGCGGAGGACGAGATCAAATGAAAAGTCGCACCGTATTGTGTGTGCCGACTCTGCAGGCTACCTCTGTGGCTTGATAGGGTGTGCCCTCGTTAGTTGTAAAAAGAATGTTTCTCTTGCCTGTCTGGGGAATAATGTCGAAAAATAAATAGTTGGGTGGTTTGTGCAAAGGTAAAGGACGGCGGGGAGCGACGGCCAGGCAACAACTGCGCTCCTTAGAATCGTACCTTCTATCGTATCTAGATAGGATTGAGAGAGATCCAATTGGCTGAACTAGGCACTTTTAAAGTTCACGCGTGCCTAAGATAAGCTGTTTAGAAACAAGAAGGAAAGAGCGCCGGGGGGAATTGTCATGAGTAAGGAGCGGAAGGAAGGTAGGTGTAGATGCATATGCATCTATGTGCACGGGTCAACACGCCTAAGGTGCTCACCTTGAGCGGTACGTACCTGCAGGTGGTTACGACAAGTTCCAGCTGTAATAATAGAATAACCTGCTATTACTACGTGAGTCAGGCCACTTCAGGACACTATTGAGTTGCCATCTGGTGATTTTGCCTTTTATATTTCAGATATCTTTCCCAGTGTTTTGAAAGAGCATAGTTGATAAGGTCACTCTCCACCAGTTATCCACAGCTGCAATATAATGCCAGTAAGGGTACACCTAGATAAGGAAAAGGGGCTCTCGTGGATCGTCTTGTTCGAACTTGCTCTCGGTAGTTTTCCGTTAAGCAGTTACCCAATAGTGACCATGTTACTGTGGAATTCCGTCTGTATTCTGGCGAGATGAGGACGGTGTGTCTTCAATATTCACCGAGTTGACACGTCTCCCTACAATAAACTTGGTGGTCAACAAGTATTAACCCGAAGACGTTGCTTCTAGCCCTCCCATCAAGTGAACTAGCGACCACGTGTGTGAGGTTGTGGTATGAAAGGAAACTAGTTGTGAAATATGTGTATCCTTGTTTACCCGTAGCACACAACAATGGAGAGACATTGGAAGAAATAAGAAAAGGTAAAATGGGGTATATTCCTAGAGGAGAGACTACATTAGCTGTGGATAATTTTACTATAGGAGTCTGTTTTCGAGGATATAAATGCCTAGGTACCAAGGCTATCCTAGTAGCGGATGCAAACATCTCAACTGCAAGCTCGCAAATTACTATGCGAATTGCCGGTCTCCTATCCATCGAACTTGGCCTAATCCTGTTTACTTTGAGCCTCTTTTCTATAAAAATGGACAAGTATTATTATGCAAGTATCAACTCTGCGTGGATGTCGTGTATCCTCCAGCTTGCTGTAACCGCGATTCGGCCTTGCACCACCTATTTGTTCAGCTCGCCAAAACTTTTGCCTTCTTGTTGATGCCACCAATAAATTTGGCATCATGAGGCCATTGTGAACACACAATTAGTTTTTCTTCTTCTTAAAAAGGCTTGATTGGTCTGTTTCAGAGGTTGTCAGTGAATACCTGAACCCCTGAAAGGCCTCCTATGGGGCAACATTGGACTAGATATCAGACAAATGCACGAGACACGCGGGAAAATTCGCCAATTACCGAGATATACTGTAACGCAAGCTATTCCATTACCGGAACACAGAGTGGAGATGGAACGTCTGCCCGTACTATCATGTAATGCTTGTGTAAACCGGGATGTGCCTGTTGTGTATCCTCAAGTACGAGAGTCTTCAGTGATAACCGACGTAACAAAACCAGTGGCCGGGACTGGTTTACCTTAGTATGCATCTAGGTTGCACAATCTAATCGGAAAAGTATCCATACGGGCCGAGTCTAGCGTACACGTCTATGAATATGTCGATGGTGAGTGGTGTTTACTTAAAGCGAGCAGGCAGTACATCACTGGAGAAACATCCTGATGATCACCTGGGTATAGAAATGTCAAGGAAGACCATCCTCTTTTAAAATTTTCTAACGGCATAGCTTGATGATAGGATCCGAGCTGCATTAATTAGATGAAGACCCTTTAGAATAGTTCTAAGGGTGCATCCTTTCCTTCTAGTATTTCAAACTATTTTTGCCACCGAGGAGTCAATTAACCCATCGCTATGAAAGAAAACTAGCAATTGGGTCAAAATAGTCTATAACGCGGTCCGTGTGGTAGATTCGGTGAAGAAAATGACCATTATCTTGGACTAACCTTTCTTACTTGTCACGAGGTGGAGCAAGAAGTGAGGAGACAACTTCGCTGTTCCGCGAGGAACTCTAAGCTAGCTACAGGAGCCTACGACTATTCATACTTGACAGCATCCTTTGTTCTAGATGTCCCATCTAGAACCCTGACAATACTAACTCCAACCAGGTAGCTCATTGTGATACAAGTTCTACACCTCAGCTGAACAAGGTAGTAAGTTGTGTAAGATCTTGCCTTTAAAATATAGAATAGAGGAGAAACATATCAATACGTATTCTTATTGAATAATACCTTACAAGTGGACCAGAGAAGAATATTTAGAAACATGAATCGACATAGCTAATTCGACACCGAACAAGTAAATCAAATAACTAAGTCTAATACGTCTACTTGATTGTGCTGTCCAGGAGTCCCGCTGCCAAGTTAAGCGAATTATGTAACAGGAACAAAAAGTGAATAATAAATGTTGATTCTGTGTACAGATGCGCCATTCTTATTTACGGAGAATAGTAAAAATAGGGGCTACTCAGGTATGCGTCCTACCAAATTCCTTGCTCAGGTCGTTTGATGGCCGATTAAGCGGAGCACAGAAGTTCAAGCAAACACATATAATTGCCTACCTAGCTATGGCTTCTTCAATAGGGGCTTGTCTAAATCTCGAGAGCATTTAAGCCCAGTAAAACGACTACCACTTTCGACTGTTATAGAGACAAGTACAAGTAACACGGGGGAACAATGTAGTTTTTTTTATAGGAAGCTTGAATGAAAACGTTAATACATTCAAATACCTATATATGGTTCATTAATATCTTTAAATTTCAAAATAATTCTACACACAAACTGCTAATAGTCTATCACACTTACAAGGTTGGTTTTAGCTTGCTTCCTACCTTTCCTAACCTACCTAACTTAGGACTCTAAATTGGAACAGAATGTTCGACCTTACCTACAGCTTCTACCCCTACCTACCATATTGTACTGACCTATAGGATTTTATTACTATTATGCCATTATAAATTGGTGTTAATAGGAAGACTCTCCTTCATGAAAACCCATAACCTATCACGAAGACCACTTATCATTCACAGAAAGCACAAATCGAACAACCACGGCGATTAACCGAAAATAACGAATTCAGTATAGCTAGTCTATCTGAGAGTATCAGGACTGCCTATAGAAATCAGCGGAAACACGTGCACGGAGAGGATACCCAACCTCCCTCGAAAATTGTACGCCTGTAATGCAACGCAGACCTCGTCATCCCTTATGACAACATCTGCTTCCTGCGCCTGACGAGACGCCAGATCCTCGCAGATTCGCGCAGGTCGGAGACCCAACAGCGCGACATTATGAGACTCGTCAACTGATCGTACCGAAAAACTTGACCGAAAAAACCAGACATAAGAGTACAACCGTAGTGGTATCTGCAGGTAAGGAAATGCCAAGGAAATGCTACACACGTTGACTACTGCGCGCTTATTTTATGTTCATCAGCTTGATATCAAACACCAATGTGCTGTTGCCAGGGATGCCAGGTTGCGCTTTGCTTCCGTACGCGAGGTGAGCAGGGATAGTCAGTCGGCGTTCGCCACCAATGGCCATGCCTTGGATTCCAATGTCCCAACCCTTAATAACCTCTCCCTTTCCTACAGAGAAGCTGAAGGGCTTTCCCTTCTTGTTGGCTATTTTCATGTTAGCAAACATCCATACATCATTCTCCGCGAGCGAAACCTACCATCGAAAACCTTTCCATCCAGAAGCTTGCCGATATATCGAACTTCGACCTTGTTACCCTTCTTTGCGACGCGGCCAGATCCTATCTTGCGGTCGTCAACAGTGACACCCTGGACAACCTTTACGCCGGGGGTAGCGCCCTTCTCGGCGGCAGCCGAACCAGTGGGGCCTTGTTCTAGGTTCTTGGCGAACTGGACTTTCTTATCACCCTTGGTGGAAGCGTCCTTGGTGGATTCGGCCTTAGCATCCTCCTTAACAACAGGCTCGCCCTTGTTGTTCTTGAGCTTTTTCTGCTGCTTCTTGCTCAACTTGGCCTCCTCAGCCTTGGCCATCAAGCCATCAAGGCTCTCCGCTTCCTCAGCAAGGCGCTTGTTTTTGCCCTTCTTGGTCTCGGCAGCTACCAGTTTAGGAGCATCCTCTTCGTCGGTGTCTACCTCTGTAACACGAGGGTCCTGGAGATCATCGAGCTCATCCACCTCAGAGTCATCAGAGCCATACTCCTCGATGCCCATGCCGTAGTCATCATCGTCCTCGTCTTCCTCGTCGGAGACATCGTCAGGATCGACAACGTAGTTACCAGTTAAGTGAATGGTGTGAGTACCCTTAACAACGAAGAAGACCTCCTCGTCAGCGCCAATGGTGATGTCGAGGGGTTGTTGGTAGTTCTTTGGGTTACGTTAGCAGAGCTATAAAAAGATTTCAAGGCAAGACATACGCGTTCAGTATCAAGGGTACAAACGACAAGCTCCTCGAGATCTAGAGTAGTAGAATCGATGCTCTCATCGTCATCCTCGTCGTCGCTGGAAGTAGCGGGCTCCTTGCCTTTCTTGCCCTTCTTAGTGGCCTTAGCGACGCCATTAGCCTTCGACTTGGGCTTGGCATCATCGTCCTCCATCTCCTCATCTGAGTCTTCCTCTTGGACAGCTTGGATGAGTTTTTGCAGAGCAGCCTCGCGCCGGGCCTTCTTCGACTTGGAGGGGTCACTAGGGCCGCCATTGGCCTCTTCATCCGAATCTTCTTCGTCGTCATCTTCATCCGAATCACCGCCACCCATGAACTGGTTTAAGAATTCGTCATCAAGCTCGTCGTTGAGAGAAGGTCGCTTGCGGATGAGCTTAAGCGTAGAACGCGGGACGGCGGGGATATTGCCCTCATCATCGGCTTCAGGCTCCTCGGTGGGGTCAAGAGCAGCCATAGTGATGCGATACTTGAGATTCCATATTAGTACTTACAACTTCGGACCGAAATACAAGACATGACGAAGCGGCGGAGAGGGGGGAATTCCGTCGTAATAATGTCGCATAGTACTTACAGAAGCACCATGGATAACCTCCTCCTGCATAGCGGGAACCATGATGCCTTGCGCCGGGACCTCAAGCCCGTAGAGGGCGACAGGCAATATAGGCATTGTGAATGATAAGTTTGACTTTGGGTTAAATAGAAGATGCGATTTGGACTGGAGATGGAATTGAAGACTCAATGAGGAACACTGTTGTTTATGGAATGATACTTGCAAAGCGCAAGAGGGAACACGATGTTTTATGGAAGAGGAAGAGGAAAAAAAAAAGACTTCGGACGCGACTCGAGACCCGTTGAAGAAGAAAGTGAAAAAAAAAAAAGTTGAGAGCTAACTAGCTGTCCGTCTTTACTTTCTCCAAATTTTTTTTTCCTCGAGTAAAAAAACTTCCGCCGCAGCAACACCCCACCCAAAAAGTCTTACCGCGTTTATAGATAAGGCGGCGCTAGTTAGAAAGAGGCTTATCCGCACGGACCATTGCAGCCGCTTTGCTCAGAAGGTTTTAGCGACGGGCAACCAGCTGCTGCTGCGAAGCCTCGGCCTAGCCAATGGTACAGCTGTATTAGGTATGACAACAACAAATGACGGTATACCTTACGATTTCTTTCTCGTTTGTCACGGGGAAAATGGGAAGGCGGTTGATAAGGGCTTTTAATCTAATACCAGTAGGTATTAGTTAGGTCATGACTTGGATAGTATGCCTATTTCCTACCTAATACTAATGAGATTGTATAAGTTGAAGCAAACGACTTTCAAGTTTTTCATATTAGAAATAGAGGCATGATATATATCATAAAAGTTGAAGACAAAGTATGGACTTTGTTCAACGGTATGTCAGGTAGGCAAGTATGTAAGATATAACGTCTTTAAAATAGGGGTTCAGCCTAAGGAAGGTCTTCAGGAGAAACACTATCATGACGTTGCGTCTCAGTCACCATAAAGCCAACGCCTGTTAGAGAATGTCTCAGTTAACATATAATTCCTCGTTTCTTTTCTTTCTTTACTATCAAATTCAAGAGTACAGAGTAGTCCTCGTTCCTTTCACAATTTTACCATACTATCCTTCACCCCTTACATCTATCTCCATCAAACACCAGGTAAAAGAGCGAGTCCCACCTCCACCCCTTAGCCATATCTAACTCTTAGGCGATCCCGCTCTCAATTCTTAGCAGCAATAACCGCATTAGCCTGCGCGATGATCTCCTTGATCTTGTCTTCGAGGGGTAACTCTGTTTGCGCCGGAGCACGTTAGCCAGGCCCGGAAGGAAAAAAAAAAAAAACCCCCCAGCAAAATGCGGAGGAAGAAAGGTAGACTGACCATTACCATACTCTCGCCCACGGTCAGTCACTTCCATAATCTCGATAGCCATCTCCACAGGAGGCCGAGCAAAATGTCGCGGCGTCGCGCGGCAGTACGCCGCTACGAGGTCGTTGCAGTTGGTCACGCCGCCTTTAAATTTAACGAGACCAGTATTAGTAAAGATTTCGTACGAACGAATATAAGGATACGACCGCAAGAAGGAAGGAGAATAAAGAAAGAAAAAAACCTACCACCCGACCACAAATTCCCATCCTGCACCCAGCGATACTTATGCCCAACCAACTCCTTCTCGCCAAATCCCCTCTCGCGGATCATATCCTGCAACGCGCGCGGCCCACACACCGTCTTCCCCTTAACCAGCCCAGCCTCGCCGCAAATGAAGATGCCCGTGCATATGCTCAAGATATCAACACCAGCCGTAGCCGCCTGCGCGGCCAACCACTCCAGCGCGGCCGCCTCGGTATGCGATAATGGATCGGGCCCGGGAACTAACACGATGTCGAGCTTGCCGGGGGCGACCGCCGCGTCGCCGTAGTGGTCCGTGGCTAGGATCGATTCGTTGGACGTTACTTTGATGTGCTCGCCCGCGCGCACGGAGCCGATGTAGTGGATCTCGACGAAGGGGGCTAGGTCGATGATGGGGTCGGGGATGAGGTGGCGGAAGGCGTTCATGTCTGCGTTGGATTATTAGTAGGTGATATTTAGTACACACATAAATATATATATATATGTCTTGTATAGGCCAGTCATATATTCATTCCATAGCGTCGACAGCCCTTTTCTACAAGGCCGGAGAGGAATGGGATAGGACACTCTACGACGTACTGGGGACACATTAGTTTTCCGAACAAGATTACAACTACCCAATGTAGTGATATGAGTTTGGGGACTGACCATTCATAGCTCATAGAACCAATAATATCAACCGCCGCCGCGTCGAGGAGCTGGCACATCGTAGGGATGAAAACACCGACGCGGACGGTATGTCGCGCGGAACCGTTTGCGTTAACAGCAGCCATCTTGTCTTGTCTGTCTAGCCGTTACCTTCGCTGGAAGAAATATAAAGACTTTTCAAAAAAAGAGTCCCTGAAAAAAAAAAAAAAAAAACCTTATGAGTACTGTAAGCAAGTAAGAGAGTATAAATATCAAAACCCAAGTTTTAGGCTGGAGACTACCACGAAATCCCAACCCAAACACGCGAGGCCCTCGGGTGCATTTATACACTTCATCCTCCCTTACAAACGAGCCTCACCCGCAAAGAAAAACCTAACCTCCATGCCCTCGCGGAGCAAGTCAGTAACGGACTCCACAGCCAGACCCCGAGGCAGAACGGACGACAGCGCTGCGTACTCAATCGCGAAGCCCCCAGGAGGTGCGGTCTAGAGGACAGCGCGCGTCTCCCCAATAAAACCGTGTAATACGATTGGTCGAGTTGCGTCTACTCCGACTCGACTCGGAGCTAGGGCTTTGGAATATGTACCTAATGGACGGAACTCCAACGCTTAGATGCTGCATTTCTTCTTTCTTACTCTGGTTACAAGAAACGAACGCGCCGTACGCAGGAATATTAATGTGTCGGTTTATAAATTCGGCTTTTGAAGAGTGAGATATATCATGCTGGTGAAGTCAGCAAACTTCAACATAAACAACATTCAACTCAGGTCTGCCAGTTGGATGGCCTACCAATCGGACCGGCCTCCGAAACGTCCTATTATGCAAAGCAATATTACAGATCATATTCTCCGTACATGTTCGGCTCTAGAGCAATGCGATGTATCATTTATCGTTGTAAGTTTCAAGAGTACTACTTGACAACTATTCTCGTTCACCGGCGTGCTCCCAATCCACCAGCCCCGTCGGAAGACGGCGCTTCTTTATGTACATGAATATTAAATATTACCGGGCTAGGTTCGCGCATTAGGTATTTTGGGTTCTCCCCATCATAAAACCCGATTCTCGTCCTCGCTGGGCTAGCCCGCCCCCCAATCGGACGGATGCGTCCCTCGACCCTGACGAGCCGATTTGGACTACTGAGCCGTACTCTTCCCGGCCACTTTCTCTTGCCTCGTAAACGAATGCCGGCAGGAAAAACGTCGTGTTCCTGCGATTTGCTCCTAGAACTCCGTGAGCCCAGAATAAGGATCCCCGTATCTAGAATGCCAGTGCCGATGCCATGCATATCAACATCATGCCCTCTATTTACACATAGCTCGTTGGAGCTTTCTTTCAAAAATTCTGAAAAGTTCGCTCGCTTTGTCGGTCTTCAACAGGTTGATAGAGAATCGAACTGGAAGCGCGCGACAGACCCGAACCACCGCAGTAGTCGGTCTGGACGAATATTATTAAACTTAAAATAACCAAACTCTTTACGGCATAACACTCGCGAGCACAGACTTTGCCCTTTGCCGCGTAACCTTTTTGCTGACCGTATACACCAGATCTAACGTGAAAAAGTGCATTAGTTGAGCCTGAGCTGTCGGTATCGACCCATATAGCGGCGCGACGAGCGGCGCCATGGCGTAGTCGATAAAGTTCTTCTTAATATGACGATGAGAGAAACACATTCCCTTGGATAGACCAGCCTCGTTCATTTCCCTCTCACGCGTGGTGACACAAATCTTGTGGAACTTCTCGTATAGGAACAGCATTAGTACGACCTCCATAAGGCCTGCTGTCCTCAAGACATTACAAACAGCGAAGAGCCAACCCAAATGGTGAGGGTCCGAGTTATCAGTAACCCACATGTACAATGTTGAAGCAACAACGAGGATGGTCATCTGCAGGGGTAAGAAGTGAGCCTCAAAAAGTCGGTGGAAAAGGAAGACGATTCGTTTCCAGTCAGGCTCCTTTAGCGTATCGGAAGTAACATCATGGAAAACCTGGCTCTCAAGAGTCTGCTCTGGGCTAATGTCGAGCTGACTTTGCGTGATGTATGAATCGGTAGGATTGTTTCTGCCTCAAAATTAGTTTAAATTTTCCAGAAATTTGAGTGTCAAATCTTACAAGGCGACGTGGAGGGGGCGGAAAGCTCTGGCAGTATGATTGCGTTCTTGCCAGAGCTCCACGAACTTCCGAAGAGCGAATCCAGAATCCAAAGCTCCCCACATGTGTCGTAAAGCTTGCTTATAACGGGCCTGCATGTCGTTGTATACCTCTCGAACTCCCTTACCACCGTTACCCTTAACATTGCTCTGACTAACAGGACTCATGATGGCTCTCACGGTTAAGTTTCCGTTGAGCGCGAAGAAACACTTCAGGTACATGTGCAAATCCTCGCCAATAGCTTCGGAATCACCGTCCCAACCACCGACTCGGTCGACCAACATAAGCGGCACGGAATAGACAGAAGTAGGGGGGGAAATAGTTGAACCGCGGTAGAGACCAGAGAGACCAGCGGCAGCCCATAGAACATCTGCCACACGGACAATAGCAGGGACAGCATGAGCATTACGGTCGAAGATGATAGGAGCAGAATACAGAGTAGTACTCGCAGTTTCAGGGTAAGATACGTGCATGTTCGTAAGTTGAGCGAAGTAGTTGGTTGACAGATGGCTATCGGCTGTATTTTGACTAGGTTAGCTCATTTGCACAATTAACAGCTCTAGAGTTAAATCGCCCCCTAGGTTAATTCTGGGACGTTATGCATACCATCAATTCCAGTTACAATTACGTTCTTCCTCATAGTTGAGGTATACCTCTCACTGAGTTTGCGCGCAGCCCATGCGATGTTGCTACCCTTTCCAGGAGACTCGCCAGGGATATCAGAAGGATGGAGAGTAAAGTCGATTGAACGAAACTTCTTAACGAATTCTTGAATGAGACCCATGGCCTTCATCTCGACGTTGTGTTCACGTTGTTCCATAGCGAGGTAGACCTAAGAACGAAGCGGATTAGCGCTGGAGCTCAAACTTTTGGTGCAATTATGCTAGAACAGCATAATTATGGCTTTGCAAAATGGACAAGCTCAGATTGAGCTCGCTAACGTTTCATTGGGAAAAAGCAACTTACATCATAGTCGGATCGGGCTTGGGAGTGCGAAGCCAAAACATCGAGCGTCTCTCTCAAGCTGTCAACCTCCTCCTTGTAGTTGGGAATAACAATTGCGTGAACAACTTGGTCGTGAACACTGTCACCGTCGGTGTAGAATTCGGTTTCAATGTCGCCAGCTTCGCTGCTGGTAGCAGAAGAAGGGAGCGAATCTTCTTTGGAGGACGTCAATGTCTCGGAACTGGAGAGAGAGGTAGACGAGCCGCGACGACGGTGAGTTAGCTTGAAATCCCTGAGCGAGGTGCTCCGCGCAACCTTGGTCAAATTCCGAGTTACGTCGAATAGAGCCCAGCATGATCGCATCGGGAAGGCGAAGACCAGTATATGAATTAGGAGGCAGTAGTAGGCGAAGACGAGGGTCCAGATGCCACCTCCTGAGGAGGTTGAGGTGGCCGAATGCGACGGTTTGCTTAATGAATCCTGAGGGATATACTTGTAGTCATATCGCGCTGCAGCTGCTTCCTTGGAGATAACCCAGTAGCTGAGGGTTATGGTCATTAGCATGGCCAGCCCTCCGACTCTTTTCGAACACCAGCTGAAGAGCGACATGGCTGGTGGTGACGTGTTGCGATTGACTCCTCGTATATTATTCGGCCAAGACGATAGAAGCTCTCGACTCTTGAGGTATTTGGTTAAGGAGCGTGGGTGAGTCGCCAACAAGGAGTGAGGAAAAGAGAAGAAGAAAACGGAGTTACAATGGCAAGTCGGGAAAAGATAACACAAGGAAGGACGTTGAGTGGGAAGGGGGTAGGAGAGGGAGAGGGGGGGCTGGGATACTTCTGGAGAAGGCCGCGATATTGGTGCACTAACTGCACGACAACCTAGGTTGACCTCTCTTGGGTTGCAATACTAGGGGTGGAAAAAAAAAGAGGAATGGGAAAGGAGGGAAAAATAAAAAACCAGTTAATTGGCAAAGCAGGAGGGAAGCTGGAAAATTACTAGGTTGAACTTCATGAAAGTAATAACAATTAGGGAAAAGGGGAGCCTTGTTTAGTACGACAGAGAAATTAGATGGGTAGGGATTCTGCGCCCCCCAAAAGTGGATTTGTAGCTCTGACGACGGGAAGGGTTCTAATTCCCAGCTATTTCAAGCATGGGCCTAGCCGGTCCAGCTGCTAACAGGCTAGTTGGTCTAGCGTATGTAGTATGCCTTAGGTACATAAGTTTATGGGGGCTTTGTGGCCAGATGTACAGTACGTGTACCTGCTCTGTAGCGTACCTATGGTCAGGTACCGCCTGCAAGGCTGTTATTGAAAGTTGGCGCAACCTCTCTTTATGCAATTGAATGAACGATAATTGTAAAACGACTAAGGGCGTTTGTTCGAATTGAGAGCGGCGTGAATTACGTAAATTATACAATTGGCTAGAAAAAGAGCAGTAACAAAAGGATGCGAGGATAAGGTGTATCGAGTATATGTCTATGTAGTACAGCATATAGGTATGATGGATCCCATCTGCACGTATTGTTAGATAATGAAATACAAGTATATTATGTATGTATGTGTATGTTGTTTTCTCTCTTTTGTTTCCTTAAAAGGTACCTAGCTGTCAGAGTCAAAACTGTGCCTCTTTGATTGATCGAATAGTATCCTTTTTCTTTAACAATGCCCAGAGCGGGAATAATAAGAGACATAGTACGGTACTACCCTGTCGAAGTTCGACTCGTCTTTCGTCATAACCAGCGTACAAAGCGTTCCTGATGGATTGGAAACTTAATTCCCCATGGGAAAGAAAAAAGAAACAAGGCGTATTGCTGCAAATTGAGCTACCGACGCTACTCGATTCAGACATGCCCTAGACGTAAGCTTCCTAACACGGCTAACTGATTCCTTTCGACTGCTCACGTTCGAGACTGGCATCGTCATGTAGGTTGAGGGCGCGGTGTGCATCTAGCTTTGCAGGTGAATTTATTTTATATCTTACCAGAATCCACTTAAATACCCATGGATCTTAATAGGTAACTTTTTCGAATGGCATTAGACTTGGTTATTCGGATGCATCTTGGATTCAAAGTTAAAGAATCTTCTATACTAAGATGCTAGGTATGTGGGTAAGTATATTCATTATTCATTATTCATCCTGGTTACACTCATATCCAACAATGACTTCAGCTTCTATTATTGTCCGTCTCCTACATCTGTTGAGATGCAAGATGTACTGTACATGGCCGTATATCGGGAATAGGCAACAGTGGTACCGCACTTGGGTATAGTTAGGTTGCGTGGGGAGTCTGGGAGTATGCGGTAGCGTGCAAGGTTTACAGCCCATCCCGCCCCAAGGCTGATCGAGTAGGTAGGTAGATTCTTACCTGCGTCAGCCATTGTTAGCTTACCTTAGGTATGTAAAGTCGGCTTAGCGAGTTAGTAAGTCAATCTTTGCTGTAGAATTTCAATCCTTCCAACTCTCAGCCTCTTTGATCTTCAAGAAGGGCTTATGAAAGAAACACGTATGATACGTGCGGATAGGACTCTGGTTGGTTTAGCTCTTTCTTCCATCTCCAAATACGCATCAAATACAGGTATGTACAATGTTTAACGTGTATGTAGGAATTCGTCATCGAGAATCCCAACTGCCTATTCAAAACCGCCCAGGTTAGGCGTCTCGACGTTGCAGTAGCACCATGTAATACGTTCGCTATTAGTGGCAGCCCGTCGCTTGTAGACGGCAAAAGTGGGATGCGGGCAGCGCAGCGCAACGCAACGATAGATATTTCTCAAGGCATCTGGTTATCTTGCCGAGCGAATATGCATGCGCCCATCCACGACCGGTTTCTGGGCAGGCCTAATGGTGTGCACATACACCCTGGTTTCGTCACCATCTGACTCCAGGTAGCATATCGCCTCTAGACTTATACATATGGTGTTGGACATGTTTCCAATCCTAGCCTCTGATCTCTTTACAGATATTGTATCACAACTCCTTCAGACGAAAGAGCACGACACAATTCCCACCAACTAGGTTCCAGCTTCGAGGTCTTGCCGTGCGGCAGAATATGTGCGAAAACATGACTCCATGTCTGATCCTTCGCGCGCCCACGTACCACCAATGGCCTATAATCATAGTATAGTGTACATATGCTATGATGACATTCTGAGGCTATAGCTTCCCTTGCGCCACATGTAAGCGCCTCTCGTTTCAAACGTAGTACAGATACCATACCGAAGGCACGATTTGTGTAGGTACATCCTACCTTATATTACACTATGGCATGATTTACAGGAAGTAGACATGTGGCCTAGATGCACTAATTCGGCACCGGGTTGCTTGTCTAGCAGTCTAGTACATATATTTCATTTGCGGTTAGGCATCCAAGAAATAGGCAGGTTTGAGCACATGTAAGTTTGCGCTGCTGAAGCTATCTTCCTGCAGCTCGACATCACAGGTGCATACGCTGCAACGTACATACATATACGCATGTATACCTACATTATATATGTACATTCCATACAACCATACATCTACTTAAAACTGCACCGAGTTGCGCGGGCCACGGTGGCTTGTTTCCTTGTTTAGCCACGCACTGCCATCCGCTAGTCGTCACCCTTCCTTCGTCATTGGTCTCGCTTCTGCTGCAAAATCAGAAATGCCCAGAAAGACAAGAGACACTTACGACATGATTGCGGTAAGATAGACAAATGATGATGATGAGGTCTTTCTTGTCTGTGGCGTCTTTTATGCCGCGTCCCCATGTTTCTATAGTGTACGTATATGTCAAATGCTTTCGACGTTACATCGCAACGAAATTATTGCGACAGATCGGTTAATTGCATGTAATTCCTTTTAAATGCCGACGGCCTTTCGAGGTAATGTTCTTAAATGATCCCCTTGTACCTTCCAAGTACCGAGACCTGCGCCCGGGTTGGTTGCTTAGGTATCCGCTTGTTAGAGTTGAGCTGAGCCATAGTTGCACAGTGTCACTTATACACGGTGGTTTCCCCCTTCGCGAATAGAAATGCGCTGTTTGGGGCCAAATTGCCAGAAGTAGAACTCTGATACCGTACTGTCCCTTTTTCAATCTTCTTCTTTTTAGAATTTCGAAACTCGGCTCCCCCAACCGATAGAACATTTTTGAAACGTCGTTAGAATAATCTCCTGTTGATCATCATGAAGACACTTCTTCACAACAAAAATTTGTCCCTTTTTTCTTCGCAGCAACTGCAGCAACCCCGTTACGCATTTCTGCAGGACAGTGTGGAGGCCGCCAACAAAAAGACCATGCTCTATCGAATTGTACAGTAGTACCGAAGCGGTACAAATGACCTACAAAGGTGGATATGGATGGATATGGACATTGAGCTCTCTGTTCAGTTACTGGTTCAGTAGCACATGACCCCCGGTCTGCAGCGTATGCCATGTAGCCCATGCTCGCCCATCCTCTGACCGTACGAACTAATTTAATATGCGTCTCGGACAATTCTGATTGGCCTTTGCTCAACCAACAATCCACGTTTATTTGCCAGTCGAGATTACTGGTCCACCGTCGATCTGGATCCGTCACTTATTACCCACTGTAGGTACCTGAATGACTGCAAATTCTGCCTTTCTGAGCTCTAGGCGCGGTTCGATATGGTGCTACCGACTGGTAACTCGACCAGCTCGACTCTTTTCTGAAGCGCCATTCCCCAAGAAAGGCTCGTGCATCGCACAGATACGACAATCGCATCAATAGGAGACAAGCTAGCTAGCGTAGCTCGCAAAGCTGGGGGCCGCGTATAAAACATTAGCTAGCCCGTTGCCCGAAACAAGAGTCCCGAACCTTTTTTGCGAGAGACCTGGGGGCCTTTCAATAAGGGGTCCTCGGCAAGGCTTATCCAAATATCGGCTTCGCTTGGCAATGATCGATACATACGATACACCATGTTACTTCATGAGCCCACCTGGGCCCCCAATGCGTGAAACGCGTTCAAGCTGTCCAGATAGGAAAACGCGTCACTACAGCTATGATGTAGGATTAAATGTGGCCAATCAACGCGTCTGCGGGTAGTTTTCGTCCCAAGTCTATTAGCCACTTAGCTGTCGGCTCCATGGTTTGACACGCAGGTCTTGTGGTATCTGTCGTAGATATGTGTCATAACAGGTGATTAAGCTCTACTTATTACAGCGTGCATTTGGGGAGAAAGTGATAAGTAAATTTATTTTCGTTCACTATTAGCTCATTAGAATCAAGCAATTGGGAGTTTTATAATCATGTACGGCTTTAGCTACAAGTAAGAAATTTCTTGTTCTAAGACTAAAACTTCGCGGTGTACATATGTGATGCCCCTTGCATACATTGAAGAAGTTGTCTCCACTATTCGCTCCTATCAATCCAGGGAGTTGATTTTCCATTCGGCCTGCGAAATCCGCAGTCCGAATTCTCAATGGAAGATGTGTCCGGATGCGGATAACGATAAATTACACCAATTGCCAGCTAGTGTATTGAGCTGCAGATAGCTGAGCCACAACCATTGACATTTTCCGCCGTAAACCCCACCTAGCCCGTACGGCGTAAACAACATTATGTATGTAGCATGTAATCTGCAAGACCCGTACAAGGAAACGCTTAATTAGATATCGTCTAATTACCTAAATCGTATCGAAAGGCTTCTGCCTAAAGCATCATCGGTCGACGCTTGAAGTGCTCTTTTCGAGCGCAACATAATTTACGCGTGGGATGATTGACCACATCTGATCGAGTTAGTTGATAATAAAGGGGGTCTCATGATCCCGTTCCGTGGCTGAGGGTATATGTCCGTTTTCATATGAGATATCCCGGATATTGCTCCGTAACAGCTGAGGCACACACGATTAGCGTCCCTTTTAAACTTAGCAAGAGTTTTTCTTACCTTATATGCCCGTCTAGCTTTACTAATATAGGGAGATATCATGAGACGGGCCATGACAGTGAATTTGCGATAGTTCGATGCCGCAAGAACACGAAGGCTCTACCATTAAGCTCAGAACGTTAGACATTCTTATCAAATAGTTTCTGGATTGGTTTGGCAGCCTGTTTAAGGTATGTAAGCATTGATAGTAACCAAACGATATTCCAGAGTCGACGTACGTCAATGAACTTTTCAAGCTCTTTATCAAGATTCGCGAGATCATCCTTTCTCTTCTTGTTGTCAGCAATAAGCTTCTGTTTCCGCTTCAGCAATTCCATTCGTTTCTGCTCTAGAGCCTCGCGCTCGCTGCGTTCGTGCTCGATCCGTGCAATCATCAGGGCGTTTTCGTCATCGTCGGTATGGTCGGGCTTCAATGCGAGGAACTCTTCAAGAGGTATCAGGGGAAGCTTTTGGTAAGTATGGCTGAATACAATTAGTTCTCGCGCAAGTTCAGGTGCCGATGAAGTATAATGGTTGCGGAAAGGATTGTTGCTTGATGTAGAGATGGAGATGAGGTCTTGAATTGGTGGAGGAAGATAGTTGGATGGAGCTTCAGTGGGTACTGACTCGTATGACTCGCAAGCCGCGATCTCCCCTTGTAGATGTCTCTGCTCGTAGTATAGATTTTGAAGTTGTAGATGTAGACGGTCAACTTCCTGGCGCGCTTCGGACGTCTGCGATTTGGTCTGACGGGCACCAAAGTAGGCCGATCGATGAAGGCCGCGCAATTGTGCAAGGTTGGTGATTAGGAGCTTCTGCTGCTTAGAGGTCTCCAGTTGGGCCTCTGGAGATGCGCTTTCTATAGGCCCAGCTGCCGCGATTTGGTCAACAAGTCTCAACGCCTGTACTCGAGTATCGCGGGAAGCATCGAGCACGGTCGATAGATTCGCATCTGTCACGATTTCGTCGATCGCCATCGTGAAGGGTAAGATGGGTTGTTTGAAGGCGAGACTTGGGCGTAACCTCAATTGCGATTCAGAAACTAAGATACTACAGCTAACTACAGCTTAATGACTGATATCGGTGTTTTTGATGTTGACGTCTGGGTATTGAGGTCTTGACTCTAGTCTCTAGGTCTAGACTATTGGAAAGTTGGCCAATCAGGAATGAATTTGTTTGTAGATCCAGCCTTACTTAAATCCGGATATTTTAATCGCCGTCTGCCGGTCTTGGTACTTGACTCTGGTGGATTAGGTAACTTTGCATGAATGCGTCCCCACGGGTTATCGTGATTGGAGATTACTACCTAGTGGAAATTAGGGTCAATGAAAGTCGGGGCTTACGCACAGCTCTATCAGCTCGTACATGTACCACGAGCCTAACTTTATGATTAAATTTAATTGATACTATAACTTCAATTTTGAAGAGGATACAGGCATTGCTACGATATATACAGCAAAAACGACAGCTAGAATTATTGCACATATTTGAAAGCAGTTAAGTCAATGCCTTCTCTTGAAACTGACTAACCTTTATCGTATTCGGTACGTCCCAACCGACCTACGGGATTCCGATTGTGGGGAACCTTAATTTACCCTTGCATGAGGTACGTATTGACTTTAGATCTTATCTAAGCAGCTAAGCTAACAACCATCCGTCTTGTCCGATAGTTTGGGCGCTCAGGTAGCGCCCCCTCCGTCAACCAATGACACCAACAATCTTCCACATGTGAAAGTTAACTTTCCTCCACTTCGCCTCCAGCGCATTTTACCATTGCACAGCTACTCAACAAGTAACAACCTCGAGACCAATCTCCTTAAAGTATTTCTGCATTTTTATGGTTTGGCTGGTCAGCTTCGCATCGTTTAAGTCGCAATATAAACTGTCTCGTGCAGGGACGTCTTACAGCTTAGACGTGCCCCAAGCCTTTTTATTAGTTGGCACCAACAATAAACCCTTACATTTGCTATAGTTTATCATACGCTCCTTTTCCCCATCATGTCTTGCACGTCTACCTTCGCTCTTGGTTCTCACCAAGAGCAATCTGGTTCTAAAAGTTCGGGCACGGCCGACCAGGAAAACTTACCACGTCGGCGTAGGCGGCACTCTTCTTTTATGCCTCGGAGAAGACATTCTCTAGTTCAGCAAATCATGGACGGAGAAGAAGGTTTACTTCTTAAAGTACATTCCCCAAACGCTTTGAGACTCTAGTAGCAATTATACTAACTATATAATAAAGGTGGATCTGTTCCTCTCGGAATTAGAGAGGAGACTTGAATACCTTGAGGGCTACGGCGAATTTATCGACCTGGATTCGAGTATATCTAAAACGTTTTCAACTTTACAAGCAGTGCGTGAACGATGCTCGCAAGTTTCGGAAGAGGTCATCGGCGCCGGGCGACGGCGATTGCAGGTTATGGTCGAGACTTTAGACACAAGATATCATGAAGCCTTGGTAGCCGCCGAGTCCATGAATGAGAAAGCGCGTGTTGGCGTTGAACTCCTCGACGGCATGCTTACCGACTTCGAAAATCGAGCCTTGAAATTCCGCGACCAAGGTTTTGCGAATGCCGCCGACGCTGCCGGAAGTTTAATAGACAAAGGTCAACGGGTCGTAGACGAAAGTATAGAACGCGCACTCGGTGTTGTGGACGATGGTATTGAGCGAGCCTGGCGTGCTGCAGAGACCGTCGAGGAGCACGTACAAAGAGCAATTACTCGTGCTAAGGAGAAAGGCCTTATTAAGTATGAGGAGCTTCCCGTGCCTTGGAGGGTCAATCCTCATATACTTGGCGGATATCGTTTCACCGAATCCAAGATTGGCTGCGTTCGCTCAATGTTCGGCGTTTCAAACGAACTGGTCAACATCTGGTCTCACGCGCTTGGTTTGATACTAATTCTGTCCATCGCTTTTTACTTCTATCCGACTTCGGCCAACTTCTCCCTTTACTCGAAAACGGATGTTTTTATTGCCGCCGTCTTCTTTTTCGCGGCTTGCAAATGCTTGGTCTGCAGCACTATTTGGCACACTATGAACTGTGTTGCGGACCAAACTCTACTGGAACGCTTCGCATGCATCGACTACACCGGTATCTCATTGCTCATCGCGGCGTCGATTATGACAACTGAGTATACTGCCTTTTATTGTGAACCGATTAGTCGGTGGACGTACATGACCGCAACTGCTGTGCTAGGCATTGCTGGCACCATCCTCCCTTGGCATCCTAAGTTTAATGGACAGGATATGGCCTGGTTGAGGGTGGGCTTCTTTGTGGGATTGGGTGCCACTGGTTTTATGCCGGTTTTCCAGATCGTTCTGACCCGAGGCCCTGCTTGGGCACTTGACTTCTATGCGGGTTCCAATCTACTCAAATCTCTCTTCGTTTATGTCCTTGGAGCTTGCGTCTACGCGAGCAAAGTCCCCGAGCGATGGTTCCCTGGCGCGTTTGACTACTGTGGTAATGCGCACAACCTATGGCATGTAAGTATTAATGGTGCCCCTTTTGATTGTGTTAGCGCTAATCAAGGATGTAGCTTGCCGTACTTGGCGGGATTCTTTATCATTATGTTGCTATGCAAGAATTCTTCTCTGGCGCCTTTCAGCGAGCACAAGAGGGCTGCCCGACCTATTAAGCAGGAACCTTCAACCGGTACCGTAACGTAGTTATCTACAATGGACCGCGCAACTTCATGAATCCCCCAACCACATATCCTCATAGTTGCGCCCAGAGGTCTAGACAATTACAATAGGCCATCATGATTCCTTCTCATAGAAATACATTCCGTCCTGAAGCTACCTAGGGCTAGTAACCAAATCCAGAAGAAAAACAGCCAAAATGCTCAGTAAACTAAGTAGTGCCACTAATCCCGTCGAAGTTTCAGCTCGCTTCACTGCCGAAGAGACCTGCACAGGTGGATGGAGCGTTGCGTTCGTGTGCGATATAAAGGTTGGTACAGGTATAGGCGTGTTCAAGTTGGCATGGGTAGCGAATGAACATGAGTTGTTTTGAATGTCTACCATCATTGGTGTCGGTGCTGGCGATTCTTTGAGGAAGGGAAGGACTGTTAACGTAGGTCTAGCAACAGTTGTTGCATTGGCTACTGTATGGGGATCCGCAGACATATTCGAAGCCGAACTAGGAAGTGTAAAACCAGCATTACGGGCGCACGTCTCTAAATCCTCTCCCTACATGTTGTCAGCTAACGGGCTCTTAATCGATCAAGACCGTCGGCCTCGTACCTCAAGACAGCAATACCCTGCGACAGGCGCGCAATACTTTCCCGAATCGCAAAATCCCTTGTCTGCTGAGCAGCACGACTATTCTGAGTTAGCATTTGTTTTTTTTTACGGACGATATACGAGTTCTTTTCTACCTGGCCGATTTTAGGGTTGAAGCAATAGGTGCTTCCGCTGCCGCCGCACGACTGCGAGCCTTCTCCATAGGTCTGCTCGCAGGTTCCCGTCTCCCTCTTGTGACGCACGACGGAGGTACCGGCATGTTTCTCTTGCGCCGAGACCAGGAGGCCGCAGCAGAGTAATAGGAGCGAAAAAGTGAGCATAGTTGGATTATCGTCAAGGTATAGATAATAGCGGGCGAAGTCGTATATAAGTTACGAGATACGTAAACGAGTCGATGGTAGATGGTATAGAAGCGGTAGAGAAGATGTTAGGGTTGGTAGATGGTAGAGGTAGAGGTAGAGGTAGATGTAAAAGCGAGCGCATGAGGGTATTCCAAAATGTTGGATGAGCGGGCCTAATATATGCATTATATATATATACATCATTATTCAGTGCCTTGGAGTTCTCTTCGCGACTATCTCGTCTATTGGTACAAATTCTAGACGATAGTATTCTAATGGAATCTGGCGCCGATATATCCTAGCACATACTCATCTGCCCTGTGTGTGTAGTCTTTCTTCATGAGCCCCTCGAGCGAAGGGCTGGGGTGGAAGTATGTAGGGAGATGTATACTTACCTACCTACCTATGCTAGGCGCTCAAGGGAGAAAGAAAGCAACGTAGACTCAATACCACTACCGCCGCACCAGTTACAAAAGGGAGCAAGCAAGCAAGCTTTCGACTTCGTTAGATAAAATCCTTTAACCATCCCTTATCAGTATATTCACTCGAGAGCATGTAGACTCAATCAATTATCAAGTCCCAGATTCCAGGTAACTCTTACTATAATACCCCTACCCCTATAACCCAAGACTCAAGACTTCAGAAGTTCAAAATCCAACGCATCAAGTTACATCCATCCGTCCATATCGCCGCAAATCAGACACCTAACCACTTATACATGCCTAACCTAGGTACCTCTTATACTTGACAAACATTCCAATCATAACTTTCATTTCCAGAGTTTTACAGCAGCGCACGACGGCGCGTCTGCCTATTACGGTATATAATAGAATATCCCCCCCTATCCATCCATCATCGTTCATTTCCGCGTTAAAAACCCTAGAATCCTCCCTCCTTATGGAATATATAGGACGTATAGTATATTATAGTATACCGTAATACCCGCCCCCCCTGCCCCCTGCCCCCTGCCCTATCTATACTCGTACAAAACATAAGAAGGATTCGTTTCGTAAACATCATTCGCGTGATCGTGAGCTAGCCAGCCCCATGGCTCCTTTTTTTGTATTCGCTTCTTCCCCGGTCGTCGTGCACGTCGTCTAGTACCGTACAGAAGTAGAATGAAAAAAGACATAAAATCGGAAAAAATTTAAGTTTCCCCTTTTGCATTACCCGTTGTAGAGAATAAACCTCTTGTTTGGAGAAATCTATATGCAAGGGCCGTCTTATATTATATAAGTGCCTCTTGACAAAAGGAACCCGATTCGTTAAAAGACCTCGGCTTTTAGGGTGATATCATTATGCCGAGATCTCGCAGTTAGTTGGCTTTGAAAGGATTGTCGACGGTTGGAGTTGTTATTACAAAGATGTATGTATGATCCAATACTAAAACCTGGGTCATATGAGCGTAACTCGTAGAGAACCATATCGCGTCACCTTTTGAGAAGGGGTATGTCATAGGGCGTGTCGTATGATATCGGCATAGATATCGTCGGGTATCATCCTAATGATAGCTAGAGCTGTTCGCTTGATCATTTCTGCCCGTAAAGCCGGGAATGATCGAAGGAGTTTGTTAGGACTATTTACTTGTTAGTATGATAATCCAATATCTAGTAGTCATAGGTGTGCGTGCTTACTTCAAAGAGGTAATGAGTTCATTGCGCATCATGATTAGCTGGGCGACAATACACACGATGTTCAACTGCGGCCCGTAGGCGAAGAGGAAATCCCAGTGCTTCAGTACCTCTGGTAAAGGGGGAGTACATGCGCAGAGCGTAAGGACGGAAGGAAAAGCATATATCTCTGCTGATAGGCCCTTGGATGTTAAGTAGAAACTCAGCTTAGGATCCACGATCGCCAACACTTTGTCAACGAGTGCTAGACCGCGATGAACTCCGTCCATTGCACCCCTAATGTACCCAGGACACTCCTTGGTTAGGAGCGTATGGAAAGCAGCGAAAGCTTCTACCTCGCTACGGGCTGTGTATAAGAACGGAGCAGCAAGCACGTTCATGCCCTGTACATAAGTCCCGGGTTCCGAGGTAGTAACATCGGAACCTTCTGTCGTGAGCGTAAGGGCGCGGGCACGATTCCTAGCAGACGGTGAAGAGGCATCGGTTTGCGAGACATCGCTGCGAGAGCTACCACTAACGCTTTCAGTCGCGGCGAGGGACAATCTGCTACTTGTTGGGCGACGTTCCTCCTTCGCATCGTGAAGTTTCCAGGCGATAGCGTTAAGAAGACGAATCAAACTCGCCTCGCTAACGCGGCGACGGAAAAGGGGATCGGTAGTCAGGGTTCGAAATGTGTCGTTTCGGATTTTGGAGTAAGCGGGAGAAGCCCCTCGATGTATAAGTCCGAGGTACTCGTTAGTATCAAGAATGGGCGCATCGATAAATATAAGCCAGAAGTAGATTCTAGTCCGCGACTAAGCAGCCTTTATTAGCACGGTCGAAATCAGATCGGTATCAAGAAATTCGCACCATTCCATCGCTGTCGCTCCTGATACCCTGATCTAGGACCTTAAGACGCGCACTCTCCAAAGCACCATTCACATCCCCGTCAGGGGGTCCCTCCCTAATCAGTCTGTCTAGAGACATGGCATCAGCTACTCTTGAAGCCTTACTTAGAGCGCTTCTCTTGTGGTTTAAGGATAGCAAAATATTGTTTGGAAATATAGAGGGCGTCGGGGGTGGCGGGGGTGTCGCGTCCGAGTTGGCTCTGTTTCTCTGTGGGGATCGGTTGACATTGCGAGTCGGAGGTGGTACGCCCTCTTGGGGATGTCGGAGAACTTGTTGGGATATCGACGAGTTTTGACTGGAAATTCGAGCAGTGGCACCGAGGTTATGTGCGGATTGTAGTTTGCGCAATCTGTGAGTGTGAGGTGACGGAGGGGTGTGTATTTGGTTAGGGAACGTAGTGGTCGTGAAGTTGTTGAAAGCTTGCGCGATGGGCGGGAATGACTCCCGCGTTGGGCTCGTCATTTTGACCAGCTGGCAACGGTGACAGCTATATAGATTTGCGGCGATACGCAAATTGGAGCTATCGTCGATATCGAGGAAAAAGCATGCTTAGCACGTTGTATAGTTGTAGTGCGACGACTAGGCGCAGTGAAATAAAAATAAAAACAGGGCAGGGAAAGAGGTTGGAGTTGTTTAGAGAGGGCTTGAGGTACTTGGGTACATACATGCGTAGTGACCTAATAATAGGTGACTCCCCTCATATTCCGTAGGTATTCACCACATTTTAACGCGAGTAGAACGCGTCGGCTTAAAAAGGTTATTTATTTAGCTGAATATGTACCTATTATGTAAATGTATTATTTCTATAAATGCTTATTCTTCTTTAAAGACGACACAATTACCTTAAGTTTTAATGTGAAGTAGGTAAGTAATGTAACTATTTTAATAATTCTAGTTATTCTTTTCCAATGCTGCAGTTCATTCCTGCATTACATATCTTGTACAACATCCACCGATATTGGACCAGCATGTGAAAAGCTTACATTGATATCAACGCCTAAGGTAAGGCAGGTAAGGTTACAGTAGTGTAAGGTCGGCAACCTTTGACCGATCCACCGCTACTAGGATTGGTCAAGATTTCCCCGTAGATTATGGCCCATGAAGCCTGCAGGTACGATCATTCTGCATATTACCTATTTTACGGTTGACCAGAGGTGACTGAGTGAAAAAACCTGAAATCGTTGTTACATCCACCCCAACAAGAAAAATAACACACCACTAAGCTCGATAAGCAAATATATTAAAATATCCGGGCTAGCGTCTCCACTAGAATCTAGATGCAACCAATTAAATTAAAGGATTTTATTTTCAATTGCTTTATACAACACAACACATAACACATAACACACATAACACATAACACATTTAAATAACTTTACGAAAACAACAATTTAAACGTTATAATTGGTATCATTTTATAGCCTTAATTAATGCGAAAACAATAATCCAAGTTGCATTTAAATCGGCCTTTTAGCTGTTATGTTATAGTAGAATCAAATAGCGTTTATTTAAAAAGGCAAGCACGTGATACCCTTTAAAAGCACCACGATAAAATCATTCCAACCAAACTCCAAATACTTTAATAGCAATATAATACTTAATACACATCGCATAAACATGCAACTTGGTCCATTATTTTCGCATCAATTAAAGCTATAAAATGATACCAATTATAACGTTTGGATTGTTGTTTTCGTAAAGTTATTTGAATGTGTTGTGTGTTGTGTATTGTGTTATAGCTACCCTGGAGCAATAAAGTGTATTTATGCCTGTGCACCATGTTTAGCTTATTTATTTAAACGTAAATATTTAATAAAAGCCTATTTTTAATCCTTGCAATTTTAGTGTCGCATCTTTACCCGTAGGGTGCGCCTAGTAATTTTTGGGGTTTTTTCACTCAGTCACCTCTGGTCAACCGTACTATTTGCATCCGGGGAAGCCGAAGCTTAGTTTAGGAATACCTCTCGGAGACTTACGACTTATGTACATGGATATAGGCTTTTGCATGATCAAAAGATGGCCTCACCATGTTGTACTGCTTATATTTAAGATTGACCAATGGTAACTCGATATGACAGGTAGTATCCATCGAAGGACTGTATTTTAGCTACTCATCCATCATAGTTTTTATGTGCTTAAAATTTACACGTCGCATTCGAAAGCTTAACAACTCTATGATGAACACCTGACTTAATATCACCAATACACCACCGGCGGCTTCTTAGTTTATAGATATTTAAATATTATATATTAACCACTGCTGCCAGTAAAGAGAGGTCCCATACCGGCTAAACATTCTCACAAGTCTGGACTCTAAAAGCAAGTTAAATAAATGGTTTAATAAGAACACGATGCGTTCGTAGGTCGGCTTATAACCATTTTATAGTAGTTCTTATAGAAATACTTACAGCGAAACCGGCACCGGATCAACACCCGTCCAATCTATTATGACATAAGACATTAGAGATAAACTTCCCCATGTTTTCGATCAGTATGAAGTTTCCCGTATTTATAATGATGGCATCAACCAAAGACAAGATTGCGCCATCGACGCTAACCACCGTGCCTTTATATTTAAGCTCTATGATTGGTTGTTTCAGTTAGTTTTTCGCCGAATTGGGTGCAGTTATCTAGGTACTTGTTCCACTTGTTCCAATCGTCATTATCTCCAACCTCAGCATTGTCTTATGTTAGTAAGTA